CTCTGCAACCCGCGGCTCAGCTCCAACTCCAGCACCCCCAGAACCAGAGACCTGTACAGGGACAGTCGCAGGACCAACCTCCCGAGAGGGAGCACCTGCAGGAGGCGGCGAGGAAGACTGTGGGGAGGGAGGCTGTACAGGGGGGGCTACCGAAGGGGGAGGGCTAGCCTGAGACACACCAGACGGGGCTGGACCAGGGGGGGGAGGCTGTACCGGGGGAGCAGGCGGGGGAGCGGCGGTCAGGAAGAGAGGGGGGGGAGGGACCGGGAGACCTCGACTGGGGTACCTGACGTAGTAGGGGGTGGACTCCTCGAAACGGACGTCACGGGAGTCAAAGAACCGGTGAGAGGGAGGGTGGTAAAAGGTGAAGTCAGAGGAGTCCTCAGGGAAACCAAGGAAGACACAAGGAACGGCGCGAGGCGAGAGCTTGTCCGCGGAGGTGTCGCGGACAAGAGCCAAGCACCCCCAGACACGAAACCTCGACGCGACACCAGGGGACCCTGTCCTGGTCGGTGAAGCCTCCGGCCGAGAGACGCGTGGCCAGAGGTTCAGCTGGTGCGCGGCGTACCTGACCGCGTATGTCCACAGGAAATGGGGGGCACGGGCGTGAGTCAAGGAGGTGCGGGCAATCTCCATGACCAGGCCTATGCGACGCTCAGCAACCCCATTCTGCTGTGGGGACTCCGGAAGCGTCCAGGACTGACGAATGCCCTGTTCGCGACAGAATCCAGCGAGAATGCCGGAGCGAAACTCGCCCCCGCGGTCGGAGTGGAGACAGCTGACACGACGACCACGAGTGTCCTGGGTGGTAAGCAACCACCTGATCAGCGTAGAAGTCACCTCAGACTTCCTCGCCAGGGGGAACACTGTGGTATAGCGGGAGTAGTCGTCAACGACCACCAAAAAGAAACGCTCACGCTCAGGGCCAGGGCGAGGAGAGGGGCCCCAGACGTCCAAGTGCAGCGTCTCAAAAGGCTCGGTGGCCGGACGAAGGGAGGAGGAGTGAGGGGTGGCGCGCAGCCTACCCTCGACGCAAGGACCGCACGGTGGTGCAAGGGACGGCGGCAGCGACGGCAAGACACGCGGGAGACCTAAGACAAGACGCTGACGAGACATAGCGCGAAGACGAGGAGGAGAAGGGTGCCCCAACCGGTGGTGCCACAAAACGGTGGGGTGGGCAAGCGACCGACAGGAGCACGACGCAGCGACCGGACTAGACGGAGGAACCTGACAAGACACAGCTACCTGGGGGGACGGAGCAACCTGGTGAGACGCGAGGACTCGAACGGGGGGCAAAACAGGGGCCGGGGGCAGGAGGGGCGGCTGTGGCTGCGGCTGCGGCTGCTGCTGCTGCTGCTGCTGCTGCAGTCGCTGCTGAGCGCGCGGGCCAGTGTGAAGAGTGTAGAGACCGGAGCCCGGCTCAGCAGCAAAAGTGGCGAGGGGCTGGTAAGAGTCCCCGTCAACACACACCGCAGTCTCTCCAGAAGGCTCAAACCACACACCCACGTGCTGACTCACGAGGGGTCGCACGCCCACCAAGTTCCGGGAGAACGAGGGGACGTGAAACCCAGTGAGAGACCCAGAAGGAGCAGCCGGACACGGCAAGGTGGTAGTGTGACGCGCGGTGACTGGTCCCGAAGTGGGATCAGCCAGCGCCACAGAAACAGGCGCAGGAAGAGGCGTAAGTGTCGTGCTGTCACGAAAGAAGCAGTGAGAGGCTCCAGAGTCCAGCGTGAACGACAGCGAACCGTCCTCTGAGGTAGCCGCTGGACTAGAGTCTACACAAGAACCTACACTAGCAACAGGCAACTGAGCAAGGCTAGCACCTAAGCTAACAACACCAGAGTAAACAGAGTCAGAAACACTAGAGTCAACAACAGCATACATAGCATGGGGATTACCAATCAGATCAACTAACTGCTCAGCAGACATGCCCCACAGAGCGGAGCCGTAACGCTGAACAAGAGGCAGCCAGTCAGGGGCAGGAGCACCAACCCCGTAGACCAAACGAACCGTGTCAGTGAGCTGAGCAAAGCACTGACCAGGGGGGTGAAACCGGCCACAAGGGTGGCCACGACGAGTGCCTGTCAGAACCTGGTAGGTGCAGGGAGTGTAAACAGCACCGCGCTGGGTCTGACGCAGCCCCGACCCTGGAGCCAGCTGCTGCCGCTGCTGCTGCTGAGGCTGCTGGGAGGAGAGGGGCTGCTGGTGCTGCAGAAGCTGCTGCTGACGCTGAGCCTGGTACCACGCCGCTGCTCCACCAACCGGGGCAGGAAGTACAGGAGGCGACTGACGAACTCGGGCGTCGCCACCACCAGCAGGCGCAGTGGAGTCACCAGTCACTGCACGAGGCGCCTCTCCAGGCCCTGAACCTCCACCGCCGCCAGGCGCAACGCCACCTCCACTACCTCCGCCTCCACCTCCACTACCACCACCAGAACCGCCTTTCTTGCCACTCCTACCGCGGGACCGCGACGCAGTCGTAACAGCAGCTGCAGTCGCGTCAGTAGCGGCAGTGGCAAGTGAGGCAGTAAAGGTGGGTAACTGCGGGACTGTGCACCCGTGGAAGAGTGGGGGGGGCACAGCACCAGAGGCAGCGGCTACCGAGCGAAGGTTGCTCTCGACGTCCTTGAGTGCAGACTCAAGGACCTCGACGGTGAGCTCACTAGGGTGCTTCAGCAGAAGCGCGTCGCGAACGGAGGCAAGGCGGTCAGGGAGGCTAGTGGCGATGAAATAGATAGTAATCGCCATAGGGGGAGGAAGCAGTGCAAGCTGTGCCTCAGTGCAAGCAGCGCGGTAACTAGCGTCGAGCGAGCGGAGGTGAGCGATCAAGTCAGCAGAGCGCTCAAAAGACGCTAGGTCAGGAAACAGGAACGGGAGGAACAGGCGGCCAAGAGAGACAGCAGCGGGAGTAGAGTAGCGGGCCTTAATCGCAGTGAGGTACGCAGCAGCGGTGCGAACCTGAGTGAAGTGAACCTCCTCAGACTCAGGGAGGAGGCTGCTGAGCGCGATGCAGGCCGCAGCGTCACGTGACGTCCAAGCCGTCTGGTCAGCTCGCTGAGTGGCAAAGCGGGCTCTAGCGGCGTCGTCAGGGGCAGGTCCTAAAGGCGTAGGGTCGGGGGGCGCAGGTAGGGCACCAGTAGCGTGCGCCCAGAGGGTCTCGCCTGCCTGGACCTGACTCTCTAACAGACGGCGAGCACGAAGAAGCCAGACGGAAAAATCAAGAGGTCTACCGTCAGCGTCGAAACGAAGGACGCGCTGAGTCGCCATAGTGAAAACGAACGCGAACGGAGAGGGAGGGGACAGCAGTAGGTGAGAGGCAAATTAGGGTTCGGCGGTACTCTGGGACAGGGGAGGAGCGGACGCCACAGCGGGCGTGACAGCGGGAGGTAACAGGGGACTAAGCAGCGGGGAACGGGAACGGGCGCAGCGGCGGGCGATGGCAGCGCGCTCGGCAGCAGGGGCCAGCAGCGCGCGCAGCGGGCGACGGCAGGGGGCGCAGCGGCGACGCGCGCAGCGGCGGGCGACGACGGCGGGGCCGCGGCGAGGCGCGCAGGGGGCGGGCGACGGCGGCAGGCGCGGCGGCGACGAGCGCGGTCGCGAGCGACAGTGGCGGGCGCTGCGGGACGGGCGACGCGACGGGGGGAGAGGGCGGGAGCGACGGGACAGGGGGAGGGCGACGCGACGGGGGGAAAGGGGCGGGTGCGACGGGACAGGGGGAGGGCGAAGCGACGGGGGGAAGGGGCGGGCGCGACGGGACAGGGGGAAGGCGACGCGACGGGGGGAAGGAGCGGACGCGACGCGACGGGGGGAGCGCGACGCGACAGGGGGAAAGGGACGGGCGCGTCTCGAGGGGGGGGAGAAGGCGACGCGACGGGGGGGCGGGCTACGCTACGAACGAGAGCGTGGGTCGTTGCTAGGCTCGGTAACAGCTGGAACGATACGAACGAGAGCGTGGCTCGGCGCTAGGCTCGGTAACAACGAGAAGGAGACGAACGAGAGCTAGGATCAGGCTCGGGTGGTACGAACGGAGAACGGCGGAACGGGATCCCACAGGATCCTAACCTAACTGATACCATGTCAGAATGAAGAATGGATGATGCATTGATGTTGGTTGGGGTACATATAGCTAACCCTAAGTTTTGTACCCCCTAAGACAAACCTCACTATAGGCTACAACATTTGACAGATGATGCTAGGGAGTTTCAGTACTGCCGAACATTGTCGACAAACGAGAGTTCAGTAAAATGTTCTTGCCGTCACGGACAATTTGTCTTTCTATTTTCTAGCAGCTGGTCCCAAAGTCAGCACTACTGGGGGTCCGCCACCGCCACAAACTGGGGAAGGGATTGCTAACGAGAAGGAATGACTGGTTTTTGACCATCCCATGATGGAAAAATGCCCCGTTTTAGGAACTACGCTGAGATTGTAGGGGGGCCTGCCTGGAGCCTCAAGTTTGTTCGCCTGTGAATGGTGTGGTGTTGCTTGTGATCACCCCAGTTCAGTTGACCCAACTGGTTGGTTCCGGTTACGGCTGAGCATTGCGAGTTTCGATTGACAGTTTCGTTAGGATGCGGAACTCTAGGATACAGTTTGCATTGCCAGTTCGCGAGCTCGCCTGCCACCGTCACACAGCCTTTTTTCGCTCACTACACCGCTCGGGGGAGTGCTTACGAGAATGGGACAACAGCAAGGACACAAAAATATGCACTCAAGACACTTGCCTATGTTCACTTACATTCTATTTTTTTTGTCAATGGCAGCGGTAGGCATGATTGCAACATGAAAGCTGACTTAAACACTATTCCAGTAACCAATCCAGCCAGGACCAGAGACGGTAATCCAGCTTGTACCAGTACCTGAAAAAGCCATTCCCTCTTAGACACGTTGCTATTTCCTTGAACAGTATCAATCCAGAGCCCAACTGAATCAAGAGGAATCACAGCCTCAGGTGCGGTATCTTGTCTCTTGTGAACTGAGAGTGAGCAGCAGTTGAAGGGTCATTTAAAGTAGGTGGATTCAGGGTCACCTTTAATCTTGTCTGGGTACGCATGGACCCAACTCCTAAACTCCATAAACCTTCTCATCTTCTCTGGTGGAGAGAGCGCCTTCACAACTTTCCCCTCCTCTCCGAACCCATGTGACCCAGTGGCGTATGCATGCACCCTCACACACCTGTCAATCCGCCGAGCCTCGTACTCCCGAACCGCAGCAGCCACGGCAGCAGGCTCGGCAAGCACATCCTTGACGTCAGAAAGGCATAGGGACAGCTGGTGTGCATCTTCAAAAGCCATCTGAGCCCCCTGCCCTGGGCCAGTGTGCATGGCATGTGCAGCATCCCCCATTAGAACAACCCTGTTACCACACTTGGGGTCGCTCCAAGAATCCTTTCGAGGAGGCCTGTCCATCATCCACCGCTCGTAGATGTTACCGGGGTCCGTTGTGGTAACCGCCTGAAGCACGGTATGCCAGATGTCATGGCCTGATGGGTCCGCAATGTTCTTGCTGACGTGGCACATCAAACGGTCTTTGACACCTGGTTTCCCGAATCCCCCGAAGGGTGTTAGTTTGAGCTCGGACTTCAGCTTGCTATCAGGGTCAAGAACACGAACCTGCGATTGGGAAGATGGTTTGCGTATAGCGAATTTCAAAAGTGGTGAAAAGCGATGCATAGGCTAAAAACGAGATGGCAGGATCTGCTATTGGGATAAGTCGAATCAGGGTAGAAAAGAAAACAAGATGTTCACAGGAAAGATGTGCAAAATACTTACACCACCGCCTGCTAAATGAGAGCATACCTGCCAAAAGGTCTTCCCGTGGCCGATATCAATCAGATACATCTGGTAACCCATAACCTCATCCATATAAAAAAGTAACTCCTCATCTTCTTGTGGGTAGACTCTCGCACTTGGCGGATTTGGCACAAGTGCATTCCAACCAATCTGCTCCAGATACCGTGGCGAGTCTCCAATCATCTGATTTCGCACAGCTGATCGCACGCCATCTGCTGCGACCAGAATCTTCGCACGAACCACCACGACTTGACGCTGGTGCTGCTCCATCGCTCCTCCTGACTTCTTGGGGGTTTCACCTCCTCCTGAAACGGAACAGGTGGAATCTGTTTTGTCAGTTTCGGGATTCGAACCCACGACCTCAAGCACCACATCAACCGCTTCCACGTCTCCCTCTCCAGAGCTATCATTGCTGCCTTCCGGTCGAGCAGCCCTTTCCGCAACGGAGACTCCTGCGACAACGGGATAATACGCGACGACGCGATGTCCGTGCATGATAATCTCGGGTCGCGTTAGAGACGAGGCAAGTACCTCTTGGGCTCGGGCCCACCCCACGGTTGGCTGGTCTTTAACCACTTCCTTCACAACCCAGCCGTCGCGATTGTCGCCGTCTCCTTTAGTAGTAGCAGCATCGTTACTGATAGAGCCGCTAATAGTACTATGACCGCCGCTGGTAGAAGCAGGTATATTTCGAGCCGGATTAACTCGAATAACGGATTTAACTTTTCTGACCATTGCACCGCAGCCAATCACAGCGTCGCCTAGCCCCGGCTTTAACCCTTCGAGCGCCTTGGCGCCGTTGGGAAACATTGCGAAAATTGTGCCGGTTTGGGAGCGGGAGTAAGGCACGGCCTCGAAGAGCATTACCGACTTAAAACCTCGCTCCTGCAGACCAACTGCCAGCGCGAGACCGCCAAGACCAGCCCCCGCTATAGCGACGTCGACGAAGATCTCAGGCTCGGGAAGAGGCATGGGTATAATATCGGAAGGAACCATGGTGACAAGCGGCGTTCGGAATGAGGTGGAAGGAGCTGTGCCAGTGATAAGTGAGGGGAACCAGAGTTGAAGTGGAATTGGCAATTAGAGTCACTGAAACTGGAGCATGCATTATCAGTTGGCTAATATATATCACCGATTTCGCCGAGAGAAGTATACATGACACTGTCCGCCAGGAAAAGAAGCCACAACCTGGGTTACCCTATCTCTCGACTATTTGTTCGCAGAGACGATCTAATGAGGATAATGCTAGGAACTTTACAATACAGACGACTATTATCAACCAATACAGTTCTGTTCAGTACCTGTGCTTGCCTCCACCGACAATGGATTTACTAGCTTCTGCAAAAATGTCGGCCATAAGGCTCCTGTAACTGATTTGCTATGCTACATGGGTCAGTCTCGGTCAGTCGGGCACATCCAAGGCAAGATTGCGAAATAGCCGTCCTCACAATCCGATTGGTCACATCCCTATTGGTCACGAAGGATATGCTACCTTAGATTTCATTGCGAAACAGAACGAACAACCTTACGATTGCGCCAAAGAGCTGGTTACAATTCGTTGGGCTTTGTCTACCACTCCTCTTTGAGTATGCGACATCCTCATTCGAGCTTTTCCCCTTCGGCAATTCCGCTCGGCTTCTCAGGGGATCTACCTGGAGCCCAAACTTCTTGGCTGCTGAATTGCCCTCGCAATCGCTTCGGTTCCCCTCATCCGTCTGGTCTGGTTACCGTCTGACCAACGCGAGCTACGCTTGCCTCATCGTTAGGACGCGAAAAACGGTCTGTAACGTTTTCGAGAACCTCGTCAGTCACCGTCACCTGACCAGTTTTCGTTCACCTTGACCCGCTTACTTTCTAACGGGCTCACGACACGATGACAGCCAATCGTTGAGGGTGAGTTAACAAACCTTTGCAAGCGTCATCTGAACCGTCGATTCGTGGGCGAGACAATCCATGTGACGCACATAGGGGTTGGCTAGGACGCGTTGCTCCAACCACGCGTTGCCCTGTACCTCGATTTGATTTCTGAATCCCGAGCGCAGCAGCTGCAACCTCGGACCCGACCTACACGCACCAAGACAAATGTGAATGCATGTTTGGGGTTGCGAGCGAGGTCAACCTCGAGGAGTAAGAAAACTTTCAACCGCTCAATAAGCTTCTGTATTTCACCAAGCCTCATTCAACCCCGCTGAGAGTGCAACCCCAAGGGTAGTCGAGCTCAGCTCTGCATCAGATACATAGCCACAACAGCTCCTAGTACTGTGTCTGCACAAAAGGAATATTTCAACTCGGCTCGGCGGGCTTCAAGTTGAAGAGGAACGGGTCGTCTAAGAGGAACGATCAGTTTCGAGGTGGCAGATTGGCAAGCAGCGTCATTTCAGTCGTCCGCATTGCTTGCGTTGAGGCTCAGTTCCGGTAGCTCCTCCAATGGTGTCAGACACGAGACCGTAATTTAGCAGCGTTCAGACATCCAAGAAGGCCCGAAGACTGTAGATGCTCGCGTTCAAAGTGTATGAATTCGATTTGAGGTCATTCATTGATGACTTCAAAGTGACTTTCTAATTGTGCGATCCTTGACTAAATTAACTCGCTGCTCGGGTCCTTCTCATGCGGACGGGATGGGGACTTGGCGAAGAGGCTTCGGTTGCTGTAGCGGGCTTCGCCGGTTTCGCACTATCTCGCTGATCCTTCTTCCGTTCATTCTGCTCGTTGCTGGAACTTCTTTCGCCACAGGTGTACAGTGCAAGAAGAATGAGTGTTCCAGCACCGTTACAATCGCCTTCATTGTAGTCGCATTCACCTGTCTTCTGCGCGTGTTTTGGGCCGTAGGCGCAGCAGCAGCTCAAGCTGCAGCAGCTGACGCGATAACCGTAGTCGGTTCAGCGCAGGACTTGGCATCTCTTAATGAAAGCGAGAAATCATCTTATAAGGAGGATGAAGCTCCTGGCAGAGGGGGGAGCAGCCGAGTCGCTGCTGCACGAGAAAAAAGCAGGCGACGAGGAGTATCAGGGAGAGCAGGAAGAGAGGGAGGAGGACGAGAAGGGGGAGGAGGAGGAGGAGAAGGAGGGGGAAGTGGAGGAGGAACAGGAGGAAGAGAAAATAATCAAGCAGGGGGGAGTGGAGGTGACCCGAGGATCAGTGGCTGGGGAAGTGACGCGGACTCGGATGGAGACGATCTGCAGGCAATCAGGCTCTCCACCTCACTGTCAGGCAGCGCGAACAAGTCCGAACGACAGGTGCTTATGTGTCCTCCGCCCTCCCCCTACCCCTCTATCGTTCCCTCCCCCACCCACCCACCCAACCTGTGCCACTACCATGCTCGTGTGTTCAGGGTCGCTACTGTGCATGTGTGAGGAGGAGCAGAGCAACAGGGTGACTCATGTGAGGGTCCTCAGATCTCACCCTCCCCCCCACCCTTGTTCGCTCCCCCACCAACCCACCCAACCTGTGCCACTACCATGCTCGTGCGTTCAGGGTCGCTACATGTGTGGATGAGGAGCAGTATGGCCCATGTGGTAACCCTGTTACAAGTGTGTCTCCCCCTGTTCTGTCTAATTCCATTCCCACTTCTTGTCTGTCATCAGCGTCGCTACCGTGCGTGGGTTCGGTGGAGCAGGGTGGGCTATGTGGTAACCCTGTTACAAACGGGAGCAGCTCTTTTCCTCACTGTCGCCATCGTCCAATCAATGCTGGACTCTCAACTACCCTCATGCCCTTTGAAGCGTACGTCCCCTGCTCCGTGTCTCCTGTTTCCTGTCTCCTGTCTGCATTGACTCATGCAACTTTTGAGACATCTCAAAAATCGTCCAATCAATGCTGGACTCCCAAATACCCTCAAGCCCTTTGAAGCATACGTTCTGCTCCCTGTCTCCTGTCTCCTGTCTCCTGTCTCCTGTCTCCTGTCTCCTGTCTCCTGTCTCCTGTCTCCTGTCTCCTGTCTCCTGTCTCCTGCTATCCACTCATGCGTTCCCCTTCCTCCTGCTCACTTACAACTTCTAAGTTTACTAAAGGAAACTCCTTGAACTTCAAGGCTTATGAAGTATTCCTCCTGTTTACCACATGGCATTGGATCACCAAGGCCCCTGGACCTACCTTCGTTTCCTCCTTACCACGTTTCCCTCCCCCCACTTTCTCCCCTTCCCTCCCCCTCCATTCTTGATCCCTTGTTTACCACATGGCATTGGGTCACCAAGGCCCCTGGACCTACCTTCGTTTCCTCCTTACCACGTTTCCCTCCCCCCACTTTCTCCCCTTCCCTCCCCCTCCATTCTTGATCCCTTGTTTACCACATGGCATTGGGTCACCAAGGCCCCTGGACCTACCTCCTCCCACTTGCTCGCTTCGTCCTCTGTACCACGTTTCCCTATCCCCACTTTCTCCCCTTTCCTCCCCCTCCATTCTCGATCCCTTGTTTTCCTCATCCCTGTCTAGTGGGTTACCAAAGCCCCTGGACCTACCTCCTCCCACTGCCTCTCCTCATGCCACCAACCATTTCCCTCCAACCACTCTCCACCCTCTTCCCCATTTCAAATCTCCCTTTTTTCCCCCATGATCCCCCTTATCTACCACATGCCATCCCAGTGGGCTATCAAGGCCCCTGGACCTACCTCCTACCACTGGCCCTCTTCGTCCTTACTTACCACCACCATCCACTTTCTCCACTCACTCCCCCTCCTGCCCTTTTTTCTCCCCCTTCAATCCTCTCCCTGTGTTTCCCCCATCCCAGTGGGCTATCAAGGCCCCTGGACCTACCTCCTCCCACTGGCCCTCTTCGTCCTCGTTGCCAGCTGGATCGCTGTTGGTGGGCAGTGCTTAGCTGGCAGCGACGTGCTGATGTGGCGGTCGTTCTATGCCATGCGGGACCGCGCGTGGCGGGCACACTACAGAGAGATGTTCAACTGGAGCATCCGAGAAATACTGTGTTGCATGGGGCGGGCTAGACCCTGGTATGTACATTCATACATACACTATGTTCGAGTGCTGTATATACAGTATTTCATCATGTAGGGAACATTATCGGGAGATGTTCAACTGGAGCATTCGTAATATCCTGTGCTGCTTGGGGCGAGCTACACCCTGGTACGTACGTTTATCCTAACTCTACGGGAGAGTATGTACCGTATCATATATTGCAGTGTACACCATAGGGGGATGCGATGGTGATTAAGAGTCTGTCTGACTCTTGCCGATGTCTCCCCCTTCTCTCTCTCCCACTTTCACTTTTCTGCTCTCCTCCCCACCATCATCCCTTGCCATGAGGGGCTATGTAGACGATGAGGTGGACATAGTGGCGTCACTGCTGGGGGATGGTGTGACTGGCTGGACCCATAATTCCTCTGCCCTGCTCCACTTCCCCCTCTCTCTTGTCCCCAGGGACGAGGTAGACGACGAGGTCGATATAGTGGCATCGCTGCTGGGGGATGTGATGGCACATCCTTCTGCCTCACGCTCGTGTCCCTCACTCCCCTTCTATCTCGCCCCCCTACTTACCTCCCCAGGGACGAGGTAGACGACGAGGTGGACATAGTGGCATCTCTGCTGGGGGATGTGATGGCTTACAGGGCCGTGGGGGCCAGTCATCTCGAGCTGCTCGCAGGTGGGGTGATGACGTGACGGGTGGGGTGATGGCAGGTGGGGTGATGGCAGGTGGGGTGATGGCAGGTGGGGTGATGGCAGGTGGGGTGATGGCAGGTGGGGTGATGGTGAAGTGAATGACTGATGCCAGGTGCTAGTCAGAGAGAGCCGTCCGTCGCTGCTGCTGGGCGATGTGATGGCTGACAGGGCCGTGGGTTCCAGTCACCTGCAGGCTGCAGCTGCTCGCAGGTGAGCTGTTGTGTGATGGTGAATAGCCATGATGGGAGGGCGTGTGGCAGTGGATAGGATGGAAGAGTGGGATCGCTGCTGCTGGGGGACGTGATGACGTACAGGGCCGTGCGGGCCAGTCACCTGGAGCTGCTGGAAGGTGGGGTGATGGTTGACGGGGAGTGGTTAATGGCAGGTCATGTGGTAGTGAAGGAGGGAAACGAATGACCTGTGCTGCTGGGGTTGGTGGCATCTCTGCTGGGCGATGTGATGGCGTACCGGGCTGTGGGCGCCAGTCATCTAGAGCTGCTCGCAGATGATGGGGATGGATTGACCATGCAATGTCATGCCATACCATTCCATGCCGTGCTAGCCTCGTCCAAGCCAATCTGCTACTGCCACTTTTCATGACCACCCCTTAACCTTCTCACCCATATACCTAGCCTGCCTGCCTGCAGGGTGAACAGCCAAACCCATTTCAACCACTCTGTCTTCTGTTCTGTGCACGCAGGGCTAGCTCTCCTCCAAGCCAATCGGCGGCCGCCGCCAGCTGTCGACACCCTCACCTCCTCCCCTTCCTCCTCCCACCCCACCCATCTCAACGCACTACCATCAACATCCACAGCTACCCCTCTCTCCTCCACCACTGCACCCTCTGTCTTTGACTCCCTTAACGCTGGTACCACCTGCAGCAGCACTGCAGGCAGCAGCGTGAGGGGTATCGTTGACAGCAGCAATGCAGGCAGCGCGCGTGGGGTTGGCAGGGTTAGCAGTGAGGGCAGCAGCAATGGCACCAGCAGCAGCAATGCAGACAGCAGGCGTGCGGTTAGCAGGGTTAGCAGCGAGGGCAGCAGCAGTCAGAGGCTGGCAGAGGGGGGTCCCTTCCCCTCCCCCCCTGCCTCTGTGCCGATAAGCTTGATTGAGGAAGCTGCTGCTCTGCTGCCGCTTGCTATTGCTGCCTACACGGTGGGTGGGTGCTTGGTTGCGCGTAGTGTGGGATCCTGGTTGTGTTGTGTGTCTTCCTCTCCTCCATTTCCTTTATATTCCATCCCTTAATCACTCCTCTTTCCCCTTCCCATCCACTCTCTTTTCCCATTCTTCTGTGCATCATATTGGTTTGACCCTGAATGCTCCGTCTTCCCACTCAACTCCTATTCCCCCGTTGCGCGGGGCCCGTTATTGGACATTGGCAGGTGTCCCTTCACCTTTGCATGAATCTGAACCGACTTAAAATTCTCCCTCTCTCCCCATCCGTCCTCACCCCTCCATTGCGCAGGGCCCGTTATTGGACATTGGTCGGTATCCCTTCACTTTTGCATGCGCATGGGTGTGGAGGCAAGGGATCTTCTTTCCGTGGCAGCAGTCCAGGTACGGTACGGTCAAACCAAGAGTTACATACGGCCCATGCCTGCGCAGTTACAGTATAGCCCTATGTTTTCTCCATCTCTTCTTGTGCTTGTGCATGGGCGTGGAGGCAAGGAATGCTATTTTCATTGCAGCATTCCAGCAGCTACGAGGGGCCATGCGTCCAGTCTTGTCCCCCTTCATGTGTTTCTCAGTGAACCCCTTCACATTCCACCTTGTTGTTGCAGGTGGGTGTTGGAATTCTAGAAAACCACCTGTTACCAGCACCTGTTCGTTCTTCCATTGCCCTTCTTCCTTGCCCCACTATCAGACACCCAGCCCTGCGAGGCGACAACTGGTGGAGGGGCCATGCGTCCGCCTTCCCCTTTTAGGGTTGTCACCTTCCCATGCTGCTTCACATGCTTCCCATTCCTTTGCCCCCACTCCCTTCTCACACACCCCCTTGCCCCCCTCCCAGGTACCCCGCACTGCAAGGCGACAACTGGTGGAGGGGCCATGCGTCTGCCTTCCCCCTGCCTAATAGTCACTGCTTCCCCACGCTGCCCTCTGTCTCCTCACATCATTCCATTGCCCCACTCCCAGGTACCCGGCCCTGCAAGGCGACAACTGGTGGAGGGGCCATGCGTCGGCCTTCCTCACTACGCATGACATCCCGTCGGCATGGTACATCCTAAGCATTGACTCCCGTACCACCCTTACTACCATCCCTTCCCCCCCACATCATGACTTCGCCCTCTCACTCCCAGGTACCCCGCACTGCAAGGCGACAACTGGTGGAGGGGCCATGCCTCGGCCTTTCTCAAGTACCTTCACCTGCCGTCCTCTGCTCTCAGGAAGGCGCGCGTCAGACAGGTGAGATCTGGTTCAGGTGATATTTGATACTCGTGTATTCTGGTGCATATTCTGGTGTATCTGTTTATCCTACCCCTCCCCTCCACTCCCCCCCCCCCCCCCCCCCCTCCCTATATCCCCTTCTCGTCTCTCTCCCACCCGTACCCCTTTTAATACCCTCCCACAGGAGGCAGCAGGGCAGGCGGTGTACTATGAGGTGGTGCTGCACCAGCTGCGCCTGGTCCTCTAGAAGTGTGCTGTGCTCGAACCCCCCTCTCTCCCACTGCTACCCCTCTCTCCTCCAACACACACAGGAGGCAGCAGGGCAGGCGGTGTACTTTGTGGTGGTGCTGCATCAGCTGCGGCTGGTGGTGGTGGCAGTGAGGGGCACAGAGTCCCTAGAAGACATGATTATTGACGGGCTGGGGAGAGAATGCCCGCTCAGTGACGCGGATATGGGAGGAATTGACAGGTGAGTTGGTTGGGACACAGTGAAGCAAGACAAGGTGCTGGCAGTGAGGGGGACGGAGTCCCTAGAGGATATGATAATCGACGGGCTGGGGAGAGAATGCCCCCTCAGTGACGCGGACATGGGAGGGATTGACAAGTTAGTGAGAGGTGTGGTGAGCTGCCTTAGATCCCGGTGTGTTTACTCGGTTGAGTTATGTGTGTACTCAAGTGAAACAAGAGGAACTGGCGGTGGGGACAGTGAGGGGCACGGAGTCCCTAGAAGATATGATCAATGACGGGCTGGGGAGAGAGTGCTTTAGCCTGTCGAAGCTCCAACCTCCCTGGTGACTCAAATACCCGCCAGGGACAAGTGCATTGCTTTTGGCCATGAGAAAGGGGTGGTGACTGCCAAAAGCACCGTGTCTTCCCCTCATTCCCCCTTCCACTCCTTCCCCCAGGTCCGAGCTTCAATCCCCCGGGTGACGGACAGGATGGTGCCGTACTTTGGGCATGCGGGGGTGGTGACACGCAGACCAAGTAGGCTTCCCCTCATTCTCCTTCCCATTTCTCCATGTGCCCCTTTGCCCCCCCTGCTCTGGCATCCCTTTCCCCTAGGTCGGAGCTCCACCCCCCTCTGGTGACGGACAGATTGGTGCCTTATTTTGGCCACGCGGGGGTGGTGACAGCAGCACGCGATCTGGCTCTGCAGCTGGATAACATGGGGGATGGGGGAGACGAGGAGGAAGGGAGAGGTGGGGGTGTGGAAGGTGGGCGTGGGGATGAAGAGGAGGGGTCGCTGCTGGGGCACAAGGAGGAGAGGAAGCGGCCGAGTAGAGGTGGGTGGCGGTACTGGTCGGTTGAGAGCGGTGATTTTTTATATTAGTGAGTTTAGAGGTGAGTGCTAATTTTTGTGTCTTGGTGCTGCTGATATTGGTGGGCTGATACGCTAGTGTTAATCTTTTTCGGCAAAGGTGGCGAGGGCAAACTATGGGTGCCATTCCGAATCTTTTTTCAGGCCCCTCCTCAGAAACTATGGGAGTACTTTTCAGGCTCCTCAGAAGCTTTTTTCAGACTAAGGGCCAATTCTACTCCCAAGTTGTCGCCTTGAATCCACTGGCTTCACTCCTCTGAGTGGGGCTGCCTCCCCAGTTCCTCTGAATCCACTTCTCAAAAGTCCCTCTGGCCTTCGTCCTCCCCTGTTCGCCCTTTGCCCTGCAGGCATTCTCTCGGAGCTGCTAGGGGAAGGGGGCGAGTGCGAGGGATATGGGCTGCGACTTTTGAGGCGCCTCATTATCAATTCCCACTGGCCTTCGTCCTCCCCTGTTCGCCCTCTGCCCTGCAGGCATTCTCTCGGAGCTGCTACGGGAGGGGGGCGAGTGCGAGGGGTATGGCTGCACTGCAGCTGTCTCATCTCGCAGTGGTTTCCCTTTTCTCCCTTCCTCATCCTCACTCTCTGCCCTGCAGGCATTCTCTCGGAGCTGCTAGGGGAGGGTGGCGAGTGCGAGGGGTATGGGCTGCGACTTGTGGGGCACTCCATGGGCGGTGCAGTGTGCGGCCTTACTGCCGTTCGGGTGAGTGAGTGCTTTCTGGGTGACCTTAACTGCTGTGGTGAAGAGAGGGGGAAGTGAAGGAGTGGCGTCTTGGCAGCAGTTGCGACTCGTGGGGCACTCCATGGGCGGTGCAGTGTGCGGCCTTACTGCCGTTCGGGTGAGTGAGTGCTTTCTGGGTGACCTTAACTGCTGTGGTGAAGAGAGGGGGAAGTGAATGACTGGCGTCTTGGCAGCAGTTGCGACTCGTGGGGCACTCCATGGGCGGTGCAGTGTGCGGCCTTACTGCCGTTCGGGTGAGTGAGTGCTTTCTGGGTGACCTTAACTGCTGTGGTGAAGAGAGGGGGAAGTGAAGGAGTGGCGTCTTGGCAGCAGTTGCGACTCGTGGGGCACTCCATGGGCGGTGCAGTGTGCGGCCTTACTGCCGTTCGGGTGAGTGAGTGCTTTCTGGGTGACCTTAACTGCTGTGGTGAAGAGAGGGGGAAGTGGAGGAGTGGCGTCTTGGCAGCAGTTGCGACTCGTGGGGCACTCCATGGGCGGTGCAGTGTGCGGCCTTACTGCCGTTCGGGTGAGTGAGTGCTTTCTGGGTGACCTTAACTGCTGTGGTGAAGAGAGGGGGAAGTGAATGACTGGCGTCTTGGCAGCAGTTGCGACTCGTGGGGCACTCCATGGGCGGTGCAGTGTGCGGCCTTACTGCCGTTCGGGTGAGTGAGTGCTTTCTGGGTGACCTTAACTGCTGTGGTGAAGAGAGGGGGAAGTGAAGGAGTGGCGTCTTGGCAGCAGTTGCGACTCGTGGGGCACTCCATGGGCGGTGCAGTGTGCGGCCTTACTGCCGTTCGGGTGAGTGAGTGCTTTCTGGGTGACCTTAACTGCTGTGGTGAAGAGAGGGGGAAGTGAATGACTGGCGTCTTGGCAGCAGTTGCGACTCGTGGGGCACTCCATGGGCGGTGCAGTGTGCGGCCTTACTGCCGTTCGGGTGAGTGAGTGCTTTCTGGGTGACCTTAACTGCTGTGGTGAAGAGAGGGGGAAGTGAAGGAGTGGCGTCTTGGCAGCAGTTGCGACTCGTGGGGCACTCCATGGGCGGTGCAGTGTGCGGCCTTACTGCCGTTCGGGTGAGTGAGTGCTTTCTGGGTGACCTTAACTGCTGTGGTGAAGAGAGGGGGAAGTGAATGACTGGCGTCTTGGCAGCAGTTGCGACTCGTGGGGCACTCCATGGGCGGTGCAGTGTGCGGCCTTACTGCCGTTCGGGTGAGTGAGTGCTTTCTGGGTGACCTTAACTGCTGTGGTGAAGAGAGGGGGAAGTGAAGGAGTGGCGTCTTGGCAGCAGTTGCGACTCGTGGGGCACTCCATGGGCGGTGCAGTGTGCGGCCTTACTGCCGTTCGGGTGAGTGAGTGCTTTCTGGGTGACCTTAACTGCTGTGGTGAAGAGAGGGGGAAGTGAATGACTGGCGTCTTGGCAGCAGTTGCGACTCGTGGGGCACTCCATGGGCGGTGCAGTGTGCGGCCTTACTGCCGTTCGGGTGAGTGAGTGCTTTCTGGGTGACCTTAACTGCTGTGATGAAGAGAGGGGGAAGTGAATGACTGGCGTCTTGGCAGCAGTTGCGACTCGTGGGGCACTCCATGGGTGGTGCAGTGTGCGGCCTTACTGCCGTTCGGGTGAGTGAGTGCTTTCTGGGTGACCTTAACTGCTGTGGTGAAGTGAGGGGGAAGTGAATGACTGGCGTCTTGGCAGCAGTTGCGACTCGTGGGGCACTCCATGGGCGGTGCGGTGTGCAGCCTTTCTGCCATTCGGGTGAGCATTGTGGGGGAGTCAAGGGACGAAGGGGATAATTCCTCTTGAATTGTGCCGACTTGACATCTTGGCTTTTACCACTGCGTCAGCCTCTATTCTTGTAACAATTCATGTAACTCACCATTGTCCCTTTGCAAAACCGTTTCCATCTTCCTAGCCGTAACTCACCACAGCTAGGCATACAGATCCCCTAGCTGCGCGCCATTGGCTATGGCTCCTGACTTGGACATTGGACATTAGCCATTGGCCATTAACATACGTCACTGCCTCTCTTCTTGTGACAACTCCCGTAGACCTCACCCTTTTCCCACTACACCTGCTCCATTCTCCCTACACAGTTGAGAAAACGCTTCCCTGAGCTGCGGGCGATAGGCTATGGGTCTATGCCCTGTGTTGACTTTGCGACTGCCTCTGCCTGCTCCAACTTCATCACCACGTGCGTGCTTTGTTTCACTGTGCCATGAATTCGTGATTCCCTATTGTGCGATTTCGTCACCTCGTTCGTGCTTCGATTTGCTTCCGTGTTGCGAAGTCCTGGTTATTTAGGCAGTTGTTTGGCTCAATCTCTTTTGTGCAACTTCATCAACACGTAAATGCTTAGCGAAGCTTCAGGTAATGCTTAGCGAAGCTTCAGGTAATGCTTAGCGAAGCTTCAGGTTATGCTTCAGGTAATGCTGAGCGAAGCTTCAGGTGTTTGCTGAGTATCCTCTTCTTCATGCTCTCCCGAACCATGAGTGACGACGGAGCTTCAGGTGTTTGCTGAGTATCCTCTTCTTCCTCCCTTCTATTTCCTCCATCTTCCTACCCTTGCTTTTCTCCGTTACAGCTTCGAATATATTGATTGATTCTCCCCGCATACATCAGGGGCTTCAGTCATGCGCCTGCGAGCGGCAGCGCTCCAGGCTGTAGCAGCCACGTTCACAGCCCTCACACGTGTACCTCTCCCCATTCCCTTTCCCCCCTCACCCCCTACAGCTTCGTATATAACGACGAATTTTCCCCGCGTACGTCTGTAGCATCAGTCATGCGGCTGCGAGCAGCAGCGCTCCGGGCTGTAGCAGCAGACACGCGCGCAGGAGGCCTCCTGGGGACGGCTGTAGCGGCAGTGGGGCCGGGCGCGCAGGCAGGATCGGCTGGCATGAGGGCTGCTGCTGTGGATCGGCTGTTGTCTCGGCTCTTCACTCTGCCGTTTGGGAGCAGGCGCGGGGATGAAGGTAAAGACGTGGGCTGGGAGGGGGGTGGGGTGGAGGGAGCAGGTTCAGGAGGGCAGGAGGAGGGGGAGCAGCAGCAGAGAGAGCATGGGAAGCCGAAGCTGCAAAGGATGGCTAGCTTTGCGAGGACTGCTGCGGCGTCTGCGGCATCGGCAGCGTTGGCAGCGTCAGAAGCAGCCTCTTCTGCTGCTTCTGCTGCGGCTCATTCTGCGCAAACCGCACTGCACCACGCCGCACACCTCTCGGCCCTGCACCACCACCACCACCACCATCACCATCACCATCACCACCACTTTGGCTTTCACAGGCACTGGGGACAGCGAGACGAGGAGGAAGGAGATGAAGTGTTGTCACATGGGTTGCACGTTCCAAGGCAATGGAAGGGGTTGGGTATCATTCCCACTGTCAAACGTGCTCGTGCCACTGCTGGTGCTGCTGCTGCTGGCGGTGGTGGTGGTGCTGCTGCTGCTGCTGCTGCTGGGACTGCTGGCACTTCTGGTGCTGTGGTTGCTGCTGCTGGCGGCCCTAGGCTGACGGGATATGCCAGGGAAGATTATGCTTCCCTGATTGAGTATTGCCAGGCTAAGGGGGATAAGGACGCACAGGATTGGCTGAGAGAAAACGTCTTGCCACGTCAGCGGAAGAAGAAATATCTCTGGGGCAGGTGGGGAGGGAGGAGAGTGGGAAGGGGGATGGATGAAGGGGGAGGTGCAGGGATTGACAGGGAAAGAGAGGGGAGGAGTGGTGTTGGGGAGAGAGGTGTGAGGAACGGTGGAGAGCAGTTAGAAGGAGTGCAGGAGGTGGAAAGTGAAAGGGACTCCGCTGGAGGAGGATTAAATGTTGGGGCTTCCAAGCCTGGCCCCAAACCTAGCGGCCAACCTAGCCTCGGAAGGTCCATCTCGGACCTTTCCTATATGAGAGGCTCCGTAGGTTCTGGTGGTTTGGCATCAGGAGCAGCCGCGGCAGCTGCGGCAGCAGCCACAGAAGCAGCAGACTCCGGAGCGAGAGGAGGGGGAGGAGGAGTGGAGATTGTTGAAGAGAATGGATCAGCTGGAAGGGTGTCAGCTGAATCAGGTGGAGGAGCTGAGAGTAGGAAGTTACCACGAGATAACTTATTGGTAGGGTCCGCAGGGTCAGAACCTGCGGCATCTCTCGCTACCGTGTCGCCTGCTACAGTGTCAATCGCTAAAGTGCCACCTATTACAGCATCATCTGCTACAGTGCCACCTGCTACAGTGCCACCTGCTACAGTGCCACCTGCGACAGAATCATTGTCACAAACCCCTGTTGTCGGGCCAAACAACATCAGCAGTAGCAGTACCAGCAGCATCCTCAGCACCAGAAGCAGTGGCAGGATTAGCAGCAGCAGCAGCAAGCGGTTGGTGAAGTCTGCTCATGAGATGCAAGGCGTGTGGTGCCTTGTGTCAGGGGTAGCTGGATTCGTTGTATCTGCCAGCCAGCACGGGCACTGCCGCACAAAGATGGAGCTCCCAGGGATGCAGCAGTCTGATAAAGATGCCACTGCTGCCGCTGGTGGTGGTGCTGCTGCTGCTGCTGTTGCTGCTGGTTGTGGTGCGGGTGGTGGTGGTGGTGGTGCTTCTGCTACCACTACGCCTGCTCCTTCTGCTGCTGCTGCTGCTGCTGCTGCTGCTCCAGCCACCAACACTCACTCACGCACTCTTCCTCCCCTCCCTCCTGCTACTGCCGCCCCTCCCTCCCTCCCAGCAGCACGTGCTAGCAGCAGCGATGCCTCTGGGAGGAGGGAGAGTGATGGGAGCGGATTCACAGGAGGCAACAAGGAAGCATCTGGTGCAGTAACTGCTGCTGCCACTTCTCCTGCTGGTGCCCCATCTGCTTCTGATGCTGCCTCTCCTTCTCATAGTAACTCTCCTGCTGCTGCTGCCTCTGCTGCAGCCTCTGGTGATCCAAGCACGGAGGGCGACTGCAGGCAAAGCAACAATGCGGAAGAGTCACAGCGGCGGCAACAGCAGCCGCAACAGCAGCAACAACAACAGAATCCCAAGGCAGCACCCGAGAAACCTCCAGCAGCAGCAGCATCACCCTACAAGCTCCCTCCCTTGCATCATGGGCGCATGAAACGGTCCCGCTCCCTCCTCTCCCACCTCCCTCGCCGCAGCAGCAGCGCCAACGATGTTGCAGCTGCTGCAGCCGATGCTGACAGTGGTGGCAGCAGTGGCAGCAGCAGTGGTGGTGGCTGGGGAGGTGGCTTTCACTGGGGTGGGAGCGGAGGAGGAAGAGGGAACCAAAGGAGCGGTTCTGCTGGTGCTGCTGCTGGTGGTGCTGCTGCAAGGAGGAGTGCGAGTGGCGGTGCTGGTAACCGCATGGGTGGGGATGTAACACATGGCAGGACCCGGCCGGCTTGGCTGGTGGAGCAGGAGCAGGAGTTTCCAGGGGAGGTGTATGTGCTTGGCAAGGTCGTGCATATAGTGAGGGAAGAGGTTAGACCTGCCACGTCAGCAGTGCGGACAGTGAGGGAGGATAAGGCTGCCACGTCAGCAGTGCGGACAGCGAGCAAGGATAAGGGTGCCACGTCAGCAGCCGGCCCGTCTGAGGCTGACGCAGCGTCTGTGAGGATCGATGTGGACGATGGGAATGAGGGTGCGATCTGCATTGATGTTATTGAAGGTGATATTATCGAAGGTGTTCGGAATGGAGGAGCCCGACAGAACGGCAACGGATGGGCGAGAGGCAAGGATGAGGGGTGTGAAGGGGTTGAGATGGGTGAAAGGGGTGAGGCGGGCGAGAGGGGGGAGAGGGGTGAGGGGGGTGAGGGGGATGAGGGAGCTGAAGAGGAGGCCAAAGCCACGGGTTCAAGAATGGGCGGGATGCAAGGTGGGATGCAAGGTGGAGTGCAAGGCCAAATGCAAGGCGGGTCACAGGAGGAGAGGGTGTTGGAGGCAGCAGCGGCCAAGCCAGGGTTACTGGAGTCGTTTCGGTTGCTGGCAGGCAGCCCCTTTGCCTCCTCGCGCCACCGCGCCCGCTTCATCCCCCGGGAGTCGCTGCGAGATCTCCTCGTCTCGCCCTCCATGTTCCTCGACCATCTGCCCTGGAGGTAAATCCTGGTTTTATCCTCCTTTTTTGGGAGCATGTGCTGCAATTATGCCCGTTCTCTAGAAGTAATACCGTATGCTTCCTCCCTCCCGTCCTTCTCGTCATTGGTGTAAATTCGGTCATCCAACACTTTTTCACAAACTAATCGGTTTTGTTGCCAACGTGGTTCCCTTTTGGTGTTCAATGATACGCAGGATGTCACACGCCTTCAAGGATCTTCTTCAAGACCATAAAGCTCCAGCATGATCTCTTGTACGAATCCCAAACACCCAAATATATGCACCATTTTTACAGTGCAGACTACTAAGGTGTCGCATCTCTCACCGGTGGAGCGTGAGAATCCCAGAAATGCGCATCCCATGACGCTGCGCCAGCTCAGCTCAGGATGCCGCGTGGAAAACAATTTGCTGCCATCGCACTTCTGGATTTTCCCCCACCCGTGGAGGATGCCGCATGCTTGCTAGTTTTCCTGTTGAGCTGCCACCGTATTGAAACAAACATTATCCCACTGAAGCGAGCGGTAGCGTGTTGAACCTAATCGAACACTCTTTTCAAGCTGTATGTGTGCCGTACCCCACTTTCCCGAACCTGAGTTGCAAGCAAGGATTCAAGAGACATCTTGCACTTCGTAACTTCGGATCTTGCTTTTAGGAACCTCGGGATTCGGTAGGAACTGATTACCATAGTTGACACCTGCGCGTATTAGAGTTGACCACGTTACGCGACGCTCATTTATCCGTGCGAAGATACCTCGAGAACGTCGCGACCTCCGCTTTCGACTCATTCTGTAACCAACGCGTCTCCTAAATTACTCGTGTCGCCACATTCCCTGGCCATGGCTCCCAAGAAAGGCGATTCCGCCGGCGGAACGAGCGGCAAAGGCGGTAAAGCAGGGTCAGGCAAACCGGCCGCCGCGGACCGGAAAAAGTTTTCTGTCAGCAGCATCGTCGTAGAGGAGAAAGGCAAAGGCGAACGGAAACCGTCCGTCACCTCTTCCAGCAGCGGCGGCGGCGGCGGGGGAAAGAAATCGCGCGCCCCTCCGAGCAAGAAGCCGCAAAACGATTACCTCGCGGGCGTCGATCTCCCGCCGTCCGATGACGAGGAGGAAGAAATAATGGACGGCGCAGATGATGGGGAGTACGTTGAGGACGACGATGTTGGGGGATCCAAGACGGGGAAAGGTCGCGGGCTTGTATCGGGGATGGGAAACTTGCAGATGTCGGATAAGCAAGCGAAGAAGAAGAAGGAAAAGGAGCTTATGATTGAGCAAGCCCAGGAGGAGGCGCGTAAAGAGGCTCTTAAAGCGGACGACGCTAACGCGTTTTCCGTCACTCTCGGTTCCCGAGTCGCGGATGACCCTTCGGAAGAGGCGGACGGCGCGGCGGGATCTGCGGCCGACGCGAACGTGCGCGATATTAAAGTGGAGAACTTTTCGGTCTCGGCGCGCGGGAAGGAACTATTCAGAAACGCGTCGCTAACTATCGTTCACGGAAGGCGGTACGGGCTAGTGGGTCCCAACGGCAAGGGTAAATCGACGGTGATGAAGCTGCTTGCGCGGCGGCAGCTGCCTGTGCCACGTGGCATTGACGTGCTCTTAGTGGAGCAGGAGGTGGTCGGGGACGAAAGATCCGCGTTAGAAGCTGTCGTGACTGCAGATCAGAAGCTGGTGAAGTTACGCGAGGAAGAAGCGCGGTTACGAGCGATTTTGGATAAATTCTCGCATGCGGAAGGGGAAGGGGAGGAAAAGGAAAAGCAGGTAGAGAGTAGCGAGACGGCGGAAGAAACGGCGGATAGTGGGCTGACAGGGAAGGGGAAAGGGAAAGGGAGGAAGAAGGGTGCGCAAGCAGCAGCAGCTGCTGCTGCTGCTGCTGCTGCCGCCGCAGCCGCGACGGCGGAGGAGGAGGAAGACGAGGCGAGCGCAAGCGAGAAGCTCGCGCACGTGTACGACGAGATGCGCGAGATCGGCGCGGAAGCGGCGGAGGCGCGCGCATCGAAGATCCTCGCGGGTTTGGGGTTTACGAAGGAGATGCAGGCGCGATCGACGAAATCGTTCTCGGGGGGTTGGCGCATGCGAATCTCGCTCGCGCGCGCGCTTTACGTGCAGCCGACGCTGTTGCTGCTGGACGAGCCTACTAATCACCTGGATCTTAGGGCGGTCCTATGGTTGGAGGAGTATTTGATGAGATGGAAGAAGACTCTAATAGTCGTGTCGCACGATCGCGACTTTCTTAACTCTGTCTGCACGGATATTATTCACCTGCACGACGAGAAACTGTTCTTCTACAAGGTAAGAGATTAGCAGTTTCTGTGTCGTGGTATCGAGGGGTTTAGAACGCGGATATCTGAACTCTGTGTCCACGGATTCACCTGCACGACGAGAAACTGTTCTTCCACAAGGTGAGAGAGTATGGACGGATGCAGTTTCTGTGTCGCGGTTTCGACGGGCTTAAAACGCGGATGTTTGAACTCTGTCTGCACGGATATCATCCACCTGTGCGACGAAATGCTTTTCTGATGTAAGAGTCTGGCTGTTTCTGTGTTGGTGTTTTGAGGGAGGCTCTAAATCGAATAGAAGGGATGTCACGACGAGAAACTGTTTTTGTGTAAGGGTGAAAAGCGGTGTCTGAAGCTGTAAGGGAGCGTTAAATGCGGATATCAATCATATGCATCCCTTCTCATTCTCTGCCTGTCGTTCTGGCGTTCTATTTTCTCTCTCTCTGGGAAACAACTGTGGGATGTGCTAGCAGAATGGGCAGGAGAGTATATTTGGTTACTCACATGTTTTTCCTTCCTTGCTTCCTTTCCTTCTCTCCCTCTTCCAGGGTAACTTCGAGGGGTTTGAGGAGATGTACGAGCAGAAGCGGCGGGAGAACAACAAGAAGTTTGAGGTGTATGAGAAACAGCTTAAGGCGGCCAAGCGGTCCGGGAACAAGCAGAACCAAGACAAGGTGAGAAGAGCTGGTAACCAGGTAACTAGGGTACAAAGGATCTGGTAACCAAGGTTGGGGTGGGAGAACAATAAGAAGTTTGAGGTGTATGAGAAACAGCTCAAGGCGGCTAAGTGGTCCGGAAACAGGCAGAACCAGGACAAGGTGAGCGCTGGTTGTAACCAGGTAACCACAGTAATCAGATGCACAGGTGCTGGTAACCAGATTTGTGGTGGCAGAACAACAAGAAAATTGAGGTGTATAAGAAACAGCTTGAAGAGGCCAAGCGATCAGGCAACAAGCAGAACCAGGACAAGGTGAGCGCTGGTAACCAAGGAGTAACTTGATACAAAAGATCTGGTAAACAAGGTTGGGGTGGGAGAACAACAAGAAGTTTGAGGTTTATGAGAAACAGCTTAATGCGGCCAAGCGGTCCGGGAACAAGCAGAACCAAGACAAGGTGAGAAGAGCTGGTAACCAGGTAACTAGGGTACAAAGGATCTGGTAACCAAGGTTGGGGTGGGAGAACAATAAGAAGTTTGAGGTGTATGAGAAACAGCTCAAGGCGGCTAAGTGGTCCGGAAACAGGCAGAACCAGGACAAGGTGAGCGCTGGTAACCAGGTAACTAGAGTAATCAGATGCACAGGTACTGGCTATCAGATTTGTGGCGAGAGAACAACAAGAAGGTTGAGGTGTATGAGAAACAGCTGAAAGGGGCCAAGCGATCAGGCAACAAGCAGAACCAGGACAAGGTGAGTGGAGTAGGTTGGGGTGTGAGAACAACAAGAAGTTTGAGGTGTTTGAGAGGCTACTCAAAGCAGAGAAGCGGTCCGGGAACAGGCAGAACCAGGACAAGGTGAGAGGTGATAAGGAAGGACCGAGCCAAGTTAACACACAGGAAGTGGACTGAGTCTGAGAGTGACGTTTGGATCGACTTAAAAGTCTATTCCGCCTCATCCCGTTACAATCACCCCACCCCACCCCACCCCATTCGACACAATCACAGGTGAAGGACCGGGCCAAGTTCAATGCGCAAAAGGAGGCGCGGAAGGGCGGGAAAAAGAGCGCCAGCTCAGCAGGCGACGCGGACGACGACGCACCAACCGAAGCCCCCAAGAGATGGCGAGACTACGCTGTTGAATTCCATTTCCCTGAACCCACCGAGCTCACACCGCCTCTGCTCCAACTCAAGGAGGTCTCCTTCTCGTATCCCAACCGGCCGGATTTCGCGCTTTCGGAGGTCGATGTGGGGATAGACATGGGGACGCGGGTTGCGATAGTTGGGCCGAACGGGGCGGGGAAGTCGACGCTGCTGAATCTGCTCGCGGGGGATTTGCAGCCGACGCAGGGGGAATCTAGACAGAGCCAGAAGCTAAGGATTGGGAGGTATTCACAGCATTTTGTGGACCTACTGGCGTTTGATGAGACGCCTGTGGAGTATTTGCTCCGGTTGTACCCGAACCAGGAGGGCCCGAGCCGGCAGGAGGCGGTTCGGAGCAGGCTCGGGAAGTTTGGGCTGCCGAGCCACAATCATCTGACGCCGATCGTGAAGCTGAGCGGAGGGCAGAAGGCTCGGGTGGTGTTCACTGCGATCAGCATGGCTCGGCCGCACATCCTGCTGCTGGATGAACCGACAAACCATCTTGACATGCAGGTATGATGGCCTGTTGGTATGAAGTCATGCAGGTGCGGTGGAATGCCACTCGTTCATGTTCCATGCCAGAACCTTGCTGTGAACGAGTGGCATGAAACACAGTTGTACTTGTTTGGGTGGTGTTCGCTGCGATCAGCATGGCCCCGCCACACATTCTGCTGCTGGATGAACCGACAAACCATCTTGACATGCAGGTGTGCGTGGGTGACTAATGGAGGTATCTAGGTCATCTGTTGAGTCTACCTGTAGGGTATTGATTGATCAGCATGACTCGACCGCACATTCTGCTGCTGGATGAACCAACCAACCATCTTGACATGCAGGTATTGTGATATGCCAGCCCTTCCCGTTCACATACAATGCATTATCTGAAATCCCATCTTTTCCCGTTCACATACAATGCATTATCTGAAATCCCATCTTTTCCCGTTCACATACAATGCATTATCTGAAATCCCATCTTTTCCCGTTCACATACAATGCATTATCTGGAATCCCGTCTTTTCCCGTTCACATACAATGCATTATCTGAAATCCCATCTTTTCCCGTTCACATACAATGCATTATCTGAAATCCCATCTTTTCCCGTTCACATACAATGCATTATCTGAAATCCCATCTTTTCCCATTCACATACAATGCATTATCTGAAATCCCATCTTTTCCCGTTCACATACAATGCATTATCTGAAATCCCATCTTTTCCCGTTCACATACAATGCAGGTATGTGGTGATTTTGCACTGCATGGGACCTTTAGGTCTCGTTTCCCGCGTGTGTGACGACGAGGAGATGGCTGAGATCTGGTTTTTGAGAATTCTAAAAAACCATCCGCAAGAACCATGCTCAAAAACCATTCTCAAAAACCAGTGCAGGGGGCCTTTTAGGTCTCATCTCCCGCGTGTGACAACGAGGAGAGGACTGATATCTAGTTGCTCAAAACTCGAGGGCTGATATCTGGGTGGTTGGTGGTGGGCCAAGCTTACCTGACTCGTGCTCACTTAGTTTGCATGTACCACCCTTGCTCATGTCTCCCTTGTTTCGCGCAGAGTATCGATGTTCTGGCAGATGCACTGAAGAAATTCACGGGAGGGGTGGCGCTGGTGTCTCACAGCTTGCGGCTCATATCCCTCGATCCTATCTTCCCATCCGCCCTTGTTATTCCCCGTACCCTTAACAGAGTATCGATGCGCTGGCAGATGCATTCGACGAATTCACTGGAGGCGTGGTGCTGGTGTCTCACGACTCGCGAATCATCTCCCTCTTCCCATCTTATATCCCCCATCCCCGTGACAGAGTATTGATGCTCTGGCAGATGCATTAGATGAGTTCACCGGAGGGGTGGTGCTGGTGTCTCACGATTCGCGGCTCATCTCGCGCGTTTGTGACGACGAGGAGAGGGCTGAGATCTGGGTGGTCGGGGCGGTGACCCCACTACTTGATTTATGCTCAATTCTCATTGTACCACCCCTCTCCGTGTCTCCCGTGTTTTGTACAGAGTATTGACGCGCTCGCAGACGCATTAGACGAGTTCACCGGAGGCGTGGTGCTGGTGTCTCACGACTCGCGGCTCATCTCGCGCGTGTGTGACGACGAGGAGAGGGCTGAGATCTGGGTCGTGGACAATGGCACGACCAAGAAGTTTCCGGGCAGCTTCGAGGACTACAAGCAGCAGCTGATTAAGGAGATCATTGCAGAGGTGGAGGATTAGGATTGGAGGATTGGGTTTGGTGGGATGGGATGGGGTCAGACTGGAGAGTGGCTGATGTGATGTTGCGTTGAGGATGAGAAGTTCTTTTTACAGTGAAGTATTGATGCATCGGGGTGCTGTAGACACCACATCAAGTGTCATACAATGTTCTACATCAGAACCGGTCTCGGAACATACGGATGTACGGTACGGTATGTCTTCGTTTGCTCCAAAGGCATGACTTGTTAGTCTTGCAAGAGCAACACACCTCTCAAGAGAAAGTCATGACTTGTTTTTAGTCTTGCAAGTGCAAGTCCTAAATTACACCTCCCAAGAGAAAGGCATGACTTCTGCCATCACAATTAGGGTTTGATGCATGTCCTTGGTTCGGGTAGGTACCATAACTCGTTTGCTTAAGGTCGAACAGAGTTACATCCTCCATGCTACCTGACACAACCTAGTTTGACAATTTGACAACAAAAAATGGTGTGGTGTCCGCAGAACCCTTGTACACAGCTAATGGCTTTGCTCACAAAGTCCCTCTGGGCTGGTGTACGATCACATGCCCCGATCCTGCGATAGTAGCCCATGAATTTGTGCCAGTGGCACACGATCGCTCGTTAGTAGCACACTGTTAGTCAGAAGCTCCGGAACATTCTGGAAAGCTGAAGTCCTGGAGAGCTATTAGTCGCAGGAAACACGGCTCCTTTTGAAACATACTCCCGGCGCGGTGTTTAGAACCCCGCAGTTTCGTCATCAGCGATCCTGTGTGCGACGGCTGGACGTCTCTGCGACTTCACTGCGACTTCATGCACTGTCGCATGCGAGTGGTTACGAATGGGCGACCACGTACGACGGCAGCGGACACGAGTCGGATAATCGCACAACAACGGGGTAGTTCCTTTCCAAACCGGCGTACAAGCCTGCGTCAGGCCCTTCCCAAGCCTGCTGCACCGAACCAAACATCCGATCCACAATGACCCGCCGACCCTCGGCGTCATTCACCGCGCCGGCTTCCGGACGTAGCGGCGGCAACTCCGAGGTGAGAAGGACAGCGGAACTCCCGTCTTTCGGAATTCCATTCTCCAAGCTTGTCCTCTCAGCATCGTTGCGCGTGTTCCGCTCGTCAAGCTTGTTTCCCGCGTCGCACTCGTCCCCCTCGCATTCGCAAAATTCCAATTCGAGCGCCTCGTCGAAGAAATCGTCGCCGATGCGGTGTTGCCATTCCAGCAGCAGCCGCGGCGTGCAAGGCGAACTGCCGTCGGAGCTGCTGTAGGCCTCCATGATTTTATCCGAATCGGATCGCGGATACGCCGCGATTTGGTCCGATTCCGATCGAGGGAACGCGCGAGACGATAGAGGGTACGATTCGACGGAGAAGCGTCCCGAGTCGGGGATGTCTGCAACGCGGCCGTCCACTGATTTCGATCGCCGTATGGCGTGTGAGACTTTTTCCTGAAGCTTCCGAGCTCGCTTGAAGCTGGGAAAACGAGCCGCCTTCGAGCCGCTAACGCCCATTCTGAGCTGCTTCGAGAAGTTGCTGGTTGGCTTGACGATGCGAGACGCAAGCAAACTTTCTAGAAAATAAGAAAGCGGCGAACAGCGTGGAAGGGATGGGTGAAGCTCTGCTAAGCCAAGCTGACTTAGAGCAGTGCTGATGTTGTTTTGCTGATTTTGCCGTACAGGCTATGGCTGCATGCAAATATTCACCTAGAGAACTTGCTCCTGAGAATGGAAAAAGGATTTGAGATCGAACGAGCTAGCTCTCATTTGTACAAATGCTGGACGGGAGGCGCACTTTGCGGATTTTAGGTCTGGTCTGGTCATCAAACTAAAGAGCACCTACAATGCCGCAAAGTGCGGTGCGGAAATTAGACTACATTTTCCATCGAGTTGACTTTTTTGCTGCGCGACGCGATCACACCCACTGTTTCATCGTGATCACGACGCCATCTCCTCGTCGTGAGAGGCGCTCCACCGTTCGAAGTGGTGCCAGCTTAGCGGGCGGCGACAATCGCTGCCACTCATGGACCATTGTGTGTTCCCGTCTCGAACCGCATCTCGAGGTCAACGTGGAATGGTTGGAGAAATGTGAAGTGTACAGTACACGTAAACGGAAGTTCATAGGCGAGGAGAAATTGCAAATTTGATGTGGAACGAACGCCAGCTGAAAGACATTGAATCTGGGAGGGGTGTGGTGTGGTCGGGTCTGGTGGTCGTCTGGTGGTCACCAAAGCGGGCTCGAACCGCAATGTGGAGGAGCAAGAAATTTCGCGCGGGAACATTTTTGCCTCGTCGTCACACAAGCACATCCTCAGCTCAAGATTCTTGGCTATGGTAAAGCGACATTGGCGGCACAATTAGTCCGTATATTACGGGAGTGACATGGATGCGGGAAGCTCTGTGATTCGAGTTTGAGGACAAATGCACTTTTGACAGCCTGTACGCTGGACTAGGCTCACGCTGATTACGGCCTAATACGACAAAGTAACAAGAATTGGGGTGTGCCGTGGGTTTTAGCGGCTCCAGCACACCACGAACAGCACCCCAGCCGTGCCTTCCGAAGAGATCGCGACAGGAAATGCGGTGTGTTGCGTACACAAGCTTCGTGTTTCACCACGGTTTAATTTGGCTGATATGGTATGTCGATCGGACAACTTCTTTGAAGTGCATATAAATAATTGAGAGATGTATTTCGATCATCTACTGTGTTATCACTAACGGTTAAGCATAATTCTATCCCCATCACTGTATCATTTACGAACGGTTAAGCATATGATGCTTTTTACTTGATATTATCACCTCTGAGGTCTTGGTTTGCTCATGTTTATAACCTTCCCATGAGTACGACACTTGTTTTATCTGAAACAAAGGAGAACATGTATAAATTGCTTTCTTTCTGATAATATAGCGTTTTTTATGCCATGACATATTTCTCGTGCATTGTTTGAAGATGCTTTGAGATTGTTTACATTGTGTTTTATTATCTGCGTCTTCATCACATCCATGTTGTTTGAGAGCTTGTACGTGCAATGATGCTGCATTTGACGCCTCATGGGAGTTGCTTGTTTGACAGAGTTTCTGGTGTTGGGGGTAAAATGCATTTCCCCGAAGCGAAGCGCCTCACAAAATCCGCCATGGCTTGGGGAAACCTGCCAGTCGCAGCCGCACCGCATTATTTGGCAAGCCAGGGAATCCCAAACTGGTTCGGGGTCAGCATGGCGAAGCAACGAAAATATTACTGTCGAGGAAAACGGCCATTTGCACCAAGTATGGTGCAGTACCTTCCATCATTCGAGAATTTCTTGATGAAGTAAACGAAATCTAGTCACCTGCACATTTTCTAAATCATGAAAGGCAGCCCGTCAAAACAGGGGGGTATTCGGAAACAACACCTCATCAAACAATCGTATTTGCCATACCCCGAAACAACACGAGACGGCCGACAAACCGAGTCAGGTTCGGCTCCTGATCCGAACCTGCTTTTTGGTCCCGCGTCGCCCGCAGTCTGTCAGAGAGCCTGACTTCGCGTACCAGGCTGGTCCAGCCCAGACCACATTCTTGTTACCGTTGGCTAGGCATGGCACCACTGCACATCATCGGGATTTGGGAATTTCTTTGGTGATGGTGGAATTCACTACGGTAGCTCACTCGGAACGGGGCGGACGCTGATTGTTCCTTCTTTCGTGTTCTGCTTCCATACCCTACCAGATTTTGAATGGCAAGCAGAAGTACTTTCAGGATACCCTTGTCGGTGTAGCTGCTTGCCTGATAGAGTTTAGGACTCGGAGCGAAGCACTGCCTCGACCTGCGGTGACGTTAACTCAACGCATTGCACGACGTAGACGCTTCGATAGTCACCGGTTCGACTTTTCTGATTAGGCTCCGTTATGATGTCGATACGTCACATGATGTCGTCTTCGACGTTTTTGCCGCTTCTGTTTCTCGTTTCAGTGAGCCTTCTTTCCTCCGTGAGAGCAGCGCCAGCAGCGGCTAAGCCATGGGGTAAGTTATTCGTTCTGTTTCGAAGTAATATCACTTTGTTCAGATACACCAGAAAAGTGAATTTTCAGGTCCATAGTCACATCAGAACAATGACTCCGCACGTCATAAGCAACGTTTAGTCGACGGCTGTTACCCATGACAACTGGCGCACAACAACTTGTCTTCAAGCAGCCAATAGTGGTTATCTTAGTCGTCAATCCGACATATAGAGCCTCTTCGCAACCTCAGCTGTCTTATGACAGACTTCAATGGCAATGTTGCACCGTCGATGTCGATGTCTTACAGCATTGAACGGCTTCGTCCGGCCCTTATTCATTCTGCTTCCAGGCTTTTTCGTCCCCCACACGTCGTTTGATTGACACCCGCTCCGACACGCTAGTATTACACTCCACGCTTCTTCTTTCTGTCCCGTCTCTCCGCACAGCCAGCATCGGCATCGACTGCGGCGGCTTGAAGAACTTCATGGGCGATTTTACCCGGCAGTGGTCGCGAGAAGACGGGCTTACAAGCAGCATGGCTGGCTCGCCGAATTACTACTTACACTGCTGCATGCTTCATCTACCCGACCCTGCAGGTGGCATCCGCATCGACAGCGGCGGCATGAAGAACTTCACGGACAACTTCACCCGGCAATGGTCGCGCGATACCGGCTTCACGAGCGGCATGGCGGGCACGCTGAACCTCACGGGCGTGCCGAACGAGTTCAACATGCCCATGTACCAAAAGACGACGCGCTACTACCTGTTCGCGCTCGAGAACTGCTACGAGATGACGGTGCCCGCCGGACATTACCTTATTCGGATGTTCTTCAACCCGGGACCCCCCAATGAACGCGGCGATCCGGTGAGTTCTGCCAGTCTCGCAGATGCATTGTTTGTCCTCTCATCCTTGGAAACGCCTGAGAAACGCTTGCGTAAGACCATCGAATCCTCACGGATGCGAAACCCTTTTGAGTCGACTCAGAAGTCACCTGGAAACGCCTGAGAAACGCTTGCGTAAGACCTTCGAATCCTCACGGATGCGAGACCCACTCCGACTGTGAGCATTTCGTGACATCCGGCGGTGTTTTTAAGTTCTCTTCAGCCCTGGTGAGCATCAGTTCTTACCCTTCTTCCGCGACCTTTACTCTCTTTCTCTTCCCCCTTCCATCCCTCCTTCCATTCTCCCCCCTTTCCCGTTCTTTCGCCCAATCACCCCTATCCTCTCCGCCACCCCCTTCCGCCTTCCCCTACCCACTTCCCCCCTCTCCCTACCCCCTTCTCCCCCCCTCTGGCAGACCCGCGAGTTCGCGGTGTCCACGCTCTCCACTCAGATCGCCATGATCACGCCGCGAACGCCCGGCGAGTTTCGCGAAATGATGGTAACCTACCCCGGCCCGAACGCGGAGCTGGACGTTTGCTTCGTCGCCAACCCTTCCGCACTGTCGGCGTTCGTCAATGCCCTCGAGATCCTGCCGGTGAGGGTGCCAGTAAAGACAAGGGAGAGTGTGCTTGTTGGGATGCTACCAATAGGACAAGGGAGAGGCTGATTGTTTATACTCACGGATGTTTGGGAGAAGCGAACCTAACACTGTCGGCGTTCGTCAACGCCCTTGAAATCCTGCCGGTGAGGGTGCCAGTAAAGACAAGGGAGAGTGTGCTTGTTGGGATGCTACCAGTAGAATAACTTCCCCTTGAAGGGAGCGGCCGACTGGTTCTATTCACGGCTGTCGGCGTTGGTCAACGCCCTCGAGGTCCTTCCGGTAAGACAAGGAAGAGGCCGACTGGTTCTATTCACGGATGCTTGGAAGAAGCGACCCTAACTTTGTCGGCGTTCGTCAACGCCCTTGAAATCCTGCTGGTGAGGGTGCCAGTAAAGGGCGTTGGTCAACGCCCTCGAGATCCTGCCGGTAAGACAAGGGAGAGGCCGACAGACAACTTGTTTCGTCCACGTCCTTTTTCATCCGCGGCTATATCATGCACAGCTGTTCCATCCACGGCTGTTGGAGAGGATCAAACCGGCTTCCTTTTCCCTCCCCTTCCAGATCGACCCAGAGGCATGCTTGACAGACCCCAACTACATTCTCTTCAACTATACGCATGCGTCACTCCCTCTCTTTTTCCCGGCGGCCTTCCCTTCCTTCCTTTTCCCAGATCGACCCAGAGGCGTACTTGACAGAGCCCAACTACAATCTCTTCAACTACGTGCGGCTGCGGACAGGGAAGGGCATGTTGTCTCCCCTCATACTCCCCCATTCTCCCCTCTCTCCCCTCCCGCAGATCGACCCAGAGGCATACGTGAAGGACCCCAACTACATTCTCTTCAACTACATGCGTGTGGTTCCGAGTCTGAGCATGTTGTCGACCCTCTTCCTCCCTTCGTTCCCCCCCCCTGTTCCCCCTTCCTTTCCCCGCAGATCGACCCAGAGGCATACGTGAAGGACCCCAACTACATTCTCTTCAACTACGTGCGTGTGGTTCCGAGTCTGAGCATGTTGTCGACCCTCTTCCTCCCTTCGTTCCCCCCCCCTGTTCCCCCTTCCTTTCCCCGCAGATCGACCCAGAGGCATACGTGAAGGACCCCAACTACATTCTCTTCAACTACGTGCGTGTGGTTCCGAGTCTGAGCATGTTGCCGACCCTCTTCCTCCCTTCGTTCCCCCCCCCTGTTCCCCCTTCCTTTCCCCGCAGATCGACCCAGAGGCATACGTGAAGGACCCCAACTACATTCTCTTCAACTACGTGCGTGTGGTTCCGAGTCTGAGCATGTTGTCGACCCTCTTCCTCCCTTCGTTCCCCCCCCCTGTTCCCCCTTCCTTTCCCCGCAGATCGACCCAGAGGCATACGTGAAGGACCCCAACTACATTCTCTTCAACTACGTGCGTGTGGTTCCGAGTCTGAGCATGTTGTCGACCCTCTTCCTCCCTTCGTTCCCCCCCCTTGTTCCCCCTTCCTTTCCCCGCAGATCGACCCAGAGGCATACGTGAAGGACCCCAACTACATTCTCTTCAACTACGTGCGTGTGGTTCCGAGTCTGAGCATGTTGTCGACCCTCTTCTCCCTTCGTTCCCCCCCCTGTTCCCCCTTCCTTTCCCCGCAGATCGACCCAGAGGCATACGTGAAGGACCCCAACTACATTCTCTTCAACTACATGCGTGTGGTTCCGAGTCTGAGCATGTTGTCGACCCTCTTCCTCCCTTCGTTCCCCCCCCCTGTTCCCCCTTCCTTTCCCCGCAGATCGACCCAGAGGCATACGTGAAGGACCCCAACTACATTCTCTTCAACTACGTGCGTGTGGTTCCGAGTCTGAGCATGTTGTCGACCCTCTTCCTCCCTTCGTTCCCCCCCCCTGTTCCCCCTTCCTTTCCCCGCAGATCGACCCAGAGGCATACGTGAAGGATCCCAACTACATTCTCTTCAACTACGTGCGGCTGCGGACGGGGAAGGGCATGAGCTTTGGGGACGGAGTTAGCCTGCCGGATAAGGACAAGGGCCACCGCCAGTGGTTCAACATGTCCACCGCCAAGCTGCTCAACGAGCCTGTGACCGTCAGGTTGGTGCTTGACTGGACTCGCGTATCGATATACCACGTTATGTGTATGAGCGTATGGGTGTATAAGCGGATCAGTTTATGTGGCGTATATCACCACCGCCAGTGGTTCAACATGTCCATCGCCAAGCTGCTATACGAGCCTGTGACCGTCAGGTTCATGCTTGACTGTACTTTATGTTTCAGATTGGTGCTGAATGGGTTTTTGAATTGCTATTCTCTCGGTAGAGTGCGGTTGATTGGCATGTGGCAGTGGTTGAAAAAACCCACGGCCACTTGCAAGCCCGCCCGTACCTCCCGTTTGCCTCCCCTCTTCGCCTTTCCCCTTCGCCTACCGCTCTCTTGCAGCCTCCTCTCCTCTGCGAGTCTATCTGCCATCTCTCTGCTCCATCATGTGTAACCAAGATCTCTCTCCCATACTCCCAATCCCCGCTACCCTATCCTCCTCTCCTCTGCGAGTCTATCTGCCATCTCTCTGCTCCATCATGTGTAACCAAGATCTCTCTCCCATACTCCCAATCCCCGCTACCCTATCCTCCTCTCAGCTGCGAGTCTATCTGCCATCTCTCTGCTCCATCATGTGTAACCAAGATCTCTCTCCCATACTCCCAATCCCCGCTACCCTATCCTCCTCCCAGCTGCGAGTCTGCTTGCACCTGCCTCTCTCTGCTTTGGTACTTAGCTGGTTCGACTGACTGTACTCTACACCTATCTCTCATCCTCCCATTCCATCCCCCCATCCCTTCCGAACCCCCCCACCCCCCTCTCCCCCCCTCTCCTCCCTCCCCACTCCTCCCTCCAGCTGCGAGCCTGCCTGCACCTACCTCGCGGTGCCGCTGGCCACAGCCTTCAAGTTTGCTGATCGTGCTGCACTTTTTCTCCCCTTCCCTTTGCCTTCCCCTTGTTTTCCTCCCCCCAGCTGCGAGCCTGCCTGCACCTACCTCGCGGTGCCGCCGGCCACAACCTTCAAGTTTGCTGACGTGGAGCCACACTACTTCCCCAGCATCCTCTACTCGTCAGCCGTCACTAATGCTGCCGGTGGCAAGATCACGTACACGGTCACCATCCCAGACAAGGGCTCCCGGGTGCTCATCGTGCTACACTTTGCTGAGATCGATCCTGGTGAGTTTCTGATTCTGCTTTATCTCACCGTACATCGAGAGCCCTTTATCTGATGAAGTCCTTGACCTGAACAACGGAAGATCATGTACAAGGTCACGATTCGTGACGAGGGTTCCCAGGTGCTCATCGTGCGACACTGTGCTGAGATTGATCCTGGTGAGTTTCTATCGCACCATATATCCTGAACTCCTTACCTAAGGATCACGTACAAGGTCACGACCCCTGGCAAGAGCTCCCGAGTGCTCATCGTGCTACACTTTGCTGAGATCGATCCTGGTGAGTTTCTATCGCACCATATATCCTGAACTCCTTACCTAAGGATCACGTACAAGGTCACGACCCCTGGCAAGAGCTCCCGAGTGCTCATCGTGCTACACGTTGCTGAGATCGATCCTGGTGAGTTTCTATCGCACCATATATCCTGAACTCCTTACCTAAGGATCACGTACAAGGTCACGACCCCTGGCAAGAGCTCCCGAGTGCTCATCGTGCTACACGTTGCTGAGATCGATCCTGGTGAGTTTCTATCGCACCATATATCCTGAACTCCTTACCTAAGGATCACGTACAAGGTCACGACCCCTGGCAAGAGCTCCCGAGTGCTCATCGTGCTACACGTTGCTGAGATCGATCCTGGTGAGTTTCTATCGCACCATATATCCTGAACTCCTTACCTAAGGATCACGTACAAGGTCACGACCCCTGGCAAGATCTCCCGAGTGCTCATCGTGCTACACTTTGCTGAGATCGATCCTGGTGAGTTTCTATCGCACCATATATCCTGAACTCCTTACCTAAGGATCACGTACAAGGTCACGACCCCTGGCAAGAGCTCCCGAGTGCTCATCGTGCTACACGTTGCTGAGATCGATCCTGGTGAGTTTCTATCGCACCATATATCCTGAACTCCTTACCTAAGGATCACGTACAAGGTCACGACCCCTGGCAAGATTTCCCGAGTTCTCATCGTGCTACACGTTGCTGAGATCGATCCTGGTGAGTTTTGCTCTTCGCTGATCGTCTGCCACCGTCTGCCACAGTCTATCCCAAGCCCTTTGGTGCTTCCTGGGCAAGTGTCCTCCCTATCTCTGCAACAGGAAACCCAACCCACATGGTGACAGCATTGATATGATCATGTGGTTCAGGCTTGAGTGTTCGTCCGTTTCTCCCTCCCTGCTCCCTCCCCGCCTACCCTTCCCCCAGCCGTCACTGCTGCCGGTGCACGAGTGTTCTCTTTCTTTGTCAACGGGAAGCTCACACCGGGCGGCACAGCGTTGATCTGATCAAGTGGGGCAAGCTCGAGTCTTTTATCCTTTCCCCTTTCTGGCTCCCTCCTTTCGTAACCTCCCCCCAGTTGTCACTGCTGCCGGTGCACGAGTGTTCTCTATCTTTGTCAACGGGAAGCCCACACCAGGCGGCACAGCATTGACCTGATCAAGTGGGGCAAGGCTTGATGCTTTTTCCCCTTCCCCCACCCCCTCCTCTCTTTCTCCGCTCCTCCCCACCCACCCTCCCTCCAGCCGTCACTGCTGCTGGTGCACGTGTCTTCTCTGTCTTTGTCAACGGAAAGCCCACCCCAGGCGGCACAGCATTGACCTGATCAAGTGGGGCAAGGCTTGATGCTTTTTCACTTTCACCCTCCCTGCTCCCTTCCTGCTTATTATCTCCCTCCAGCCGTCACTGCTGCTGGCGCTCGGGTCTTCTCTGTCTTTGTCAACGGAAAGCCCACCCCGGAGGGTGACAACATTGATTTGTTCAAATGGGGCAAGGGTCCCAAGGCGGCGCTCTATAAGACCGTTGATTGGCAGCTGGGGCCGGACGAATCGACGGTGGAGATCGTGCTGGCGGGCGCTGAGGGCGCATCCAAGGGCCCTACTATTGCGGGGCTGGAGGTGTTCCGGCTGGTGTCTCGAGGCCCTCGCACCAACGCGGATGAGTGTGAGTCGACATTCCTTTCTATATTGACAAGTTTGGGTGAAGAGTGTTGCAAGGCTGGAGGTGTTCCGGCTGGTGTCTAGAGGCCCTCGCACCAACGCGGATGAGTGTGAGTCGACATTCCTTTCTATATTGACAAGTTTGGGTGAAGAGTGTTGCCAGGCTGGAGGTGTTCCGGCGGGATAGAGGCCCTCGCACCAACGCGGATGAGTGTGAGTCGACATTCCTTTCTATATTGACAAGTTTGGGTGAAGAGTGTTGCCAGGCTGGAGGTGTTCCGGCTGGTGTCTAGAGGCCCTCGCACCAACGCGGATGAGTGTGAGTCGACATTCCTTTCTATATTGACAAGTTTGGGTGAAGAGTGTTGCCAGGCTGGAGGTGTTCCGGCTGGTGTCTCGAGGCCCTCGCACCAACGCGGATGAGTGTGAGTTGCACGAATCGGAGCCCCTTATAAGGGGTGATATGTTCACTAGAATCTCTAGTCGTTATGTTGCCAGGCTGGAGGTGTTCCGTCTGGTGTCCAGAGGCCCTCGCACCAACGCGGATGAGTGTGAGTTGCAGAGACCCAAGCCCCGTATAAGTGGTGAATTCGGTATTCACTAGAATCTCTAGCTGATATAGTGATTGGTGCGCCCAATGCCTGCAGCTGCTCTCCCTCTCTCCTAACCCATTGCAAACCATGTTCATCCCGTGTAGCTCTCCCCTCACCTACCCCTGCAACCCGTTGTCCTCCTCCCGTCTGTGCCACCCATGTATCAGCAGTCAAGCTGATGAGGAAGATCCGCGATGCCCTGGTGGTGCCAGAGATGAGCAACTGGCAGGGCGACCCCTGTGCGCCCATTGCGTGGTGCTGCCCTCCCCCACGCCTCACCCATTCCAACCCATGCGCTCCCAATCCCTCAAAACCCCTTCCAACCCCTCGCCACCCCTCAGTCAAGCTGATGAGGAAGATCCGCGACGCGCTGGTGGTGCCGGAGATGAGCAACTGGCAAGGCGACCCCTGTGCGCCCATTGCGTGGCCGGGCGTGGGGTGCCGGCTCACAGAGAAGAACGACTTCACCATCACGGGCATGTGAGTGCGGGTGTATGTGGGAGTGGGTGTAGGTGTGAGAGAGTGGGTGTATGTGGGAGTGGGTGTAGGAGTGGGAGTGGGTGTAGGAGTGAGAGTGGGTGTAGGAGTGAGTGTGGGTGTAGGAGTGCGAGTGGGTGTAGGAGTGAGTGTGGGTGTGAATGTGGGTGCGAGCATGAGCGTGTGGGTGGGTGGGATCATGGGTTCATGTGCGCCCATTGCCTGGTGCCGGCTGATCGAGAAGAACAACTTCACAATCACGGGTATGTGAGAGTGGGTGTGGGTGGGGGGGGGGAGGAGTACCATAATGAGTATGAGTGTAGGTGTAGGTGTGGGAGTGGGTGTAGGAGTGTGAGTGTGAGTGCGGGTGTGGGTGTGGGTGTGGGTGTTAGTATGGTTGGGATCATGGATTCGTGTGCGCCCATTGCCTGGCGGTGTGTGGGGTGCCGGCTGACAGAGAAGAACGGCTTCAGCATTACTGCTTCTCATCGCTGCTTCTCATTACTGCTTCTCATTGCTGCTTCTCATTACTGCCTCTCATTGCTGCTTCTCATTACTGCCTCTCATTGCTGCTTCTCATTACTGCCTCTCATTGCTGCTTTTCATTGCTGCTTCTCTCCCTATCCGTCCACCCATTGAACCATCTCCTCCCACTCTTCGCAGCTCGCTGTCAGCATCGGAACTCGATGGCTCAATTCTTCCCGAAATCCACCTTCTCAAGAACCTGCAGTACCTGTAAGTGAAACACTTGAATCCCTGGTAGGGTAGCTTGCACAGTCCCTGGCACTTTTAGCGTCTCTACATGCATTTACAGCATGCTCTTTGGTTCGCTGCTCCCGGACATCCACCATCTCGGGAACCTGCACTACCTGTGAGTGGTGGCTTAGGCTGAACCAAGAACCTGGGATACTTGGTGATCGCCTATTGAGCAACACTATGTTTTCTCCTTACTGACTTCTTTTGAGGTGCCTCAAATGTACTTTCTGACTATCTATTGAACAAAGGTATGTTTCTTCTTGCTGACTATGCGTTATTGTGTTCTGCATGTCGTGTTATGCTCATGTCGTGTCGTGTTATGCGCATGTGTGCAGGAACCTGAGCAACAATCACCTCTCGGGCAGCATTCCGCAGTCACTCATCGACCTGGAGCAGCTCACCATGCTGTGAGTGTGGAGCAGACTTTGTAAATCTGCAGATGATGCTTTGATATGCACACATTCACTTTGAGAGTAACAATCAAGAAGCATCCCACAGCACTCATAGACCTGGAGTAGCTCACAATTCTGTGAGTCTGGAGCAGATGCTGATGCTTAGGTAAGCGAGACAGCCAATGTAGAAACAGCAAACATTCCACATGCTACAGACACTCATTAACCTGGAGCAGCTCACCGTGCTGTGAGTGCGATGGCAGGAGCTGGTGATGCTTAGACTCGAGCCGATAAACAAGTAGCGAACGGTATCAATACTGTGGACAGTCACCATAACTCCTTGCCTGGTGTAGCAGATTCTGTCGCCCTCCCCGTTTCTAATTACATGCTCACCATAGATCCCCGCCTTCTGCCCCGCCTTATTCCTTCTTCCCCCCGCCCTGCACTTTGCTGCCTGTGTTGCCTCAGGGACCTCTCAGCAAATGACCTCACGGGCTCATTCCCCTAGGATTCAGCAGCATGCCTGCTCTCTCAAACTTACCCTAACCCCCACTTCTCCCCGCCCTGCTTTCTGCATGCGTCTGTCTTACCCCAGGGACCTGTCAGCCAATGACCTCACGGGCTCCATTCCTAGGGGGTTCAGCAGCATGCCTGCTCTTAAGATTCTGTGAGTGCCTGCCACAAGGCTCCTGCTTTTCTGTCTGGCTCTTCTGAAATTCGTTTGCCATTCTGCGAATGCAATAGACACCACTAAAGCTGACCTGCCAGGTCCTTTGCACTCATCATGTGTGCCTCTTTCTTCCCAATACCCCGTCGACCCTCATCTCCCAGTGACCTGCATGACAATGAACTCACAGGAGGTGTGCCTGCCGATCTCTTCCCGCCTCCCCCTGGCGTCATGATTGAGTAAGTCCTCCCATTTCTCTCCTCCCTCCTAGCTCGTCCTCGCCTTCCTCTCTTTATTCCTCCCTCCCCCGCCCCCCCCCCACTAGGCAGCATGATTATGTGAGCTTCCTCCCTCCTACCTCTCCTCCGTGCCCTATCTCCTCCCCTTATCTGCTTGCTTCCTCTCTCCTTCCTTTGTGTTGTTCATGTGGTGTTGCAATGCCTCATAGAATTGCATCGGTTAAGCCGCCTCAGTATAAGCATAGGCTGCATTAACGCTATCTATATCCCTCTTTATGAGGCACCCACGCATGGCCACAAGCACAACAAGACCCCGCACTTCTGTGCCTTCTCCCAACTGCCCCTGCCAACTTTCCCATTCCGGCCCCTTGCCTCCCTCTTCCCCAGTTTCTCCAACAATCCTGACGTGTGCGGCACGACCACGCGGCCAGCGTGTGAGGCACTGGGCGGGCCGGGAGTGAGCGACATCACAACATTACCTTTCCTCGCTCCCCTTACCCTGCTACCTCCCCCCTACCCCCCCCACTCCCCCAGTTTCTCCAACAATCCGGATGTGTGCGGCACGAAAACACGGCCAGCGTGCGAGGCGTTGGGCGGGCCGGGAGTGAGCGACATCACCATCGTACCAATCCCCTTTCTCTTCTTTCCCCTACTCCCGTTACTACCTATCTCCCCCTCCCCAGTTTCTCCAACAACCCGGATGTGTGCGGCACGACCACGCGGCCAGCCTGTGAGGCGCTGGGCGGGCCGGGAGTGAGCGACATCACGATTGTGCAGCCGACGTCCTCCTCCATCTCGTCCACCCAGATCGTGTGGATCATCACCGCCTGCATCCTGGGCGTGCTGCTGATCACAACACAGCATCACAACTCTGCAGCCAGTTTCACACGAATCCTGTTCCTGAACCCCCTTCTCCTTTCCTGCCATCCCCCTACCCCTCCCACTCCCCCAGTTTCTCCAACAATCCGGATGTGTGTGGTACCACCACGCGGCCAGCGTGTGAGGCGCTGGGCGGGCCGGGGGTGAGCGACATCACTATAGTGCAGCCGACATCCTCCTCCATCTCGTCCACCCAGATCGTGTGGATCATCACCGCCTGCATCCTGGGCGTGCTGCTCATCATTGCTGTCGTGGTAGCCATTCGCCTCATCTTCTTCCAACCGCACCTACCACTGGAGGATGATGACCAAGGTGAGCAACACGCAGCTCTCCCCAGTGGTGTGGGCGCCCACGTTGCCTGTCGTGTGTTACACTTCTGTCACTTTTGACTTGCGGTTATGCCCGGACATGTCTTTTACTTTTGGGTTGAGTTGACGTCGCATTATATCTATCCCTTGTGCAGGAGATGGTGGGTTCTACAGCAATGCAGCCCGAGGTCACTACTTGGAGGATGAACCCCCATATGTCGCCACTTTGGACGAGGAAGCACGCTAGTTACACAGATAAACGTGCCCTGATTCAAATACAGGGTGGTACAGTGCTAGCAACCCATCATGCTCAAGTGCACTCACATATACGGAGCATCTCAAACGTGCTCATCTTTTACTACTGTGCTCAAATGGCCGGTTGACATTGCAATCCGCTAGCAAATATTTTGGGGTTGCATTGCTCTTGCGTAGTACTGAAGTTAGTAGTAAGCTACATGGTTTTAGTATAGTTTGTAGTGGGATCATGTATGAAAACGTGCGCATAGTCAATTCATGCTTTTATCAGACACTGCATTGCACTGAACTGAAAAGGGTGAATGTCAAGAGGGGCGGCTTGTACATGGTACTGCACTCATCTTTTGACTGCCCTGCGTCATCATTCATTCAACGCCGTCAAGCCAAGCAGTAGAATTGCGGATTCCAGACGACTCACACAGACGGGAAAGCTGACCGTCGAGTTTTTTTCAGCCGGGCTGAAAATGAACCTAGCTGTCACCTCAAGCAAATCTGACGGTTGACGAGCTGGCTGTGTAGTTTGGGACAAGCGGAACCAGTCTGACCACAAAAGATCGTTGGAAGGACGGCTATATTCGCCTTGCTATTTAATGGGAAAGGCCTCTTGTGTGTATCCTGCCCGTTGAACAAACTGGTTACGCAACAAGGACCAATAAGAGAGACACCACAGCTGCGTGCAGGCACGTTACGATACAGTACGGTTGAAGAGAGCTTCACAACGGTAGAGAGCTATAACCCAGGTGCGGTGGCCTTGTCGGACCGTTGGGATTCGAGAACCACAACCGAACGGAGCCTTGCCACGATGAATGGATGCACCAAGCCGGTCCCCATACCCCACCCCCAGCCACATCCCAAACCATGATCCCTCCCAACCAATCCAAACCACCCCATATAACTTTTCAGGAAACTCCTCCAAGCAACCTTGGGAGTTGTGAACTCTCGCTGGAAGCAAACCTCAAGATACTGTCATACAAGTACCTAATCGCAGGCCGATCCACTTAGAAACTATAGTTGTACCGTAGGAGATAAGCCGCGAGATTTGAGGCAGGATTTGTCACATATTCTGCGAAATTAGTGAGCCATCTTTTAAGCAGTCGTCCAAAATCTGCGAAACAGGAGACTGAACAGACGGCCGACTTTATAACCTAGACTATATCACCGTTTATTTATTCACCGTCTATTTTAATTGATTTCTGCGACGGCCTGCTAGAATGTACTCAGATTCCTTCCACCATTCAGCATCAAGTACCTCGTCTGATGACCTCGGGTCTGAAGCGAGCTATGCAACCTCCTCCAGTCGCGGCTCCTTGAGGGTTCCTAAGCTGAGGTCGGGAAAGGTCAGTCCCGCTCCTTCCTTCCGCTATTTATTTCTTTCTTTTTGGTCTTCCTTCTTCATACCATCCACGCCGGAGTCGGCTAAAAGGTAGCAATTGCGCGACCTCCTCCAGTCGCTGCTCCGTGAGTGTGCCTAAGCTATTGAAGGGGAAGGTTAGTCCCTTCGGTTCCTCCCTCCTGTTGTTTACATGTTTGGTTTTTATTTACCACTCCTCCCCGCATTATTTAAAACCGATTGAAAGCAAGCGACACGACATATTCCAGTCGTACCACCGCGAGAGTGAGTGCTTAAGCCGAGAACGGAAAAGTTCCATGTAAGGTGTGTTAACAGAAAGCTACTCTGTCCTCCCCTGCATGCAATCTATGTTTTCTGGCGCGGTTTATCCTTCTCGATTATGATGTGTCAACATCAGGGTCCCAGTTTAATTATATTTTTATTGCCTTAAACATTACCTGCAGGGTCCTCATCCCTCGGCGGCGCTTCCTGTATTTGGAGCATGGAACTCTCAAGCTCTCAAGAACCCGGAAGAGGCGGCGGCAGCGGCGGCGGCGGCGTCCGCAGCCGCGCGCCTGCGCTGCACTCCGAGCGTGCAGACCTATGACCCCGAGATCGACGGGGCCGCCGGAAGCGGCGGCGCGGGGTTCACCGCGATGTTTGCGAATAAGGGGAGGGAGAGACGAGCTATGCGGATCGTGGATGGGAGGATCATGGAGGTCCCCAGTTGTGGCCAGCAGGTACGGGAAGCGGGGGTTGGGGATGGTGAGGGTTTCACCGCCATGTTTGCGAACAAGGGGAGGGAGAGGCGAGCTATGCGGATTGTGGATGGGAGGATTATGGAGGTCCCCAGTTGTGGACAGCAGGTACGGAGAGAGGGTCGGGATTAGAGGGTGGGGATGGAGAATAGGAATTGGAGGGTGGGGATTGGAGGGTAGGGATTGGATTGGAGGGTGGGGATTGAAGGGTGGGGATTGGAGGGTGGGGATTGGAGGGTGGGGATTGGAGGGTAGGGATTGGAGGGTGGGGATTGGAGGGTGAGGATTGGAGCTGTCCGACAAGCACTTAGGCATGCATTCACCGCTCTGCTTTTGTATAAGGTGAGGGAGAGGCGAGCTATGCGAATGATGGAGGTTTCCAGTGGGTGATGAAGAAATGGGGTCAGGGGTGGGGATGGGTATAAGGGGATGGGGGGGTTTATGGATGAGGCACCGGAGTTGAACCAGGCATATCCAGGCACCTGCAATCCACTGGATACCAAATCCCTCGTCTGTCCCTCACACATACCCGTTCCCCTCCTCCCCCATCCCATCCCCCCCATTTCTCCGTGTTCCGTTTCCATTCTTATCACCCGATTAATTTTCCACGTGTTCTGCCTGCTCCTCCGTTCTGCCCTTTTCGAAACTTCTCTGATCGTCGCATGTGCTGTTCGTGCTCCTCTCCTTTGCCTATCTGCTTGAAACCCCTCTAATCTTCACATGTGCCTTTCCTTTCCTGCTCCACCTGTCTGCACACCCACCTGCATTACAGGCAAACGTCACCATCTCCTCCTCCGGATCATCCGAGTCTCGATCGCCCAGCCGTATCCCTCACATACCACCCGATCATCCTCTCTACCACCTCTACCACTCCCCACTCTCCGGCTCCCTGGACCGCCCGCGCGAGCCTAGCTCCCAGCCTCGGCAGTCGTACCTGCCAGGTCTGGCACTTGAGCCAATCGCGTCCGACTCCCCTGCGCACTCTATTGGTTCCTCTTCTTCCCACTCCGCATTTGCTTCGAATGCTGAAGACATGTCATGGGAGCAACCTTCAGCAGCACAGGCAGCAACAGCAGCAGCTGCAGCACAGGCACCACAGGCAGCACAGGCAGCACCACCATCATCAGCAGCAGCATCAGCAGCAGCAGCACCAGCAGCAGCAGCGGCGCCTTCGGTAAATCCCCTGTCGGCAGCAACATCAGAGGCGCCTCAACAGCCGTCAAGTTCCCCACCATCTCTTGCTGAACTGCAGTCTCTCAGGCTCAGGCTGGCTGCAGGGGAGAATCTTTCCCCGCTGGAAATGCAGCGGCTAACTGACGGCGTTCTTGCTCTCATGTCCGCTGCTCCTGCTGCCGCACCTGCCACTGGTGCTGCCGTTCCTGCTCCCGTTCCTGCAGTACCAGCTTCAGCAAACGAGCCTACGGGTTCTGCCCCTGCCAGTCTCCCAGCCCATCATTTAGGGTCGGGTAACTCGTCCGATTCTTCCCCAGAGTCTTCCCCTCCCCGTCGGCCCCTTCGATACTACTCCCCAGCTCACCCTTCCACACACCGTTATGACTCTGCTGCTAACCCTTCCTTGCTTTTCAAGGCTCCAGCCTGGGCTCGTGATGCCACATTGTCCGAAGCTGCGGTCAGGTCCGGTGAAGGTTCGGATGGCGTTGGGGCCATGGCAGCTGCACATGGAAACACCGTAGCAGCCCAAAGTGATTCTTCAGCATTGGTTCCCGAACCTGGTTCCCAGCCTCGCGCTGCGCAGCCGTACCAAGCAGCCTCGGCAACCCCCGTACCTCACCATCCCGTCCCGAACCTCCAAGATAAGCACACCCCAGTTGGTAGCCCAATAGACAAGCGTAAGGTGACTCGCTCCTCTTCTGCCGACTCCTCCCCTTCTTTCTCCTCCCCTGCTCCCCCTCCCCCTCCTCCGCCCTACGCCCTCCCTCCGTCCTCCTACAACCACCCCTCCCATGGCCATTCCGACCACGGCCCTTCACCCATGGCGATGCTGCCACTGGAACCAGAAGAGGACGATGGGGGTTTCACCTGGGAGGGATGGTCGGTTACAGGCGGGCCAATCAGATCCCAGAATGGCGCTGCCTGTTCTGTGGCTGGTGCTGCTGGTGCTGCTGGTGTTGCCAGTGTTGCTGTTAGTGCTGCTGGTGTTGCTGGTGCTGCTGGTGCTGCTGGTGTTGCCAGTGGTGGTGGTGCTGCTGCTGGGGATGTCAGTGCTGCTTCTGACTTGGGTTATGGCGGTGTGGGTCCCCCACTCGATATAACATTTGCCCTTGACGACACCAGCAGCACTGCTTGCACTGCCATCAGCAGTGCCGCTTCCGCTGCTGCTGCTCCTGAGGCTACCTTTGCTTTACCTGGTAATGATGCTTCTGGTGTTTCTGCTACTTCTTCTGCTGCGGCTGGTGCTGGTGGTGCCACTACTGCTGCTGCTGCTCCCACCGTTGGTCCTGCTCCTGTTGCCGCTGTACCCAGTACAGGCTCACCCGCTATCAGATCAGCGCCAAGAATCCCCTACCAGCTGCCTTACAGCGACTGGGAGCAAGGCGCGCAGCAGCACTCCAGGGTGCGCTTTCAAGGGGGAATTGAGCACGCGGCTGAAGGTGCGGGGTACACTAAAATGTTCCAGGACAGACAGGCGAGAAAGAAGATGCAGGGAGGGGCAGGAATCGGAGACCTTGGGATGCATGTGGGAGGCGATGGGCAGGCTGCTGCGCGGCCTAGCGAGTGGAATGCGGGAGTCGCTGCTGCTCTGGCTGGGCTTGGAATTCCTCCTCCGCCCCCTCCTGGTGATCATGCAGGCACTGGTGCTGGTACTGGTGCGGGTGCGGGTGTCGGTACTGAGCTTCCTCCTCCACCGTATCTTGCCCATCCTGCTGGTGCGGGAGGGCAAGGGGGACAACTTGTGAATTATTCTGCGAATCCTGGCATGTACATTCCGCAGCCGCACAATGTGATGGGATTGAATGGCCCTCCGCACGGCACGCATGCAGCTGATGCTCATGGGGCTGAACATGGAAGAGTTGGAATGCGACATAAGGTGGGTTGCGACGGTAACTTGTGCCTGGTTGTCTTGTCTTGGAGTGCGAGCTGGTCTTTTGAAACTATTCATGCTGACAACTCCCTTGTTTGGTTGCTATTGTGTGCAGATCGGAGGTTTCTTTGGGTTTGGAAAGAAGTAGAATGTGTTGTGTATGCTTAGGTAGCTGGTGATATTAGGAATGATTTGCAATCATCTCCAGATGGCATTCTTGGAATAAGAGTTGGAATGCTAGTTTGATTTCGAGTTTATTACCGTTAAGTGTAGTTGTTTGGTCTAGTTTCGCTGGGCTCTGACACCGCGTTGATCGGGCAGAGAAGGCACGTCCTGTCCATTTCGTGGGCTTGCGCCGATTGGCGGCCTGCTCTCCCCGCACTGACACGGAGTCGGCCGCGCTGCGACAATCCAGCGGTCAAGTTTTCTGTTTGGTCAGCCACCAGGTTCGGTCTTCTTGGTCTGGGTTGATGGATAGCCGTGGGATGACCTTTTCCCCTCGATTTTAGCATCCTTTTGGGTTTTACTTGGCTCTCCGAACCTTTTCGAAGCTCCGATTTGTGTCAAGGCGTAGAAACAAGCTCCTCCCTGAAGCCAATCAGAAACGAAACATTCGCGTCGCGAAGTCGAAGGTCACAACTCGCTTCTGTCACTGGCACCATCGCTTGAAGCACACAGGTCTGAAGCCCCTCTCTCTTTCCCCGTTGCGCAGCCGCGGACGCCTTGATTTGCGGCTCCGCGCTCGGCATCTCCGTTCTCCTTCTGCGTTCCCCGCGGAGCTTACAGCTCCCTTCCGCCGGCTTCGCTCCGCTGACTGGTGTCACCCATGACCCGTGGGTCCGTCATTCCCCAGCCCTTCCCCGCGCGTGCCCTGCCGAATCCACGCGCCCCGCATGAGGCCCTTGGGGAATGGATGTTTTCCCTTGAACTTGTCTTTCCTCGGGGAATGTCTATTCTTGGGAACTCCACTAGCAGATCGAACCGTGAAAAACTAGACGCATCCAGGAGACTGATTACTAGGGGAGAACTGGTTTCCCTGGATTGTTAGAGCTTTCTGTTATCCTTTCTTGGAGATTACCTCTTTTGGTAGAGGTTCTTGATCGGGATCCAGCCCCGTACTAAGTCGTGCTTATCACGTGTTTATTATTTTAGTGTCCTTCAGCCCTGTCCGCGTCAGACTGCCCGTGTCAGCTCCAAGTAGGACATGTAGAGTTGTTGCGTCTAACTTTATTAGGTTTTCCTATCAGCCAGTGTTTGGCGGTGATAAGAACGACCGTGGAAAATAATTTTGAAGAAAAAAGCCGAGTGGCTGGAAAACCACTGATTGAAGATGAGGTTCTCCGCGCATCGCAGCGGGTGCGCGCTCTTCGCAGCTCTCGCGATAGCCGCATGTCTATTGTCCACCGGCGTGCCGTCAGCTGAAGCGTACGATCCGCTAGATCCAACGGGCAACATTACGATCGTGTGGGATGTAACGAGCTGGGCGGGAGACGGTTACATCGCGTGGGTGAAAATGTACAATTACCAGCACTACCGCAAGATTGATCCACCTGGCTGGGCGCTGACGTGGAATTGGACGCACGGCGAATACATCTGGGACTTGACGGTAAGCAGAGTTTAGAAGCAGCATGACTTGTCTTTATATACAGCATGGGTTAATATGTGAGCAGCTGCAGCTGCAGCAGCAGCGACGCGCTCAGCAGCACCAGTGCCAGCAGCGACGCGTTCGTTTGAGGCAATTTTTGAGAGGCATTTTATATATGAATCATGTGATGAGTTCGACGACGAGCGGCAGCAACGACGCGCGGACCGTAATGACGAGGTTCTATTGGTTATTCTTGTGCTGGAATGTGGACGGTCAGACGATTGTAGTCGTAGCTGCCGTGCATAATATTCCTTTTCGCACTCTCTTTCCCTCTCCCTATACCATCGCTTCCGTCCCTCTCCCTTCTCCCGACTCTTCCCCCTCTCCCTCCTCCCGTCCCTCCATTGGCTCAGTCCCTTTGTTCTCTCCCTCGGCTCACTCCTCTTCCTTACCTCCCACTCTCACTTATCACTTTGAGAATTCTCTAGTAACCTACTGTTTCGGCGGCTCTTCCTTCCTCTCACCTTCTCCGCTCGTGCGCTGCAGGGAGCCGTGGCGACGAAGCAAGGCGATTGCTCTAAGCTGCAGTTTCCTGGCGGCAAGATCCCGCACAGGTGCGTCGCCGATTTACTATAATAATAATTACATTCTAGTCGTCTCGTTGCTGGTGGAACTGATGCGGGCTCAGAGGTAGTCATGTATCTGCGCCTGCAGACCCCCGCGACCCCTTTCCCCTCCCCGCTTATCCTCTCCCCCACCCCCACCACCCCCTCCCCACCCCTAACCCCACCGGCGCCCCTCCGCGCTGCTGCATGCTGTACCCGGTGGTGATGGATCTCCTGCCCGCGGACCCTCTCAACCCCTTCCTACTCCCCCGCTTATCCTCTCCCGACCCCGGCCCCGTCCCCCCGCCCCTCCGCGCAGCTGCATGCAGTACCCGGTGGTGATGGATCTGATGCCCGCGGACCCCTTAAAGCCCTTCCCCTTCTACCCACGCCCCTCCACCCCGCGCATCCGCTCCCCCCGCCCCTCCGCGCAGTTGCATGCAGTACCCCGTGGTGATGGATCTGATGCCCGCGGACCCCTTAAAGCCCGACGCGCCGGGAGTGCTGAAGAACTGCTGCAAGGCGGGCTACCTCGGCGCCAACAAGACCGACCCCGGGCACTCGCTCGCTGCATTCATGGTGAGCCGCTTCAGTGTCTGGTTGTGTGCAGCACTGTCTGCTCGGTGTATTCGGCCGTGGTGAGCAACTGCTGCAAGGCGGGTTTCCTCGGCGCCAACAAGATCGACCCAGGGCACTCGCTCGCCGCGTTCATGGTGAGCGGCGTCAGTGTCTGGTTATGTGCAGCAATGTCTGCTCAGTATCTTCGGCCGTGGTGAGCAACTGCGGGCACCTCGGCGCCAACAAGACCGACCCGGGGCACTCGCTCGCCGCATTCATGGTGAGCGGCGTCAGTGTCTGGTTATGTGCAGCAATGTCTGCTCAGTATCTTCGGCCGTGGTGAGCAACTGCGGGCACCTCGGCGCCAACAAGATCGACCCAGGGCACTCGCTCACCGCGTTCATGGTGAGCGCGCCGGGTTGCATGCAGCGCATTCTGGCTACTAGCACTGTGCATAACTTCGTCCCTCCAGGCAATCTCAGCCTGCGTGCGGACAGACGCTTTCCAGGCTAACGCCACCATCTGTACCGGCTTGACCTAACTTCTCTCTCCACCCCCCTTTCCATTCTTCCCCCAACCTTCCTTCCCCTCCTTCCCCCCTCTCCCCCATTCCATGTCTCCCCTCTTCGTACCCCTCTTTTTTTCAGATCAACGTGGGTAATGCTACGAACGCTGTGTTTAGGAACTTCGACCCTCTGGGCAATTTCAGCCCCCTAATTCTCCTTTCTCCCCCCTCTCTTCGCTCCTTCCCCTCCGCTATGCCGTTGCCCCCCTGTTCCCCAGATCAACGTGGGTAATGCCACGAGCACTGTGTGGAACTTCGTCCCTCCGGCGAATTTCAGCCTGGGCGTGGACGGATACAAGTGCACAGACCCCTTCCAAGTCAACGCCACCATCTATACCGACCCTACCACTCGCCGCGAGACCCAGGCCCAAGTGACGTACCACATCGTGTGCACCTACAGCTCGATTCAGAAGCGGGACCCGCCGAAATGCTGCGTGTCTTTATCCTCGTTTTACAACGACACGATAATACCGTGCGCGAGCTGCGCGTGCGCGTGCGGGAACTATTCGTCGAGCTCGATTGTGTGCGTGCCGACTGGGGGAAAGGTGCCGTATCTGATGTCGACGCCGAGTGGGGATGGGCTGGAGCTCAAGACTGATCCGACGGCTGTGGAGTGCAGTCCGGACGGGTGCCCCATCAGCATTCACTACCACTTCAAGGTGAGGGGAAGAGAAGAGGGAGGGAGAGAGGGAGCTAGGGAGAGAGGGAGTGAGGGAGACAGGGAGTGGGGGAGAGGGGGGAAACAGGAAGTAGGGGGAGTGTAAGCGTGTGCGTGCGGGAACTACTCGTCGAGCTCGATTGTGTGCGTGCCGACGGGGGGAAAGGTGCCGTATCTGATGTCGACGCCAAGTGGGGATGGGCTGGAGCTGAAGACTGATCCGACGGCTGTGGAGTGCAGTCCGGATGGATGCCCCATCAGCATTCACTACCACTTCAAGGTGAGGGAGAGAGGAGGCGAGAGGAAGGGATAGAGAGAAAGAGAGGGAGAGACGAGGGTTAAGGTGGGGATGGGCTGGAGCTGAAGACTGATCCGACGGCTGTGGAGTGCAGTCCGGATGGGTGCCCCATCAGCATTCACTACCACTTCAAGGTGAGGCGAAGAGGAGAGGGAGTGAGAGAGGGAGCTTGCGACAGGGGGATTGAGGGAGACAAGGAGAGGGGGAAACAGGGAACAGGGGGAGTGTAAGTGACCAGGTGGCCGTGGACGGATGCCCCATCAACATTCACTACCAGGGTTTAGGGTGAGGGTGAGGTGAGGCGAGCAGAAGAGATTGAGAAGTTGAGAGGAGAGAAAGAAGGGCATGTGAACAGGCGGGAGTAAAACGGGGAGGCGTGTATAAGACTGAAAGTTGAATCGTCTCCCCCATGGTCCATGCCTAACTCGTTGTATGGTTGCAGTTGTTTCAAGTTCTGTGATGCCTGTTCCCTTGCCTGCCTTGTCCCCTTGACGCCCTGCTCGTGCTGCAGCAAAACTACGAAGGCTTCTGGAGAGCCAAGATCACGATTATCAACAGGAGTCTGTGGGATAACCACACCAACTGGAATGTTGTTGTGGAGGTATGTGTGGGTAGTGAAGGTAGTGGGGAGGGAGGGAAGGGGGGTATGTGCAAAGGGCATGGAACTATGTTGTTCAATCAGAATGGACTGGATATTTGGGTCCTGGCTTGTCTTCTAGTGGTGTCTTACTGTAGTTCCTCCCCTGATTTGCAAACTGTCTGCCTGTCCCTCTTGTCTGTGTTGGTCACCTGCAGCATCCGAACATGGGCAATCTGACGGACGTGTTCAGCTGGAAGGCGGAGAACATTCTCCCCTACGGAGTGAACAACACGGCCATCTTCTTTGGCATGAAGCAGTACAATGACGTGCTCATGCCAGCTGGCAAGGCTAGTTTTGAGGCGCCTCAAAACTGAAGCAGTACAATGACGTTCCCTCTGTCTGACTCTCTCTGTGTCCCTCTCCCTTCTGTCTGTTTCCCTGCAGCATCCGAACATGGGCAATCTGACGGACGAGTTCAGCTGGAAGGCGGAGAACATTCTCCCCTACGGAGTGAACAACACGGCCATCTTCTTTGGCATGAAGCAGTACAATGACGTGCTCATGCCAGCTGGCAAGGCTAGTTTTGAGGCGCCTCAAAACTGAAGCAGTACAACGACGTTCCCTCTGTCTGACTCTCTCTGTGTCCCTCTCCCTTCTGTCTGTTTCCCTGCAGCATCCGAACATGGGCAATCTGACGGACGTTTTCAGCTGGAAGGCGGAGAACATTCTCCCCTACGGAGTGAACAACACGGCCATCTTCTTTGGCATGAAGCAGTACAACGACGTGCTCATGCCAGCTGGCAAGGCTAGTTTTGAGGCGCCTCAAAACTGAAGCAGTACAACGACGTTCCCTCTGTCTGACTCTCTCTGTGTCCCTCTCCCTTCTGTCTGTTTCCCTGCAGCATCCGAACATGGGCAATCTGACGGACGTTTTCAGCTGGAAGGCGGAGAACATTCTCCCCTACGGAGTGAACAACACGGCCATCTTCTTTGGCATGAAGCAGTACAACGACGTGCTCATGCCAGCTGGCAAGGCTAGTTTTGAGGCGCCTCAAAACTGAAGCAGTACAACGACGTTCCCTCTGTCTGACTCTCTCTGTGTCCCTCTCCCTTCTGTCTGTTTCCCTGCAGCATCCGAACATGGGCAATCTGACGGACGTTTTCAGCTGGAAGGCGGAGAACATTCTCCCCTACGGAGTGAACAACACGGCCATCTTCTTTGGCATGAAGCAGTACAACGACGTGCTCATGCCAGCTGGCAAGGCTAGTTTTGAGGCGCCTCAAAACTGAAGCAGTACAACGACGTTCCCTCTGTCTGACTCTCTCTGTGTCCCTCTCCCTTCTGTCTGTTTCCCTGCAGCATCCGAACATGGGCAATCTGACGGACGTTTTCAGCTGGAAGGCGGAGAACATTCTCCCCTACGGAGTGAACAACACGGCCATCTTCTTTGGCATGAAGCAGTACAACGACGTGCTCATGCCAGCTGGCAAGGGCGGCAACGTGCAGTCGGAAATGCTCTTTGCCAAGACGTCAGAATTCACGCTGGAAGACGGATGGGTCTTCCCTAGGGTGAGTTTTTGGGGACTACTGTTGGTTGTATTGGAATTTCAGAACCCTTTTTTATGAGGATGGGAGGAGAGGGTGGGAGGTGGGGGGGCAAGGTGGGATGGAGTTCGGTTTTGGATAATTCTAATGTGTGTTTTCTGTTTTGCTTTGCAGAAAATTGTATTCAACGGTGAGGAGTGTGTGATGCCGGAGGACATTCCAGCTTTGCCTGCGAAGCCCGCGCAAAGACAATCCTCATTGTTGGCTGCTGCATTCGCTGGAGCTGCTGGTTTCCTAGCCTTGCTCATGCTCGCATGAGCTTAGATTTTTTTTTTTTAGTGTTAGCTGCTTGAAGCTGCTTCGGTCAAACTCCAAAGATGAAAATAGGATGCTGTTGTGAGATGCACATCATGTAAGCGCGCGTCACTTTGCTTGTTCACCTTGTACTAGTGAAGTTTTTTAAAACGAGTACGGGCAGGTTTTGAAGGAGTTTGCGCACATCGTCGCACGAAACGAATGTGAGCCACACATTTGGCTTGTGGCGTCGACCATTCGACCGAATTTGATGGGCAAAGATCATATTGAGGCCGAAAAATAGCAGGAAGGTGTCCGAATTAGGGCCGGGTAAATCCCAACCGTTCGATACATTCCCGGAGCTGCCCATGTGGCTGGGCCGATTACCCGAACCGGGATTTAAAGGAGATTACAACTTGACGTGCTTTATCTTTTATTGTTTTCATACGAAGCTCTCGTCGTATTCCTCTGGAAGATGTTTCTTCTTGTATATATTTAAGAGGCACATCACTCAACGTGACAAGAAAAAATAAAACCCACTCGGAAACGGATGCGACTCGGGGAGGCATCAACCCTAAACTCCTGGCGGGCTCCCGTGTTTAGGGTTGACCCCTCCCGAAAATGCATCCAGGTTCTCTAGGGTTTTATTTTTCTGCCCTGCCCTAACAGTTAACGGTAGCGGCTAGGTGGGAACTGTTTCGCTAACGGCTTGGTGGCGAGTAAATTAGCCGCTACCGGGAACTGTTTCGCTAACGACGAAAAAAATACTCTCAATCAGTCACGACGCGTCAGAACCTCTGACAAGTAAAAACACTATCACGACTATGGAGATTTCAGTAAATTCCTCTAATTGTCCAGGTTCGGCTATCCGGCCCTAATTTGGACACCCCCTTGCCCTTTTCCGGCCCCAATATGATCTTTGCCCGAATTTGATGACGTCCCCAGCCGCTTCTGGCCGCCAGGGGTGAATTTCGAGGTCAGCGCTTTCCACCTTCCTGGCTGCTAGGAGTGTCGCAGGAGCTGAACAACCATTGGTTGAAGCTGTTCACGACGAACTTAGGATGTGCGCGAAACAATGTAATAGCTAAATTGCTTTCGCCATGGTCAAAGTTGGACCCTCGTTCACCCTTCCCAGAGCCCTTTCATCCTGCCGTCCTAGATAGGGAAACATGGATCCTCCACGAATCGTTCAACGACAACCACACTGCACCACACCGGAGCGCACAGCATTTCAAGAAACCGTGTTTAACCTATTCTGAAGTCCGAGCTCTTTCAAACGAAATGCACCACCTTTGGCCTTACTCTGGACGCTGAGGGCAGCTGTTGATTGCTCTGTGCCATACCTGACGGTGTTTTGTCAACAACAGGTGCTCCTGCAGCGCACCGTCAGGGACGGTAGTGATCGAGTTTCTGATTCCACACTCGTAATCGCTGGTACATAACGAGTGGGGATTCAGTGATTGTTTTGGCCGTATCTATGGAGCTGAGCCTCGTCAGGCTTTAATTTCACGCTCAATCCTGCGATCGCGGCTCCAGCTTGACAAGGTCGGCTCGTTAGGGATTCGGACTAAGGCCATCGTTTATGAGTGATTGTGTTTTGAATTTCATTTCTTTCTTGTTGTTACGTCTGGCAGTACTCGCGGTAATTCACGGTCACCTGATGCATATCTTCGTCGACACTTGACACTCGGGGTTCGTGCAGAATCTACCAGATATCGCTGACAATTCAGCTGACATTCAGTTGACAGGCCAACACTACACGGAAACTTCGTTCTGCATCCGGCGATGGATCCGGAGCTTCTTCCACGTGTCCAGTTGCTGCCGGAGGAAGAGGAGCAACAGGATCGACGGAGCGACAGACACAGCTTTTATGGTTCGTGCTTAGAGATTTTGCAATCATGCCGCTTCCTAGTCGACTTAGGAGTCGCAGGGAGAAACAAAGATAACCTTCGTGGTCAGTCCCGCTTCATGGTGTGATGAGACGAGATTTCCGATCGCGTTTCATCGCATCCCGTTCTACTTCAGCCGTTTGTGCTCCTAATCTTCGCTGTATTATTGATCGCGTTTCATCGCATCCCGTTCTACTTCAGCCGTTACTGCGTGGATCCTAGCCACTCTGGCGATCCCTTTCTTGCTGAAGTTTTCGTTTTCAGGGCTCCTGCTGACATTGCTCGATATAGACATACGCACCCTGACCGGACTGGCTCTTCTCAACGGATAGTTTCCCAGCTGGATAATTTTCAAAATATTTCAAAACTGGCTGGCCTTCATTTTTTTTTTTTTTTTTTTTTTAAGCATTTTCGTTCTTCGTGTTCCTGCAACCTGCGCCTGAAGTTTCCTCGTCCTCCTCCGTTCCAACCTCTGCGTTTCAGGGCTGCTCTTGGCGCTGCTCGCTCTGGGTCTCTGCACCCTGACCGGAGTCGCTCTCCAGAGCGGTTTGTCTCCCGGGTCGCTCCGCCTTGTGGACAAAAAACTGACCCAACTGGAAATTCCTTTGTCCTTCCCTCCGTTCTACCCTTGTTGTTTCAGGATTGCTCTTGACGCTGCTTGCTCTGGGTCTCTGCACCCTGACTGGAGTCGCCCTCCAGAGCGGTTGGTCTCCCGGCTCGCTCCGCCTCGTCGACGAAATCCTGACGGAATCCAAGCCTCTCTGGCAGGCTCGGTTACTGTCCAGCTGGCAGGCTGGTGTGGGAGGTTCGGCAGTGGATGGTCCGGCAGCAGCAGCATCAGCAGCAGAAGCAGAAGCTGCAAAAGAAGCAGCAGCTCCTGGTGCAGTGGTGGAGGCAGATCACGCAGCAGTAGCTTCAGAGGACCCCCGCTGCTCCGAGATCGGGAAGAAGATTCTGAAATCTGGCGGGAATGCGGTGGATGCAGGCATCGCTACAGTGCTGTGCATGGGCGTGGTGAACCCCATGGCGAGCGGCCTCGGCGGGGGTGCGTTTATTCTCATTCGATCAGCCAATGGTTCCGCAGAGTTCATTGACTGCCGAGAGACAGCCCCTGCTGCTGCCCATCAGGCTGAGGCTTGGTACTTGGTGCTTGGTGCTTGGGTTGATAGGGATGATTGGGGTTGTTGGGACAGTAGTGAGGGATGAATGCGGTGGATGCGGGCATGGCTACAGTGCTGTGCATGGGCGTGGTGAACCCCATGGCGAGCGGCATTGGCGGGGGGGCGTTCATTCTCATCCGATCGGCCAATGGTTCCGCAGAGTTTATTGACTGCCGAGAGACAGCTCCTGCTGCTGCCCACCAGGTAGGTACTGAGGCTTTGCACTGGGTACTTCTTGGTGCTTGGATCGATAGGGATGATCGGGGTTGTTGGGACAGTAGCGAGGGATGAATGCGGTGGATGCGGGCATGGCTACAGTGCTGTGCATGGGCGTGGTGAACCCCATGACGAGCGGCATTGGCGGGGGGGCGTTCATCCTCATCCGCTCTCCCAATGGCTCTGCGGAGTTTATCGACTGTCGGGAGACTGCTCCTGCTGCTGCTCACCAGGTGATTGGGGTTATTTCCGATACAGGGGTACTTGGGGGTGCTTGGGGGTACTTGGGGGTGCTTGGGGGTGCTTGGGGGTGCTTGGGGGTGCTTGGGGGTGCTTGGGGGTGTTTGGGGGTGCTTGTGGGTGCTTGGGGGTGCTTGTGGGTACTTGGGAGTTCTTGGGGGTACTTGTGGATGCTTGGGGTGACTAGCATTGCATTCATTCTCATCCGCTCTCCCAACGGCTCTGCTGAGTTCATTGACTGTTGACAGACATCCCTGGATGAGAATGCTCGAGGGTCACGAGGAGAACATCTTGAAATGGAGCCCTTTCACTGGGAGTTCTTACACACGTCAAAAGATTTCATCCTTCTTCTCCCCGTCCCACCTCGTCTTTTCCCCTCCTCCCTTCCCCGCCAGGACATGTTTGAGGGGCTCGAGGAGGATATTCAAAAGGGAGCCCTTTTGGTGGGGTTCTCACGTGTGTTAAAACACCACTTTTCTTCTTCCCCTTCATTCTGCCCGCCAGGACATGTTTGAGGGTCACGAGGAGGACATTTGAAAGGGGGCTCTTTCAGTGGGAGTACCGAGGCACCTCAAAACCTTCTTACCGTTCTCTCTCCCCTCCCCACCCCTCCTCCCTCCCACGATTTCCTTCACACAGGACATGTTTGAGGGGCACGAGGAGGATATTCGAAAGGGAGGACTCTCAGTGGGAGTACCCGGGGAGATCGCAGGGCTTTACCTGGCGTGGCAGCGCCACGGCAGGCTGACGTGGCGCGACCTCGTCACGCCAGCCGCTGACATGGCAGAGAATGGCTTCCACGTGGCAGCTTACCTGGCAAACTCCCTCGCTGCCAGCAACGCCACCATCCTCTCAGACCCGGGTCTGAGCGCTGTTTTCGCCCCGGGAGGGAAGCTTCTGAGGAAAGGAGACACCTGCTACCGTCCCACCCTAGCAGCCACTCTTAAAGCCATAGCAGAACAGGGTCCAGATGCTTTGCACCGAGGGGAGCGGGCGAGGGCACTAGTCCAAGAAATCCAGGCGATGGGAGGGATACTAACCGAACAGGACTTGGAAAATTTCCAGGCGGAACTGAGGGAGGTGCTTCTGGGGAAGGCGTTTGGTTTGGAATTCCTGATGGCGCCACCGCCATCCTCAGGGGGAGCGGTGATTCTGCATGTGCTGAAGATTCTCCAGGGGTATGAGCTTCCGTTGGCGTCAGCAGGAGTGTTGGGATTGCATCGCGTGGTGGAGAGCTTGAAGCATGCGTTCGCCATGCGCATGCACCTGGGGGACCCTGCTTTTGTCAACGTCACCGATGTTATTCGAGGTACAAGCACCCCTTAGCGTCTGTGGGAGTGTTGGGGTTGCATCGTGTGGTGGGGAGCGTGAAGCATGCGTTTGCCATGCGCATGCACCTGGGGGATCCTGCTTTTGTCAACGTTACAGATGTTATTCGAGGTACGATTGCTATCGTTTGAATGCACATACATAGAGAGCCTCAAGCATGCGTCTGTGCTGCGCATGCACCTGGGGGATCCCGCCTTTGTCAATGTCACTGATGTCATTCGAGGTATGAGTGCTATCTTCCTGCCTTTTTAGCTCGGACCTGAAATTGTTTCAAATTTCATTGTCGTGTTGTGCACTTTTGAGTCCTTCCCGCCCCATCAAGCTTACCACTAGTCGTGTAACCATCCATTATTTTCCCCTTGTTTCTCCCCACTCCCCCCCCCCCTCTCCAAAACCCATTCCCCCCGCTACCCGTCCTCCCCATTGTCCTTTTCCCTGCGTCCAGACATGCTTTCAGACGAGTTTGCCGCCCAGCTCCGTAAAAGCCCTCCTCTCCCCCATCCCACCCCCCGCCCCCCCTCCCTTCGGCCTTCTCCCTGCGTCCAGACATGCTGTCAGACGAGTTTGCTGCCCGGCTCCGATCCGCCATCCACGACAACATGACCTTCCCGCCCCATCCTAACCCCCCCCTGCCCCCCCTCCCTTCCACCTTCTCCCTGCGTCCAGACATGCTGTCAGACGAGTTTGCTGCCCGGCTCCGATCCGCCATCCACGACAACATGACCTTCCCGCCCCATCCTAACCCCCCCCTGCCCCCCCTCCCTTCCACCTTCTCCCTGCGTCCAGACATGCTGTCAGACGAGTTTGCTGCCCGGCTCCGATCCGCCATCCACGACAACATGACCTTCCCGCCCCATCCTAACCCCCCCCTGCCCCCCCTCCCTTCCACCTTCTCCATACGTCCAGACATGCTGTCAGACGAGTTTGCTGCCCGGCTCCGATCCGCCATTCACGACAACATGACCTTCCCATCCTAACCCCCCCCTGCCCCCCCTCCCTTCCACCTTCTCTCTGCGTCCAGACATGCTGTCAGACGAGTTTGCTGCCCGGCTCCGATCCGCCATCCACGACAACATGACCTTCCCGCCCCATCCTAACCCCCCCCTGCCCCCCCTCCCTTCCACCTTCTCCCTGCGTCCAGACATGCTGTCAGACGAGTTTGCTGCCCGGCTCCGATCCGCCATCCACGACAACATGACCTTCCCGCCCGACCACTACGGCCACCCCGAGGACGAGTCAGAAGAGGACAAAAAGCGCCACCCGCACCGCCACCAACTATACGCACAGCTAGACGACCACGGCACATCACACACATGTGTGGTGGATCAGGATAGAATGGCTGTTTCTATCACATCTACAATTAACGGGCCATGGGGAGCTGGCAGGATGGCGGTCCAATCAGGAATTGTTCTCAACAACGAAATGGCGGATTTTTCGCTGCCCGACCGGCCGGGCAGGATCCCGACGCCGTTTGATCCGCCGCCCGCCCCGGCGAATTTCATCCGGGCAGGAAAGAGGCCGTTGTCGTCGATGGCGCCTGCTATTGTGACAGGACGGGCAGCTGAAAGCTGTGGTTGGTGGGGCAGGAGGGCCTTTGATTATTTCGGCTGTTCTGCAAGTGATCCTGCATTTCTTTTGCCGGGGTTATTCACCCTTCAAGGCCATCGATGCCCCTCGCATCCACCACCAGGTGAGTTGGTAATGGATGCTAGAGTTCAGGCATGCATCATGCACATAGACATGCACATGCACATGCTCACGCACATGCACATCAAGCTTGCACATCCCTCTGTTCCACATCCCCCTCTCCCCCCCCCTCTTTCCCCTTCTCTCCAGCTGCTCCCAAGCACATTGTTCTAAGGGAACGGGGATGACAGAAAGCGCATCTCAGTTCCCAATCTATGCAACAACTCACTGATATCTCCCATATCCCACATGCCCCTCCTCTCTTCCTCTCCCCTGCCCTCCAGCTGCTGCCCAACACGCTCTTCTACAAGGTGGGACACGCTCTTGACAACGGAGAGCGCATCTCAGTGCCCAGCCTATGAATCAACACAGTGATTCATCCCATAACCCCCAATCCTCCCCTCCAGCTACTCCCCAACTCGCTCTTCTACGAAGCAGGTCATGCACTTGATGACGGCGAGTGCATCTCACTGCCCGACGCAACCCTCACCGCCCCATCTCAATCCTTCCCTTATTCCACGTGCCCCTCTCCCCCTCCAGCTATTGCCCAACACTCTCTTTTATGAAGCGGGTCATGCCCTCGAGGATGGGGAGCGCATCTCAGTGCCCAGTCTGTGAATCAACTCATTCCACGCTCCCCCCTTGCTTCCCCATCCAGCTATTGCCCAACACGCTCTTTTATGACGCGGGTCATGCTCTCGACGATGGAGAGCGCATCTCAGTGCCCAATGCAACCCTCGCTGCCCTGGCCCTTGTGCTCCACATCTCCCCCCTTCCCCCTCCTTCAGTTGCTCCCCAACACATTGTTCTGCGAGGAGGGTCACGCTCTAGATGACGGGGAGCGCATCTCAGTGCCCAACGCAACCCTCGCTGCCCCATCTCAGTCCTTCCCTTATTCCACGTGCCCCTCCTTCCCCCCCCTCCAGCTGCTGCCTAACGTGCTCTATTACGAGGCGGGTCATGCTCTCGGCGACGGGGAGCGCATCTCACTGCCCAGTCTGTGAATCAACTCGCCCCACACCCCCCCTTGCTTCCCCCCCAGTTGCTGCCGAACACATTGTTCTACGAGGCAGGTCATGCTCTAGATGACGGCGAGCGCATCTCAGTCCCCAATGCAACCCTTGCTGCTCTGGCCCGTCGCAACCACACCACCTTCCCCATTCAATTCGGGGGCTTTGTTCAGCTCATCGTGCAAGACCTTGATGGCCCCAGCAGTGCTGCTAACCGTGCTGCACTGCAAACGTTAGACTCTGCTGCAGCAGTGCCGTCTCCTGTAACAGTGCCATCTCGTGGGGCCAGCAGGAAACTCATTGCAGAGCAGGAAGCAGCCAGGCTTGCAATTGTTGAGCCAAACTTCCCGCCTCTGCTATTTGGGCGGCTCACTGCAGTGAGCGACCCGCGCAAGGATGGTGGTCCTGCTGGGTACTGATTATGGTAAGGCTACCGGTAATATGGTACCCCGTGGGATGTATTGAGGTGCCTCTATCGTTCATGTGTTTTGGGCGGCTCACTACAGTGAGCGAACCGCGCAAGGATGGTGGCCCTGCTAGGTACCGATTATGGCAAGCTAAACTCTCTAGGACGTACTGAGGCGCCTTTACAGTCATCTGTTGGGCGGCTGAGCGCCTCACTGGAGCGAGTAACTCACATCAGGATGGTGTCACGGTGGTCATGCAGAATACTTATTAAAACTCTTATCAACAGAATACTTACGGATTGTTTGTTGCTCGCTAAGTGGCTTTCTGCAGTGAGCGACTCACGTATGGATGGACGTTTTGCTGGATAGCGGGGTACATACTGAATACTGTAGAAGAAGGTATTGACAACGCGATTTTCAGAGGTACCGTAGTGGTGTGTACTCAAGCCTTTCGAGTTATAAAATAGAAGACTTCTTGATTTGATTACAACCTTTTCCGTCAGTAACCCAGACTGTCCCGCAAGCCCATCAGAGCATCCACGGCATCTGCAGCAAACTTGCGTGCAAACAGAAAGCAAGGCGCAAGCTCCCCGGCCACTCTACAAGGCCCAGGAAAGGACACCTCCTGCAGGCTCACAGCCTCTGACACCGGAAAATGCCTCCTCTGCATCCTCTCTATAAGCTCCCTCGTTACACTGCTACCTGAATACATGGTTGGATGCTCGGAATTGTAAGATGGCCAATCCACGTGTGTGACAGAGTGAGGCTCTATGCCGCTCCGATCATACCCCCAAACCACGGTCTGAATGTAACTTTCATCGGGATATTCCCCTCTACCCCTGCCAAAAACCACGTAATACTTCATGTTTTCGACCACTAGGAAAGCATGCGGTCGAGTCAGGACAAACCACTGTGACCCCTTTTTCAGCTGCCACGGATGCAGCACCTGACGTGGCACAAATATCCAGAAATATCTCGGGAACCGCCACCAGCGGAGGGTGGGAAGCACGGCAAGAAAGCTCCTATCTCCTGTAAAGAGATAGGTGTAGACGAAGTTAAAATGTCGAATAGGAATGCATGTTTCAGATACAAGCACGAACCTCTGATTGGCCGGGTCTTGTAACGCGGACGCTAGAAGCCTACGAGTGGCTTGGATCATTGAAGGCATACCCCTTATAATCCTCAGGCCTGGAATCTGCGTTCCCCAAAACACGCTGCCATTCCCTACATGGGAATTCACGCTAAAACCCTCTGTGCCGGCATGCACGTAGATCGAAGCCCGGTCCATGTTCCCACGGAAAAACTCCTCCCAGAGAGGCCTCAAGGGGAGAGGCCCTCTGGTGAGAAACAGGAAGGCGATCTTGGGAGGTCTGCCAGTGGTGGTGAGGTTGTAGTCAACGGTTCTGAATGGCTGTGTCTGCTGCTGTGGGCTTCTTCCATTGCTGCTTCCTCTTTGAAGCGCATGAGTCGATATCCGGCTGCTTCCATTGCTGCTTCTCCCCTCGAGCGCATCAATTGATATCCGACTCAGCTCTGACAAATTCCCTAGGTCCACATCGTAGCTCTCCTCTTCTATAACCATGTGCGGGCGAACCCTCTCCTCTCCATGGCCCATTTGACTGCGAACCCTCTCCTCCTCGCGCTGACTCCCTGAAGGGTAGCCTCTTCTTCGCACCGACGCTGGTAAATCCGTGATGGGAACGAGCTGGTTCACAGGAGGCCATAGCTGCATCTCCGTCTGTAGCGCTCTGCTGACGAGGAAACTGTCCACGTCATCACGGAAAACGTACGGCCCGAAATACATCGTGAACATGAGATAAAATCCAACGACAGCCGAGCAGTAGATAAGGACGGAGAAGAGGGAAAAGTAATTCCTCAAGGTGCGAGACGGGAATTGTCTAGAGGAGGAGGAACGGAGCCGACCAGACGTCCCCAGGGGTGAGCTGCTGCTGGGAGAATCTGTTTCTGACGATGCCAGCGGATCTTTCTCGGAAGGTTCGTGTGCGTCACCTTCAGGGGTTCCCAGTGGCTCTTGTGATAATCCCTGTGGTTCTATCTCAGGGAGTGTCGGTGGCTTGTCACGGAGCCCCAGTGAACCCTCATACGCCATGCTGCCGTCACCGCTGCTGCTGCTACTGACGCCATAGCTTGTACGGTCACCGCTGCTGCTGCTGCTGCGGTCGTTATAGCGTGTACCGACACCGCTGCTGCTGCTGCGGTCGTTATAGCGTGTACCGACACCGCTGCTGCTGCTGCTGCTGCTGATGGTCGTTATAGCGTGTAAAATGGAGGCTTCTGGATGGAAGAGTGTGAAAGGTGCCGGGAGAGCTTGCTAATTGAAGGGATTGCGTACTCGTTATAGGATTACCCATCTACTAGAGACAGATAAAAAGCTTCTTTCAAAATTTCGTGCGTATCTTCAATCATCTCTCCTCGCACTTGCGGACGTTCATTCACACGCCTTGGAAACGCGACTAAGGCAAAAGGCAAAAGGAAGGGAAGAACGACGTCCAGGCACGACAGCTCTAACGGCAATTCGTCTCATTCCTGGGCGCGGAGACCCGCTCGGCTTCCCAAGTCAAGAGGGGATTACTAGAAAACGAAGCACGGATGTGTCGAGAAGGAGAACAACAACCCATCAAGAAGGTATGTCGGGTTACGGATGGCTGTGAGGCGCTGACTGTCTTCGCCCAGCCTGTTCGTACTCACTTCGCCAGCATGCTCAGTTACCACATTCGACAAGAGCCGCCATCCCCGTTTTGGGACGCACCTCTTGGTCAAAGTCTGCTACTCGAAGTCCATAGTGGTGCACTTATTCGCAAAGAGCAGCTTGACTTGAGAAATAGGGTTACAGCATTTTTATGCCAAGTAGCAGTACATACACCTTATGCCCAACAAACAGATTTTAGAACATAGGCTTAACGCAGACATTGACCCGCTTATGTCATCTTGTATAACTAGCCACAGCCAAACATTTGCCGACTATGAAAGCAAAACACTCATTACGACCCTTACCATGCGTCCTCAGAACAGCACCAGGAGTGCAAAGCAGAAGTAGGTCACAATGCACATGAAGGCAATGAGTGCTCGCACATCGTCTGCTTGTGGGACAATCGCCACCAGGAGGGATGCTGCTGTTCGCGTGCACCACACTATGGCCACTGCTGCTGCCACTGCTGTTAGAATCCCCCTGCAACAGCAAGCACCACAAGGCACATAGACAAGTGAGATAGAAACAGGTGGGTGGGCTGGCCTGTGGGACTATGGCCACCAGGAGAGACGCTGCTGTTCGCATGCACCACACTATGGCCACCGCTGCTGCCACTGCTGTGAGCACTCCTCTGTAAAAAAGCATGGGAAGGCACATACGGGTAGACAAACAAGGACAAACTAGTCAGGCATAGGTGAGTGGGTTGGCTTGGGGGACTACATCCATTAATGTGCTACTTACTGAGAAGAAACTAATGTGGTATTAAGAAGTTACACACCTGCAGGGGAGAAGACTGAGACAGCCGAGTAGAGCACCATGGGCAACAGCCCATACACGTGCTACTTTGTATGAATCATTGATCACATGTGCATACTTACTGATGTGTCGCATACCTCCGAGGGAAGAAGACTGAAACAGCCGAGTAGAGCACCATGGGCAGCAGCCCAACAATGTGTTACCTTCACTTTTATGAAACATTGATCATGTGGGTTATACGTCCTGATGTGTCGCATACCTCCGGGGGAAGAAGACTGAAACAGCCGAGTAGAGCACCATGGGCAGCAACCCATAGCCAAAGATGGAGCAGCAGCGGTACAGATCCAAACCTGCCTGCGCTGATCTGTAGCATGGTGTCATGCATATGAGAGGTATGGGGAGAGAGAGGAGGGAGGGACAGGAGGGATGAAGAAAAGTGAGGGAGAATGGGGAAGGACCTTTCAGTTGATCCGAAGATGGAGCAGCAGTGGTACATGTCCACCCCTGCTTTTGACCTGTGAAGTGGTGTCATGCATATGCGAGGTGGGGAGAGGGAGGAGGGAAGGAGAGTGGGGAATGGACTTTCTAGTCGATTTGAAGATGGAGCAGCAGCGGTACAGGTCCAGCCCTGCCTGTGCTGACCTGCGTGAGGGTAGAAAAGGGAGGAGAGGGAGAATGAGGGAGACTGGAGGAAGAACTAGGATGGATTAGCATCGGGACAGGTACCACTCACTACCCACCTCCCTCCCACTCATGACCCACCTCACCCCTACTCAGTGCACCTCGCCCCCACGCAATGCGCACCTTGCTCCGACGAGAAGGTTGAAAACGGTGTAGATGAACGTTGATGCCACCACATATGATTTCTGAGAAGCATCAGAACTCTCCCAACACTAACACTCGTGCCACTCATTGCACTAAAGGCGCACCTGGCTCCAACGAGCGGGTTGAAAACGGTGTAGATGAACGTTGATGCCACCACGGACCATCAATTTAGGCCCCTAAAAAACATCCCACGCACTATCCCTCGTGCCACTCGCCACACAACACACCTTGCTCCCACGAGAAGGTTGAAAACGGTGTAGATAAATGTTGATGCCACCACGGACCACCCGAGCACCACCCCAAAATGCACCTTGGCGTGCTGCAACAGTGAGAAGAAACAGTTGTAAGCCAGGCAAACAAGAATTTTGAAGTGCCTTAGAAGTATGAAAAAGTTTATGCCACCACGGACCACCCGAGAACCATCCCAAAATGCACCTTGGCATGCTGCGATGAGAGCAAGGTAAAGCGGTGCAGCGGTGACACACAAACACACAGAAGAGCACACAGAAGATGAGCAGGCTGGACAGACAGGTGCAGCTTGCTGAGCTGTACGGCTGAACTGAACCACACATCGTATCGGGCCACACCACACCACACCACACCACACCACACCACACCACACCACACCACACCACACCACACCACACCACACCACACCACACCACACCGCACCACACCACACAACGTACCATGAGCTGGCAGAGGCCGAAGAGCACGCAGAAGATGAGCGGGCCGGAGAGGTCCCCGTCATCATAGAGGTCGACGTTGATTCGGATGGGGTTCAGAGCTGACGCTGTCTTTCTCAGGATCTGAGGAATGTTGATTCCCAGCTCTGATGGGGGCAGGAAGGAAGTGAAGGGAGGGAGGAGACATAAAGACCAACAAAGGAGCACGCAGAAGATGAGCGGGCCGGAGAGGTCCCCATCATCATACAGGTCGACGTTAATTCGGATGGGGTTTAAAGCCGAAGCTGTCTTTCTGAGGATCTGAGGGATGTTGATTCCGAGCTCTGTTGGGATTTGGAAGAGGTGAAGGAAGAGAAGGTGAATTGAGAGGGCGCATGTCATGAAGGCCCCATCACATAGTTGTAGAGGTCAAAGTTGAATAGAATCAGTTGACTTTTGAGTAGCCATACTGCTATTTGCCTATTGAGACCCAATGGGAGGACTTAATGGTAAAGAAAGCCTTATAACGAGTAACCTTCCAGCAGAGGCAGCTCGTCCTCAAACGAGTTCTGGCCAAACAGCCCGCCAGACCTGTCATGCTGCCAAACAAATCACCTTATGACGAGTTGTTACCTTCCAATAGAGACAGCTCGTCTTCAAACGAGTTCTGGCCGAACAGCCCGCCAGACCTGTCGTCGGACTGCCAAAGCCGCATCATCTTATAACGAGTTATTACCTTCCAGCAGAGGCAGCTCGTCTTCAAACGAGTTCTGGCCGAACAGCCCGCCAGAGCCGTCGTATTGCGATTGGCCTCCGAATCGCGGGCCCGCCTGCGGGGGAGGCGCCAATGCACCTGCGAGACGCGGGTTGGGGAAAACGAATTCCGAACAACGAGTTGTAAAGAAACGATGAGAAGCCGGAAACCGATAACGAAAATCGCACCGTTACGAGCATGGGTAAGAGTAATGAGTGTATTACCCCCCAAAGCTCCTAGGATTTCAGTTATTGACCATATCGCCGCTACAACTAGCACCACCCCTTTATAATCACAAATCTTCCACTTATACACTCACTCGGCTTGCTCATATCGAAGGACATAAACGCCATGTTGCCGCCTGGTGGACCACCAGCTGCCGGGCCAAAGCCCGAACCTGGACCCGAACCAAGGCCTGGGCCGAAGCCCGGGCCCGAACCTAGCCCCGGACCTGGACCCATTCCTGGCTGCGGCGGGAACGGCATCGGCTGCTGCTGATGGGCTCCTTGTGGCCGTCGATGCTGCGGGAAGGTGAGATTGGGGTTCGTATCGAACGACAGAGAGACGTCGTCTTGAGGACCCATAGTGGAAGACGCTACTGTTTCGAAAGGTCACTGGAGATTATTGAATCGAGAGCTGGAGTTGAGTGGGATCGAGAATCGCGTGTGAGTCCTCTTCCTTGGTTGGATCTGCTAAACGAAAGGGTAGAGGTGACCGCGCCGCGAGACTCGCTGGTAAACGGTAGATGTTGATTAAGAAACGCCCAGTCTCGCCTAATTGTGCCGCGACGACCAACTTATCAGTACGTTCAAAGCCCGAACGAGAAAAAATCTACGGGTTAGTAATGGAAGTGAGGCAAAGACGCCGCTGGCTGGAGAAGCCTGATAAGCCAGGCAGCTTCAAGTGTTTCGGCTACTTCCACCACTGCCTTGGCCAACACTGTTTTTGGCGGTGAGTGACGCTACTCTTGTCAGCGAAACGGAATCTGGGGACGACAGAGCGGAACGTTGGAAACTCTACCAGACCCTTCAGGAATGCAGCCAAACCGCTTCAAGTCTTATTAAACCGTAACCAAGTCACCTGTGAAAAATGGTCAAAAAGCTTGCAGATTCTGTGGTCAGATCAGTGGCGGGTCGACTAGGAGGATGCCTACGAACTACACAATGTAACTGTTGTAGTGTACAAGCGTAAACATAAAACGGAACAGACATTCCTAATACAGAGTATACATTGAACGGAACCAAAACGTCTTTCATTCACTGCACTTACGTTTAACTTCCAGCCAAGCATCCCATACCGCGTATCGCTAATTTTCTGCGAAACCGCTTCTGGTTTGTGGAACCGTCGAGAAGCATGCGTCGCTCAGCGACGAGCCTTCTCGTCGCAGAAAGCTTACCCTCCCTCTGATTGGCTCACAGCCGTAGTAGGCTCCCCAATTTATCGGGTAACCGGCAGTCGTGAAATCGTAAACTCATGAAATCGTCATAACGTCATTCTCCAAACCGTCTGCATGTCTGTTGCCTGGAAGTTGCGAATGGCAAGTCGTCAAGCCGCCTTCCAGCCCCTAGGAGCTTCTTCTGCTTCTTCAGAAATTCCCATAGCAATTAGGCACACTCTGAAGCTGAAGCTTATAAATGCCGCCCCTGGCTTCGAGGTTATCACGGATTTCGGTAAGTGCTCGTTTTTCTCAACTTTTCCTGCCTCCCTGATTGGAATTCTTTATCTGTCGTGCGTACCGTGACAAGTTCATACCATGGCGTCAAAAACCATTCTGATTACCGCCTCTAGCGGATCGATTGGCAAGGCGACAATCAAGGTATGGTTACCTTTTCCGCATCGCCATCCTATATTTGACGGAGTCTGTTTTATTTTAGTAGTCACTCTTTTTCTAGCTTCGTGATTTGTTTGGGTGCCACCAATCCGTTAATCTCCTTTTGTTCCAGGCGCTCGGCAAGACACCTGACAGCTTCACCGTGAAAGCCGGCGTACGCGACCCCACGAAATCCGCCGACCTCGCCGCACTCGCCACCAACGCTTCTCCCGTCGCTGCGGACCCGCTGAAAGAGGCGGAAATCGCGGCAGCGCTTCAGGGAGTGGATTACGTGTTCGTGATTGCTCCTGGCCACGCCGACCGTCAGAAGATTGCCATTGCCGCCATTGACGCTGCTAAGGCTGCAGGCGCGAAGGTGAGTTGATAGTGAATATGGTGTTATCATTCAGTTGCTTTGAGCCCGTTCGTGTTTCTGCTGTTGTCATTGCCTTTTTCTTCGCTCAACTTCTCCCTTCCACCCCCCCAAGCTCCCCACTCCCCCCCTCCTCCTTCCCCCCCTCAACCCCCCTCCATCTCTTCCCCCTCACACCCCTTTTGTATCTCCCACTTCCTCCTGTTTTCCCCTCGTTTCCTCCACGCTCCGTTGTTGTCCGCTCCTGGCCCTGCAGTTCATCCTAGTCCTCTCAGTCTCCACTGCTGACCTCACCGACACGATCTTTGGCGGGCAGTTTGCGCCTGTGGAGGCACACACTAAGGCGTCTGGCGTGCCGTTCACCATCATCCGTCTGCCACTGTTCATGGAGAATAACTACGGCTTTGCGGGAAGCATCAAGGACGCGAGCGCCATTTATTCGTCGTACGAGCCTGACAAGCCGTTCACTGCAGTTTCTGTGGACGGTACGTGTTTTCAGGGCATGCGGTATGTGGTTTCAGTGCATGCAGGGCGGTGCATTGCAGCTAGGTGCAGCAAGGTACGGCATGGTGTATTCAGAAATGTCAGACTGTATTTTCTTCCTGCACCTACCGTATTCCTTTTGTTCTTTTTTGCAGATGTGGGGGAAGCTGCAGCAAAAATCTTTGCTGATCCGGAGGCACACAAGGGAAAGACTTACAACCTGGCTGGGCCGTCTGCTACTGCCACTGATATCGCACAGGCCTTTTCCAGTGCTCTCGGCAAAACTGTCTCATACAACTTCGTAAGTCCCTCCTCCCAGCACCAAAGCTCCAGTGCTGATTCTGCAGCTCAGGTAGCATGGTCTGAAGTTACTAACACGTTTGATGGATTTTTCCCTCGTTGCTGCAGGTTCCTTACGAGGCAAGCAAGGACTGGTTGACGAACAATGGTTTTCCGGAGTGGCAAGCTGATGGGGTGATTGAGCTCTTCAAATCCATCAATGCAGGGGCTGTACAAACCAATGATCCTGCTAATGGGAAGACTCTGGAGAACATTCTGGGACATCCCCCAACTTCTGTGAATGCTTGGGTAGATGCGCATGCTGCAGCTTTCAAGTAGAACACATACCCTCAAAAAGTAGTATGGAATGGGTATATATTGGTTAGTGTGTATACGATGGTGCTGAGTACCTACTTGAAGATGGAGAGGGTTGGGTCCCCAAAACTGTGTATGTATATGGTTGTGCAAAAAAGGCTGGTGTGGCTAGAAATTGGCAGATGCGTACTAGGTAATCTGTGTTATATTTTTTGTTATGACACATTCTGTGATGGAGTGAAAGTGCTCAGGACCGTAAAACAGAGGGCAAAACCATACTAAACCGTACAAGATTTTTCAACTGGGCTATATCCTGCCGCAAAAACCAAGTACCCTGATTCTGCTGTGCCTGCCAGACTTCAGGGTGCAAGCCTGGTCAGGTGTCCCAGCCACACCCTAACCAGACCAGCTTGCGCACCAGCCTAAATTAGCGTCTCAAAGATTGACAGGTCGGCAAAAAGCAAACTCCGATGAGTCATTGTTGTATTCCCATTCGTCTAAATGATCGCGTCGCACTTCAGTCAACTTTCGAGTTCGGCTCGGTGACGCCTAGGCCACTCGTAAGGGTTCTTGAGGGTGTCGGATAGGTTCGCGATGCCGTACCTCCTTCCAGAATGCACACGAAACCCGCTTCGTTTGATACACAAACCAACTATTGTGCTTCAGCGAAGTGGCTTTCGTCGCTAACTCTCTTCGTAGAGAACCTGGTTACTCGATTTTGATAATGTCTTGATGGCGTTCGGGGGTCGCAAACTTTTCTTGGGATTCCATATTCACCTCGAAATTTGATTGGTTTGGTTCGGTTTGGGCTATCCCGTGTCACTACACTTTCTGCCAAGTGTTCTCCTCCTGCCATCATCACCTCCTGCCTTTGGTTTCCCTCTTTGCCCTTGCTTCCTGCTCTACTACGCCTTGGGGTTGTGTTTCAAAAAGGAGAAAGTTCGAATAATTCAACCTCTTTCCACGCAGTGGCTACTGCAACGGAGTCTTGCACCAGTGACGCTTATCTCGTGTGCTCTGTTCAATTCGAAGCTCTTGGCTGTAATTCGACAGGTCTAGGTACGTGGATTTAGATCGCTCATCGACGCGGCTTCATCTTGGTAATTACAGGAATAGTCGTAGCAGGAATCGCTAGGTAGTTAAATCAGGGGTCTGGGGTTTAATAATAGAGTTCGTCGATTTCTCCACACCCATTCTTTCCTGCTGATAGAAGGAATCCTGGGACTGGATTAGGTTAGGAGTGAGATCCTCTCATGTCTACCGAAGTTGACAAGCCCGCTCCCGTCGAGGGAGATGCTTCGAAGGTCCCTGCACCTTCCGCTGCCGAACCTGGAAAAGCTCCCGAGCCTGAAAAGCCTGTCGAAGCTGAAAAGGCGTCCGAACCTAAAAAAGCTCCTGACGCCGACGCGTCAGCCGACAAGGGGGACGGCTGGCAGACGGTGACGTCACGCGAGAGACGAGACAGCAACAGGGGGCATTGGAGGGGTCGAGGTCGCGGAGGCAGGGATTCGCACCACCATCACGGCGGAAATCGCAATGCAGGTGGTTACAGACGTTCGCACGGCCATGGAGGACAATCCGGAGCATCCGGGGGATCCGGCGACAAATCGGGCGGTGGGGGTAGAGGCGGTGTTGCCGGCAAAGGCGGCGCGGTCGCCGCCGCCAAATCCGGCGGCGCTGCTGGTGCTGCTGCTGCGGCAGCTCCCCCTGCTGGAGCTGCTTCGGCGGAGGCCAACGCCGCCGCCGGAGCGGCCGGAGCTTCTGGCGCAGCGGAAGGCACTGGGAAGGCCGGGGATGGCGGAGATGGCGGAAGCGCGACGGCTGGCGCAACGGGTCAGAAAGCCGGAAATGATTCCAACGAGGGAAAAGGCGCAAGCGGAGGGGGCACAGGGGGAAATGCGCATGGGCACGGGCACGGACATGCGCACGGGCATGGGCATGGGCATGGGCATGGGCACGGGCATGGGGCGGCTGGCAAAGGCTCGGTGTGGCAGGTTAAAGGGAAGCCTGGAAAAGGGGTATGGGCGCAGGTGGTTAAGAGTGAGCCAGGCAAGGCTCGAACGCACCCCGGGCCTGATGAGGGGTTAGCGTCGCTCGTGCGAGGTTCGGACGCAGTTGGAGAGGCGCCCGCGAGTGCCGAGCCTGCGAAGCAGGCTGGGGGAAAGGCTGGCGGAGCGGAGGCCAAGCCGGGATCGGAATCAGCGAAACAGGGTGGGGGGAGGGGCGGGAATGCAGGGTCTGGGGGGCAGAAGGGTGGTGGAGGGAGGGGGGAAGGGGGAGGGAAGGGAGGCAAAGGCGGCAAGGCATGGCATAAGGATAAGGACAAAAAGGAGGAGAAGAAGGAGGAGAAGAGAGACGAGAAGGAGGATTCTGAGAAGAATAAGGAGAAGGAAAAAGGGAGCGAGGACAAGGAGAGTGCTAGTGGCAGTGCGAAGGAGGGCGGGGAGGGTAAGGGCTCGAAAGGAGGGGGACACGGAAAGAAGGACGGGAAGTCGGATCAGAAGGAGCAGAAGGATCAGAAAGAGGGGAAGGATCAGAAAGAGGGGAAAGAGCCAAAGGAGCACAAGCCTCCGAAGCAGGCGTGGCGCAAGCACAACAGGGACGGCGAGAAGGGCGGGGCGGTGGCGGCCGCGGCGGTGGTGATGGGCGCAGGCGCGACGGCGTGGCCTGCGCTCTCCGAGGCGGATGCTGCTGCTGCGCGCGCGGCGGAAAACGGCAAGGGGGATGAAAAGGTGCGTGGGCTTTTGAGTCGACTCAAAAGCAGACTCATTACACACGACAGCGTGGCCTGCACTCTCGAGGCGGATGCTGCTGCTGTACGCAAGGCGGAGAATGGCAAGGGGGGGGGGGGGATGATAAGGTGCGCGGGGCTAAATCTGGAATTTTCTCAGAATTGTGTGACTGGTCGGTCTGATTAGATGAGACAGAGCGGTGTTGATTTTAAAAATCCTCCCACTGTTTGTTTTGATCTTCTTCCTATTGCCTTTCGTAATCCTCCCCCTATCGTCTCTCCTGTTCCTCCTCTCAGTTCCCCTCCCTCCTGCCCTATCGTTCCGTCTCACTGTATTTGATATCCTGGTTAAGCCATAAACAGGAAATAAGCATAGATTCTTACGTTCCTAACCCACAGCACCCGTCCCCACCCCTTCCCGGCGTCCCTCCCCCTCTTTTCCCCTCCTCCCTCTCCCCTATCACCTCCCCATTCCTCTCCGTTTCCCGCCCTCCCCTCTACCCAACCTTGCAGGCAAAGCCTGCTGCTGGTCTCGCTAAATTCGCAAACGACTTTTGAGGTGCCTCAAAAGCCCCCTCTTCTCTCCCTTCCCTTCCGCCTCTCCCTCCCCCCACCTTCCCCTTCCTCTTCCGTTTCCGGCCCTTCTATTCCAACCCTCCAGGCAAAGCCTGCTGCTGGTCTCGCTATAATCGCAAACGAGGGCGACAAATCGTCTGCTGCCACGTCAGACAAGCAGAGTGGCGCAGCGGCGGTCACAGCAGCAGACGCAGCCAGAAAGGCTGGCGCTGCTGACGTGGCAGTTGTGAGCGTGCGTGAGGTGGCTGGGGGGCAGTACAAGCGCGGGGGGCATCAGGGGGGAGGGGGGCCGCACCATGGCGGAAGGGGGGGAGGCGTGGGGGGAGGGGGATACCAGAGGCGCGCGCATGTGAGCCCCGCACAGGGGGGCAACGGCGAGGGGAAGCCTCAGGGTGGGGCTGGGCGCGGGCAGGGGGGGCAGCAGGGGCAGGCGCAGCAGCGGAAACAGCAGCCTGGGGGACAGGCGCAGCAGCAGCAGGCGCAGGGGCAAGGGCAGCAGGCGCAGGGACAGGGGCAGGGGCAGGCGCCGGGGCAGGTGCAGGGCCAGGGGCAGAAGCCGCACGGGCAGGGGGGGCATGGGGGGATGGGCGGGGGCGGGCGCGGGGGGCACATGCGCGGACAGGGGAGGGTGGTGGTGGGGGCGGACGATCCCCCCCTGACGGAATTCGTTGCTGCTGGGCCCAGGCGGTCCGCAGCTGCCATGGCCAATGGCATGGGGGGGAGCTATGGCTACCCCATGGTCGTGGGAGGTAAGCATTGGATTCCGAGGCTCCTCAAAGGTAAGCATTAAAGCTTGACATTTGAGGTCTCAAAAGGCTGCTGGCCCCAGGAGGTCCGCTGCTGCCATGGCCAACGGCATGGGGGGCAGCTATGGCTACCCCATGGTCGTGGGAGGTGAGCAACGGTAGAGGCACTGTGAATACCCCATGGTTGTGGGAGGTGAGCAACGGTAGAGGCACTGTGAATACCCCATGGTTGTGGGAGGTGAGCAACGGTAGAGGCACTGTGAATACCCCATGGTTGTGGGAGGTGAGCAACGGTAGAGGCACTGTGAATACCCCATGGTTGTGGGAGGTGAGCAACGGTAGAGGCACTGTGAATACCCCATGGTTGTGGGAGGTGAGCAACGGTAGAGGCACTGTGAATACCCCATGGTTGTGGGAGGTGAGCAACGGTAGAGGCACTGTGAATACCCCATGGTTGTGGGAGGTGAGCAACGGTAGAGGCACCGTGAATACCCCATGGTTGTGGGAGGTGAGCAACGGTAGAGGCACTGTGAATACCCCATGGTTGTGGGAGGTGAGCAACGGTAGAGGCACTGTGAATACCCCATGGTGGTGGGAGGTAAGCAGCGCGCGCAGTAGCAATGCTTACTCCCCCTGACGGAATTCGTAGCTGCTGGGCCCAGGAGGTCCGCTGCTGCCATGGCCAATGGCATGGGGGGCAGCTATGGCTACCCCATGGTCGTGGGAGGTGAGTGCAGTGGCAGGGGGCATGGGACGGGTGTGGGCGCCAGCTATGGGTACTTGATGGTCGTGGGAGGAATGCAGTGTGTGCACTAGCATGGAGTGTGAGGGGGTTGTGGCATGGGCGCCAGCTGTGGCATGGTTCTGGGAGATAAGCATGCAAGGGAGCTGTGCCCACTGTCCATGCATGACTCCACATGACCCGCTTGACTCCATGCCTCATGGTCACATCAGGCTCAGTTACGATTTTTCTTCTTCTGTTTCTCCTGCTCCCCCCCCCCCCCTACTTTCCTCCCAACCAGTGCATGCCGCCAAAAGCCCCTACTACATGCCGCACCGCATGGTTGCACCTGTCCCGTTTGATTCCATGTCTCATGGGTCTGTCAGGCTCAGTTACATTTCTTCTCCTTCTGTTTCTCCTACCACCCCCACCCCTCCTCCCCCCTCTTCCCCGTTTATCACCCATACGTACAGCCAACGGCCCTTACTACATGCCGTACCGCATGCCGCCTGTCCCAGTTGACCCGATGTCAGGCCTCCGAACTGCACTTACGAAGCAGATCGAGTACTATTTTAGGTCAGTTGCCCTTACACTAACTTGTAGTCGCCCCTCCAGATCGTAGCTTGTCTGTTCTGTTACCCTCTTGTTGCCAGTCGTGTTGTGCTTGAGTCGCTAGTGTTGTGTCCCGGTTGACCCCATGTCGGGCCTTAGCACGGCTCTCACCTAGCAGATCGAGTACCACTTCAGCTTGGTTGCTGCTGCCCCTGTTGACCTTCCAAACATCACTTGCTGTTGCCCTTGTTGCCAGTCGTGTTGTGCTTGAGTCAGTAGTGTTGTGACCTGGTTGACCCCATGTCGGGCCTCCATACTGCGCTCACAAAGCAGATCGAGTACCACTTCAGGTGGGTAGCTGCTGCCCCTTCACCCTGTTGCCCCCCCAAACATCATTTGCTTGTTGTTTCCCTTGTTACCAGTCATATCAGTAGTGTTGTGCCCCAATTGATCGATCCCATGTGAGCCTCCGAAGGGCGCTCACGAACCAGCCCCCATTCCCATCCTCCATCTTCCCATTCCCCCATATCTCCCCCCCCCACCCACCTTCCCCATCCCCCGCCTCCCAACCCCCGTTCAGCATTGAGAATCTGTGGCGCGACCTCTTCCTCTGCTCCTCCATCTTCCCATCCCCCATCTCCCCCATCTCCCTCATCTTCCTTCCGCCCCACCCTCCATCTGCCCCACCCCTCTTCATCCAGCATTGAGAATCTGTGCCGTGACCTCTTTCTTCGGTCTAAGATGGACGCCGAGGGGTTCATTCACGTGGATGTTATTGCGGCCTTCAACAGGGTAAGGCTGAGTGCGGCTAGGTTGAGTGCGGTGACAGCGAGTTGGTTGTGGTTGAGTGCGGTAAGGTCGATTGAGTAATTACTTCCTTTGGTCTAAGATGTTCGCTGAGGGGTTGATTCACGTGAATGTTAGTCTGGCCTGCAACAGGGTAAGGCTGAGTGCGGCTAGGTTGAGTGCGGTGACATCGAGATGTTCGCTGAGGGGTTGATTCACGTGAATGTTAGTCTGGCCTCATTCTCAGCTGAGAATTAACAGGGTAACACTGAGGTTGCAGTAAGATTGAGTCCGTATGCTCACACTCCACAAGGCATTCATTTTCAATTGCCCCTATCTCTCACCCTCCTCCACTTTCTTCCCTATGTTCCCCCCTCCTCTCCCCCTCTCCCGCAGGTGCGCATGCTCACACTAGACAAGGCCTTCATTCTCAGCTGCCTTGCCAACTCCACTTCAGTCGAAGTGCAGGTATGCGGTTGCCCCTTTGCTTTCAAGGCCTCTCAATTTAAGCTCCAATAGCTTGTATGCTAGAAGTTCCCGAAATCATTTTCTGCTAAGGGAGCATATTGTGACTGAACTGGAGTGGAGGCAAGTGTTTCACTTGCCTCCTGAACTTTGAGACGAATCACTTGCCTCAAAGTTCATTCACGAGAAGCGCGAAGGAACGCTCAGGAGGCTGGTTCTTCAGCACGAGTTGCACGAGTTGCACGAGAGGGAGGGAAAGAGGGAGACAGACTGGTTCTTCAGTCTCACTCCTCTCCCCTCCTCTCTCACCCTACTCTATTTTGCCCTCACCTCGTCTCTTTCTCCCTACCCCCTCTCAGGGTGAGAAGCTGAGGCGGCGCAATGACTGGAGCAACTGGCTGCTGCCCACAGGGCACATGGAGGCTGTCGTTCCACACTCAGAGGAGGCACCCAATCAGGAGGGAGGCAAGGGAGGAGAGGGAGGAGAGGGAGGGAAGAAGGGAGGAGAGCAGGGGGAGGGGGAGAAGGAGGCTGATGGTACCATTGCTGATAAAGCGGCGGGTGCTGATGCTGACAAGGACGGGCAGGGAAAAGATTCTGAAGGCGAGAAGAAAGAAACTTCTGACGCCGCGGCTGCTACTGCTGCCGCTGCCGCCGCCACTGGTGCTGCTACTGCTGCTGCTGGTGCTGCTGAGGCAGCTCCCTCGTCCCCTGCTGCTACGCTCCTATTCGCCCCTCGATCCATCCCCTCAGCTGCAGACGGGGAGGCGGATGATGAAGGGGAGGAGGAGGGGGGAGGGCAGCGGGCAAATCGCGAAGGCACTCCTGCAAGGAGTGTCGGGAAGAGGCGCGGCAGCAGCGTGAAACGAGCTTCTTCCGGACGTTTCTCAGCTAGCAAGTCCGGAGGGCTTTCGGCTGCGTTTGCCGCCGAAGCTGCAGGTTCGGGAGGCCGAACCGAGGGGCTAGGCTCGCTGCCAGGCCTGGCCGGGAAGGTTGCAGCTGCGATTGAGGAGGCAGGAGGGGTGAAGGGCGGGGAAGAAGGGAAGAGTAATGAGGAGAGGGAGAGGGAGAAGGGGAAGAGGGCGGCAGAGGAGAGTGAGGCGTTGACTGAGGCGAGTGAGGCAGAGGACACGTTTCAATTCAGTGGGGACGAGCTTGGGGAGGGGAAGAAGAGGGCTGGCAAGCCCAGGAGGAAGCAGCGTGCCAGGTAGGCCACTTACCGTGTCAGGGCTGGGGATGGGAAAGGAAAATGAGGGTTTAGGGTCAGAACTTGGAGTTTAGTGTCAGGACTTGGAGTTTAGGGTTGGGGACGAGTTTGGGGAGGAGAAGAAGAGGGCCGGCAAGCCCAGGAGAAAACAGCGTGCCAGGTAGGTTGTTTTTATTGTGATTGTTTTGATGATAACGAAAAGAAAGGAATTAGGGTTAGGGGTATAGGGGTTAGTGCTGGCCCTTCACTTACTCTCGTTCACACACGCTGCTCATGCACACTGGTTGGACGGAGGACACGCGTATGCATGGGCCACACACTTGAGTTTGTATGTCTGTGTTTGTGGTTCATGTGCGCACACTCACTCTCATTCACACACACTACTCACTCACATTCACTCTCATTTCCACACACTACTCATCCACACACACACCACACACACACTACCCACACTCACAGGTCGGAGGAGGATACCACAGACGACTCTGATTTCAACGACGTGAATCCAAGCCTCAAGAACCTCGTTATTGTCACACAGGTAAGGATTTCGTTATTGTCACACAGGTAAGGATTTCGTTATTATTACACAGGTAACGCCTCGCCTGTAGTCACGTGCTTCCTCTTCCTTATTCATCCCACCACCTCTGCTATCCGGTTCCCCAATCCTTCTATTTTGCTTTCAGAGGCGCCCGGGTCAGGGCAGTGCATTTCAGCAGCAGCAGCGGGGTGGTGTGAGGCGCAACCAGGGCAACGAGATGCAATCGCCCATGCTCACTTGTTTACCCACCCTCCCTCTCATTCCCGTCCTATCAGAGGCGCCCGGGCCAGGGGAGTGCGTTTCAGCAGCAGCAGCGGGGTGGTGTGAGGCGCAACCAGGGCAACGAGATGCAATCGCCCATGCTCACTTGTTTACCCACCCTCCCTCTCATTCCCTTCCTATCAGAGGCGCCCGGGCCAGGGGAGTGCGTTTCAGCAGCAGCAGCGGGGTGGTGTGAGGCGCAACCAGGGCAACGAGATGCAATCGCCCATGCTCACTTGTTTACCCACCCTCCCTCTCATTCCCTTCCTATCAGAGGCGCCCGGGCCAGGGGAGTGCGTTTCAGCAGCAGCAGCGGGGTGGTGTGAGGCGCAACCAGGGCAACGAGATGCAATCGCCCATGCTCACTTGTTTACCCACCCTCCCTCTCATTCCCGTCCTATCAGAGGCGCCCGGGCCAGGGGAGTGCGTTTCAGCAGCAGCAGCGTGGTGGTGGGGTGAGGCGTAGCCAGGGTCGAGAGGACGGGGCGAGCGGCAGCAGCTATGAGGGCGGGTCTTCCCTGGTGAGGATGCTTGCCATGTATGGAGTGCTTGGGTGAGGGAGTGAGTGCGAGAGCGAGTAGGTGAGCGAGGGGGCGGTGTGAGGTGCAATTTGTGCAGGGAGGATGGGGCGAGTGGCAGCAGCTACGAGGGCGGGTCTTCCCTGGTGAGATGGTTGATTGTGTGGGAAGGGGAGGGTGGGTGAGAGTGAGTGTGAGTGAGGGTGCTTGAGTAGTGGTGTGAGGCGCAGCCAGGGCAGGGAGGATGGGGCGAGTGGCAGCAGCTATGAAGGGGGGTCTTCCCTGGTGAGAGGGAGGAATGGGGGTTTGATTGTGTGGGGAGAGTGTGGGTGCTTTAGTGAGTGTACCTGGATGTGAGGCGCAGCCAGGGCAGGGAGGACGGAGCGAGTGGGAGCAGCTACGAGGGCGGGTCTTTCCTGGTGAGAAAGGAGAGGTTGTTTTCTTTTGTGAGTGTGAGGGGATGTGAGATGCAGCCAGGGCAGGGAGGATGGGGCAAGTGGCAGCAGCTATGAAGGGGGGCCTTCCCTGGTGAGATGGGAGAGCTTGGGTGTTTTCGTGAGTGTGAGGGGGTGTGAGGCGCAACCAGGGCCGTGAGGATGGGGCGAGTGGCAGCAGCTATGAGGGCGGGTCTTCCCTGGTGAGTGGGAAGACGTTTGATGTGTCGGAAAGGGAGAGTGAGTGAGAGCGAGTGTGAGTGAGTGTATGAAGGTGAGATGTAACCAGGGCAGCCAGGGCCGTGAGGATGGGGCGAGTGGCAGCAGCTATGAGGGCGGGTCTTCCCTGGTGAGATGCTTGCAAGATGCTTGATGTGTTGGGGAGTGAGTGAGTGTGAGGGAGGGAGTCTGAGGGATAACATTAGCAGCCAGGGCAGGAAGGACGGGGCGAGTGGAAGCAGCTACGAAGGGGGTCTTCCCTGATTAGGCACTTGATCAGGGGTCAGATTGCTGTGTGTGTGCAAGTGGGTGTAAGCGGGTTTGAGTGGGTTTGAGTGAGTTGGTGTGTGGATGTGAGGTGCAACCAGAGAAAGCAGGGCAGGGAGGTTGGAGTGAGAGCAGAGCAGCTATGAGGGCGGGTCTTCCGTGGTGAGTCGCTTGATTGTGAGGGACGGGAGAATGGGGTTGCTCAGGGCTGTGAGCTGAAGGGTTGTCTAGGTGCCGTGGAGGTTTGAGTTGTCTCTGAATATTGTCATCCCAATAATCTCTCCAGCAGGCTGTTTGCTGAAAGGGTGTCTGCTGAAAGGCTGTCTGCTGAAAGGCTGTCTTGGTGCCATCTTCCCCCCCCCCTTCATTCTCCCCTCTCTTCTTTCCACCCTCCTCTTCCTCTCCTCTTGCCCTTCCTCCATTTCCACCCGTCCCCCCCTTTCCTCCCCCCCCAGGGTCCTAACTACCGTGCCAGCAGGCTTTTGAGTCGACTCAAAAGCAGTCTCCTCCTGCCCTTCCTCCATTTCCACCCGTCCCCCGCTTTCCTCTCCCCCCAGGGTCCCAATTACCGTGCCAGCAGGCTGTCTGCAGAGAGGGGCGAGCAGTCAGGGACGGACGGGGAGGGGCATGGTACCCCACCACACCTTACCACACGCCCTTTCTCCTTGCACCCCTCCCACCTCCCCCCCCCGCCCCCCATCCCCAGGGTCCTAACTACCGTGCCAGCAGGCTGTCTGCAGAGAGGGGCGAGCAATCAGGGACGGATGGGGAGGGGCCTGGCAGGTGAGCGTGGGGGAAGGGGGGATGCAAAGAAGGGAGGGGAGGAAAGGGAGAGTTGGAGTGGCAGGGGGATGGGGAAGGGAAGGGAAGGAGATAAGGGGAATTGGGAGTGGAAGAGGAAGAAGTGGGGGAGGGGGTAGGTGAGGAGTCCGGTGTTAGAATCTATCTTCTTGTGTAACCTGCATAGATGTTATAGGTTAGGCTAGAGTTAAGCACCCAAACTCAGTTTGGGTGTACAAACAAGGGTCACCCAGTTTGTAGGTTGGAAACCCAACCTTGGTCCAATTATTGGACCCCAAAGGTTGGGTTGGGTAGAATTATTGGTTCACTCCAATAATGTTGGCCCAACTCCAACTTGGCCAACATTATTGGACCCCACCAATAATCCCCCAACCCAACTTCTTGGTTGGGGTCCAATAATGCTCACCTAGGCTAGGATCCAACCCACTCCCTATGTAAACCCCCAATCTCCTCAATTCAATCATCAACTTCTCTTCAAACTATTGTTCTCACATGGTATAGAGCTCTTAATTCCTAGGCCTACTGTATTAAGTTTTCAAAGGCCACTACAACCCCGGCCTTCTTCCTCATTTTTTTTTTTTTCGCGGCCATCTTGCCGCCCTTCCCCTCTCATCAAGCGCTCCCTTCCCCGCAGCCCCGCGGCCTCCCACGCCGCCTAGGCTCGCACCACTCCCCCCCCCTCCCCCCCTTCCGCGGCCCCATCACCGCTTCCGCGCTCGCTCGTCGCGTCGTCCCGCCGACCGCTGCCGCTCGCGCCTCTCTGCGGCCTCGACGCCGCCTCCGCGCCGACTCCGCCGCGGCTCCACCAGCCGCCGCCGTCCGCGCCGCTCCCTTCCGCGGCCTCGTCGCCGCCTCCGCGCCGACTCCGCCGCGGCCTCGCCAGCCGCTGCCGTCCGCGCCACTCCCTCCCACGGCCTCATCGCCGCCTCCGCGCCGACTCCGCCGCGGCCTCGCCAGCCGCTGCCGTCCGCGCCGCTCCCTTCCGCGGCCTCGTCGCCGCTTCCGCGCCGACTCCGCCGCGGCCTCGCCAGCCGCTGCCGTCCACGCCGCTCCCTCCCGCGGCCTCGACGCCGCCTCCGCGCCGACACCGCCGCGGCCTCGCCAGCCGCTGCCGTCCGCGCCGCTCCCTCCCGCGGCCTCGTCGCCGCCTCCGCGCCGACTCCGCCGCGGCCTCCGCCGCTGCCGTCCGCGCCACTCCCTTCCGCGGCCTCTTCGCCGCCTCCGCGCCGACACCGCCGCGGCCTCGCCAGCCGCTGCCGTCCGCGCCGCTCCCTCCCGCGGCCTCGTCGCCGCCTCCGCGCCGACTCCGCCGCGGCCTCCGCCGCTGCCGTCCGCGCCGCTCCCTTCCGCGGCCTCGTCGCCGCCTCCGCGCCGACTCCGCCGCGGCCTCGCCAGCCGCTGCCGTCCGCGCCGCTTCCTCCCGCGGCCTCGTCGCCGCCTCCGCGCCGACTCCGCCGCGGCCTCAGCCGCTGCCGTCCGCGCCACTCCCTTCCGCGGCCTCGTCGCCGCCTCCGCGCCGACTCCGCCGCGGCCTCGCCAGCCGCTGCCGTCCGCGCCGCTCCCTCCCGCGGCCTCGTCGCCGCCTCCGCGCCGACTCCGCCGCGGCCTCAGCCGCTGCCCGCCGCGGCCTCTCCCTCCCGCGGCCTCGTCGCCGCCTCACCTCCCCCCGTGACCACTGCAGGCCCACCCGCAGCCGTCCTCCATGGCTACCGCCACACCCTCCCCCGTCCCCCTCCCTCCACCTATTGACACCTCCTCCGTCGATAAGCTGCAGCTCGCCGCAGACAAATCCGCCATTAATTGGCACTCCTTCGTCGGCAGCATCCGACGGGTCCTCTCCGATGCGTGGGTTCCCCCCTACCGTGTCCTTGATGTCCTCCTCCGCCGTCCCCATGCACTCCCCCCCACCGAACCTGACCACCCGGGCGAGACTCCCCCTCTCCCTCCCTCTCCCGGAGATCCTCCTCTTGAACCCGACCTCCAACTCACCGCCGACCAAGCCACGGCCGATACAGACTTCATCCTACGCCGCCATGCGTACCTTATCAAGAAAGCAGAGTACGATGCAGCAGTCGAAGCCTATGACCAGGCAGTTACCGGCCGCAACGCTCACCTCGCCGTCGTCGCCAAATACCAAGCCGACATGGCCACCTACACCCCGAAACTTATCGCCTGGACAACTGCTGACACTCGTGCCTGCACCGTTCTCCTTGGGGCTCTCCCTGACTCTCTCATGCGCCGCTTCCAGGCTCGAGAGCTCCGGGCCTCGGTCATCTGGGCAGAGCTCCATGCGATGTTCGAACGCCGCGACATCAGCTCGGTCGGCATTCTGTTTCAAGAATACTTCTCAATCACCCTTGCTACCTGTGACGGAGCGGTCGACTACATCGGCCGCATGCGGGAGGTAGCTGACCGCCTCGAAGCCCGCCAAGCCGGCCTCTCCGAACCCCTCCAAATCCATCGCCTCCTGTTTAACCTCACTCCCGACTATGAATCCCGCCTTCACGCCTTTACTGAAGCCAATCCCATGGCTGACCTCGCCTCCGTTGAACAGTGGATCATAGACACCGAAGTCAAACTTCGCACCCCCGTCGTCAACCTCGCCTCCTCCCAACCCTCCTCCTCCTCCCTCAACGCTACTCAGCCCCGCAAGCAGGGCAAGCACAACGGCAAGGGGGGCGGTGGAGGCAAGGGAGGTAGCGGTCCCGGCGGCAGCAGCGCGAGCAGACGTGGCGGTACCACTGGGGATGAGCACGGCACCACCACCACAGGCGGAGCTCCTGCAAGCAGCGGCGGTCGCCCCGGTACTCTTCCGCCCTGCACCTATGTTCGCCGCTATGGCCCCCGGGCTGGAACACCCTGCGGACAGACCAACCATCCCCCTGCCACCTGCTTCAAGGCCCTCGATGATGCTTGGTACGCACGAGGTAACGTTGGCAATCCTCCAAAGTGGGGAACGATCTCCCCACGTCCCTCCCCCACTGACATCCAAACCAACCCCGCTTACCTCCCTGCCCACCTCCGCCTCCTTGCTCCCCCCACACCTTTTCTCAACCTCCAGCAGCAGCACCTCCTACAGCAGCAGCAGCAGCAGCAGCAGCAGCACCAGCAACTACAGCAGCTGTTTTATCCACAGCCGCAGCAGCAGCAGCAGCCGCAGCCGCAGCAGCACCCATGGGGATCAGGACCCCAGCCCCAGTGGGGACCTAGCCCTCCTCCCTGGCAGCAGCAGCAGCTAAACTTCGGCACCGCAGCCATGGCCGCTCAGGCCTCACCGGCTCCCCTTTGGGGTACTCCACCCCCCCCCAGTGGCACTGCCACCGCTCTCACTCAGGAGAACTTTCTTGGCAACATTGCTATCTCACCCTCTCTTCCTTCCATGTACCCGTCCACCATTAATGAAACCACTTTCCAGTACTCCGTGCCTTCCTCCTCCTCACCCACTCTGGACTTTGTCCTGGACAGTGGGGCCACTGAAACTGCTCTCAAAGACGCTGGTACACTCACACCCCTCTCTCCTCCCACTCAGGTTCACGGCGCTGACAGCAGCTTCACTATTCCATGCACACACCTCTCCACTCTCCCCTGCTCACTCTTCCCCTCTGGTAAGGTAACTGGTCTCCACATCCCCACTCTCCGAAACAACCTCCTCTCCCACCGTGAAATACAAAGTGCAGGTATCACTGCGGTCTACCCTGGTAATGCCACCTACTGTGACCTTTACCACACTGCCTCCGGCCGCTTCCTCCTCCGCATACCCCTCTGCCCCCGCACTCGCCTCTACACTCTCCGCACTCCGTGGCCATCCTCCTGTCATGTCACCACTCGTGCGGGTACCTCCACTAGCCCTCCCCATCTCCCTCCCTCCCTCCCCCCCCACTCCACCATCCCCCCACTCCTTCATCCCGCCCTCCCTCGTTCCAATCCCCTCCACCTCCGACCATCTCTCCCACCCCGCTGTTCTCCTACATCACCGACTCGGCCATCCCAATTTCGCCGCTCTCCGCACTGCTGTCACCTCACGACTCCTTCACAGCCTCCCTCCCACCCTTCCTCCCCTTCCCTCCTCCCCGGCCCCCCCATGCCCCTCCTGCATCCACGGCAAACTCAAACAATCTCCTCACCACAGCCACCCATCCTTTGCTCCTGCACCAATTGACCTTGTCCATATGGACCTTTGGGGGCCCTCTCCCACCCGCTCCCGCCAAGGCCATCGCTAGATGCTGGTTCTGGTTGACGATCACAGCCGCTACTCCTCCGTTTTCCTCCTCCACACGAAAGCCCAGGCGCCGACCATGATCATTCACTGGGCAGAACAATGCCGCACCCACTTCAAACGTCCCATCGGCCGCCTCCACTCTGATGGGGGAGGCGAATTCCTCAATCGCGCACTCACTCACTACTGCACCACTCATGGCATCCAACAGACCCACACTCTTCCCCACTCCCCACAGCAGAACGGCGTCGCAGAGAGCCGCATTCGCGAAATCACTAAGATCGCCCGCTGTCTCCTCGCTCACGCCTCCACCCCTCCTTCTCTTTGGGGCTATGCACTCCTTCATGCTACCCTCCTCCTCAACCTTCGCTCCCATCCCTGCCACACCGCCACTACCCCCACGGAGCTCTGGTCAGGGACCAAACCTGACGCTGCCGGACTTCGTGTTTGGGGTTGCAAGGCATATGTGCTCATCCCTCCACCTGAACGCACCCACGGCAAGCTCGCTTCTCGTGCCCTCGAGTGTGTCTACCTCGGCCACAACCGCGACTCGCCCGGTTACCTTTTCCTTCACCCTCCCTCTGGTCGCCTCATCCGCAGCATTGACGTTGTGTTTGATGAGACCACCCCATATTATTCCTCTCCACCACCAGACCCCCTCCCTCCTCCCACCCGTCCTCTCGCTTGGACCGACACCGTCCTCCCTCCCCTCCTCCCTCCAGCACCCCTTCTCCCACCCCTCCCCACTCCGCTTCCGCCACCCTCATCTGCCGATATCTATGATCCCACTGCTCCAGCACCCCCTGCACACTCCGCGGCTCCCTCTCCCTCCTCTCCTTCCTACTCTCCTTCTCATCCATCCCAACAGCCGCAGCAGCAGCCACAGGGGCAGCAGCAGCAGCAGCAGCAGCCGCAGCAGCAGCCGCAGCAGCAGCAGCACCCACAGCAGCAGCAGCAGCAGGGGCAGCCGCAGCAGCAGCCGCAGGGGCAGCAGCAGCAGCCACAGCAGCAGCAGCAGCAGGGGCAGCCGCAGCAGCAGCCGCACCAACAGCAGCAGGGGCAGCAGCAGTGGCCGCCGCAACAACCACAGGGGCAGCCGCAGCAGCAGCAACAACAGCCGCAGCAGCGGCCGCAGCAGCAACAGGGGGTCCAGCAGCAGCAGCAGCAGCAGCAGCGGCGGAGGGCGTCTGCCCGCTCCTCACCCTTCCTCCTCCCTCGCATGCACACCCGCTCTCTTGATCCCATCCTTGGCACACCGCCACCTTCCTCCCTCCACCAGCTCGAGGATTCCCATGAGGAGTTCGCCATGGTCCGGCACCACACTCCCTCTATCTTCACACTTTACCCTGACCTCTTCGGCGCTCTGATCCTTAGCGCGATCTCCGCTCCCACCATCTTCGTCCCCACCACCTTCCAGGAGGCTATCACCTGCCCTGACGCTGACAAGTGGTTAGCCGCTATCTTCCTGGAGTGTGAGGCTTTCATTCGCAACGACTCCTTTATCGACGTTCCCCTTCCCCCTGACGCCAACCTTGTCGAGGGCAAGTGGATCTTTCGAGTCAAACAGCTGCCGGGAGAGGAGCCAGTCTACAAAGCCCGCTATGTTGCCAAGGGGTTCACCCAGACCTGGGCTGAGGACTACTGGTTCACATTTGCCCCCACCCTCAGGCAAGTCACCCTACGCACCCTTATGGACATCGGTGCGCGTGACGACATGGAGATTGACTCCATGGACGTCTCCAACGCGTTCCTGCAAGGCGAACTGCACGAGCGCATCTTCCTCCGCCGACCTCCTGGGTTTCATGCGGCTTTCCCCGAAAACACCGTCTGGCAACTAAAGCGCCCGGTTTACGGCCTGAAGCAGGCACCACGAGAATGGCATGCGAAGCTGTCTGCTACTCTCCAGTCCCTTGGCTTCTCCCCCTCCCACTCCGATGCCAGCCTCTTCATCCGCTCCTCCCCCAGTCGCTTCTTCATCTCCGTCTACGTCGACGACATGATCCTGCTCGCCGACACCAGGGCTGACATGGATCATGTGAAGCGGTCACTTCAGGAACGTCTCAAGTGCAAGGACCTTGGTCCGCTTCAGAACTACCTCGGCATGGCTATCACCCGTGATCGATCCGCCCGCACCATCACCCTCTCCCAGTCCCACTACATCGGCCAGGTCCTGGAGAAGTTCGAGATGGCACAAGCCAAACCGGTCTCCACCCCTCTCCCCTTCGGCCACCAGCTTGCGCCACCCACCTCCCCCTCCACCTCCTCCCGGCCCTACGCCGAGCTTGTTGGGTCGCTGATGTACGCGATGATGTGCACTCGTCCCGACCTCGCCTACCCTGTCAGTGTCCTTGCTCGGTTCGTCGGCCCCGGCCGCCACACTGAGGAACACTGGACTGCCGCCAAGCGGGTCCTCCGCTATCTCCGTGGCACCAGAGACCACGCTCTCACGCTGGGTGGATCTTCCCCCCCCCTTCTCTCTGGCTTCAGCGACTCCTCCTGGGCAGACTGCCAGCCAGACCGCCGCTCCTCCCAAGGCTATGGCTTCACCCTCGGCAGCGGCCTCATCAGCTGGCGCTCTACCCGCTCCTCTGCCATCGCCCTCTCCTCCTGTGAAGCTGAGCTCTATGCTGGCACCATGGCCGCCCAGGAGTCCCGCTGGCTCTGCTTCCTCCTGGCTGAGCTTGGTGTTCCCCAGCGCTGCCCCACGCTCTGGTGTGACAATGCCAGCACCATCCATCTCACCCAAGACCCCGTGTTCCACGGTCGCTCCAAACACATTGAGCTCCGCTATTTCTTCATCCGTGAACTCGTCCAACAGAATCTCATTGCCGTTCGTAAGATCGCCGCTGAAGCCAACTTGGCAGATATCTTCACCAAAGCACTCCTTCGCCCTGCGCACTCTGCTCTTCTCCGCCTCATCGGCCTCGCTCCCCCAGGCGCGCCTTGATTCAGGGGTTGCTTCACTCAAGCCTTTCCGCATCTCTGCAGGTTAAGGGGTTGTGTTAGAATCTATCTTCTTGTGTAACCTGCATAGATGTTATAGGTTAGGCTAGAGTTAAGCACCCAAACTCAGTTTGGGTGTACAAACAAGGGTCACCCAGTTTGTAGGTTGGAAACCCAACCTTGGTCCAATTATTGGACCCCAAAGGTTGGGTTGGGTAGAATTATTGGTTCACTCCAATAATGTTGGCCCAACTCCAACTTGGCCAACATTATTGGACCCCACCAATAATCCCCCAACCCAACTTCTTGGTTGGGGTCCAATAATGCTCACCTAGGCTAGGATCCAACCCACTCCCTATGTAAACCCCCAATCTCCTCAATTCAATCATCAACTTCTCTTCAAACTATTGTTCTCACATCCGGGACACGTATGACCAACACCCACTTGTTGCATATCTCGTGTCATCTTTCCCCTCACCCACCGCCCCCCCACCCTTCCCCCCTCCTCGTGTGTCCTCCTTTTCCTCTCCCTCCGTCCCTCCCTCGCTTCCCTCCTCCACCCCTCTCTCCCCCCCCGTGACCAGGTTCCACGTGGGCAGTCAGGGCAGTAACGGCAGTCCAGACAACTTCAGCTCGCATGTGGCTCATGACATGGCCCCCTGGGATTGCACACATGACACACCCACTCTTCACATACCCCCGCTGCCTCTTTCCCGTCCCCTCCCACTCTTCATCCCCCCACCCCAGGTTCCACGTGGGCAGTCAGGGCAGTAACGGCAGCCCAGACTCCCACGTTGCCCGCGGCCCCAGAGCCCGCCACCCGCAGCAGCAGCGAGCCTCCTGGACCCCCGGGATCGCCCACATGACTGCAGCAGCTGCTGCTGCCGCCGCCGCAGCAGGAGGAGGAGCAGCAGGAGCGGTGGGAGGGGTGGGAGCGGTGGGGGTAGGAGGAGGGGTGGGAGCAGTGGGGGTGGGGGCAGGGAGGGCGCAGCCGGTGCCTGTGTGGCGGCCGGGGTTGGGGGGGCTGCCTGCGAATGCGGTGGAGTTGGGGGGCAGCAGTTGGAGGAGCACCAGCAGCTTCGGGTCGCCACAGCTCATGGCGTTCTATTTCGGAGCCACTCCCCCCGGCTCCTACAGGTGTGTCAGGTTGTGTGCGTGTGCCGTGCTGTGTTTGTTTAGAGTCCTGGGAAGGAGGGCGGGGATTTGGGCGGGTTGGTGGAGTTGGGGGGCAGCAGTTGGAGGAGCACCACCAGCTTCGGGTCGCCACAGCTCATGGCCTTCTATTTTGGGGCCACTCCCCCCGGCTCCTACAGGTGTGTGCGGTGGCAGGGGTGGGGATAAAACAGGGAGGGCGGGGGGGTTGGGGGGGGCGCCTGCGAATGCGGTGGAGTTGGGGGGCAGCAGTTGGAGGAGCACCACCAGCTTTGGGTCGCCACAGCTCATGGCCTTCTATTTTGGGGCCACTCCCCCCGGCTCCTACAGGTGTGTGCGGTGGCAGGGGTGGGGATAAAACAGGGAGGGCGGGGGGGTTGGGGGGGCTGCCTGCGAATGCGGTGGAGTTGGGGGGCAGCAGTTGGAGGAGCACCAGCAGCTTCGGGTCGCCACAGCTCATGGCCTTCTATTTCGGGGCCACTCCTCCTGGTTCCTACAGGTGTGTGCAGTGGCAGGGAGGGGTGGTGGTGGGAGCAGGGAGGGCGGCGGGACCGCGGGTTTTGGGAGGTTTGCCTGTTCGTGGCTTTCTTAGCCTGCTGCCCCCAGCTCGTAGTGGTTTGGCACTCGTTGCTCGTCTTTCTTAGCCCGTTGATAAGAGCGTTGTCACGTTCGTTGCTCATCTTTCTTAGCCCGCTGATAAGAGCGTTGACTTGACACGTCACAAAACAACACTGTTGTCACGCTGCCCCCAGCTCCTAGTGGTTTGGTGCTCGTTGCACCCCTTTTGACCCCTCTGCGCCCCTCTGTGTCCCTCTCCTTTCCCTACTGTGACTCTGCACCCTTCCCCCCTCTATCTTCTGGGGAATGCCTGCTGGGCTGGCCATGCTTCCACCTCTCGCTGTACCCTTCTTCACCACTATGTACCCTTCTATGTCCCTCTCCGCACCGCTTCTCACCCCTCTGCACCGTAGTGGCTCGGCTGCCTCCTCCCTCTCTAGCTCCTGGGGCATACCCGCTGGGCTGGCCATGCTTCCACCCCTCCTTCTACTCGTCTTCACCCCTCTTCACCCCTATGTCTCCCTCTTTGCTCCTCTTTGCACCGCTTCTCACCCCTCTGCACCGCAGTGGCTCGGCTGCCTCCTCCCTCTCTAGCTCCTGGGGCATGCCCGCTGGCCTGGCCATGCTGCACCAGCAGCAGCAGCAGGGGGAGAAGAAGGAGAAGGAGAAGGAGGAGGAACCGGGGAAACAGGCAGCAGGGGACGCAAAGGCAGGCGAGAAGAAAGACGGGGAGAAAGAGACAGAAGCAGGGAAGGAGGGTGCAAAGGAGAAGGACCAGAAGCAGCAGGAGCAGATGCAGGGCAGGGGGGGCAAGGGGGGAGGGCTCCTAAGCCCACCCAAGGGAGTCACCCCTCTCCCCTTCGCCCCTGGCTCTGCCCCTACGGGGAGTATGATGCATATGGCGGCAGCGGGGGGAAGGCACAGGGACAGGGGGAGGGGAGCGGTGGGTTCGGTGGGGAAGGGGGGCGCTGGGCTGCTGTCGGCTAGTCTGGGCTCGGGAGGGCAGCAGCACCAGCATGTTAGTCACGCGCTGCTGGAAGAAAATGGTTTCAAGCAGCAGAAGTGAGTATGAGTGGGTGGGCGTGGGGCGCATGGTACGTTGTGGAGTGAGGGAGGTATTGTCATCATTAGCATCATCAGCACCAGCATGTTAGTCACGTGTTGCTGGAGGAAAATGGGTTCAAGCAGCAGAAGTGAGTGTTGGGGCGCTGTGCCGTTTGGTTGTCAGTTGCATGGTATGGAATGGATGGAATGAGGGGAACTGTTGTCAGCAGCACCAGCATGTGAGTCACGCTCTGGTGGAGGAGAATGCGTTCAAGCAGCAAAAGTGAGTGTTGGTGGGTTCACGCGTCGCCTTCACTCCTCTCTCGTCCTTATTGTTCTTCTCACCCCGCTTGCCCCTCTTCCCCCTCTCCCTCCCTTTCCTGATGCCTCTCCTCCTACAAAAGGTTTCTCATGTGTCTACATAGGTGTTTCCCTCTGCTCTGCCTCGTCTCTAAGACCTCTCCTCGCTTGCGCCTTTCTCCCTCCTCTCCCTGCCTCCCTGTTCCTATCGCCCATCTCACCCCCATCCCAGGTACTCCTCATTCTACAAGAGGTGTCTCATTTGCCCAGCCTCTTGTCCGTTGCTATGTTGAGTTTACTTTTGAAAATTCTCTTGTCCAGCCTCTTGTCCGTTGCCCGCTTCTCATCCCCCTCCCACCCCTCTGGCTCCTCTTCACCATCTCACCCCCATCCCAGGTACTCCTCGTTCTACAAGAGGTGTCTCAAGGAGAGAAAGAAGCTTGGCAGCGGCCGCTCTGAGGTGAGTCACTTTAATTGAAGGTAGCCCTGCTTTGCAGGTGACGCAAGGGTAATCTTCTTGTCAAAAATCTTACCCTAGACCCTAAACAAGCAGGAGATGAAACGCCGTTCCGATCCTGTTGCTTTTTCTCTTCCGCGCAAGGAACTAGCATATGTAAACAGCGATTCCCCCTCCCCCTCTCTCCCCACACACCCGCCCTTCTTCTTCCTCCCCCTCCTCCTCCCTACCCGCCTTTTTCATATTTCCAGGAGATGAACACGCTGTTCTGCTTCTGGTGCTACTTCCTGCGCAACAACTTCAACCAGCAGATGTATGACGACTTCAAGAGGCTTGCTGCGGAGGACATGTGATGTGTGTGCACTGATCCTTGTTGTCTCATCCTCAACCCCCTCCACCTTTTTCCCTCCCCCTTTTTTTTCCCTTCCCCCTTTTTTTCCCTTCCCCCTTTTTTTCCCTTCCCCTTTTTTTTCCCTTCCCCTTTTTTTTTCCCCACCCCCACTCTACTCGACCTTCCTCCCTTCCCTGAACAAACAGGAAATGAACACTTTATTCCGCTTCTGGTGCTACTTCCTGCGCAAGAGCTTCAACCAGCAGATGTATGACGATTTCAAGAGGCTTGCCACGGAGGACGCGGCTTCCAAATACTACTACGGCATGGAGTGCCTCTTCCGCTTCTACAGGTGTGTACACTGCGCTTGTACAGGGTACTGTGCTGTGCTGTACCCCCTTAGCCAGATGTGCTGACACTTAGCCAGGCTACGCTTATTGTTTCCTATAATGCCGCATAACGCTCTGAGGACACGGCTTCCAAGTACAGGTAATGTGCTGTACCCGCTTAGTCAGATGTGCTGACTGTTGGGTCGACTCAACTCCAAGGTGAGCTTCAACCAGCAGATGTATGACGATTTCAAGAGGCTCGCCACGGAGGACGCGGCTTCCAAGTATTATTACGGCATGGAGTGCCTCTTCCGCTTCTACAGGTACACAATGCGGCAATGGTTTGCTAAATATCTATTGTCTCGTAACTTTCAAAGGACGCGGCTTCCAAGTACTATTACGGCATGGAGTGCCTCTTCCGCTTCTACAGGTACTGCCACTTGGCTAGGGGTTTCTTGAGTTGTCTTAAACGCTTTGATAGATTGTGGCTTGGCACTGAGGACGCAGCTTCCATAGTCCAAGTTCGAGGAGCTGATGTACACCAACTTCTAGCAACTCACTCTGGCATCCTGGTGAACCTTCCACCTCATTGAACTCCCGTCCACCCCTTTCCACCGTCTCCTCCCCCCCCCCCCTACCAGCTATGGCCTGGAGTCCAAGTTTGAAGAGCCCATGTACGCTGACTTTGAGCAGCTCACTCCGCCTTTTCACTCCCTTACCATTCCACTGCTTTCCACCACTTTCCACCCCATTGCACTGCTTTAAACCTTGTCTTTTTCTTCCCCTCACCAGCTACGGACTGGAGTCCAAGTTTGAAGAGCCCATGTACGCTGACTTTGAGCAGCTGACTCTGGACATGTACCAGCGGGATGGGAACCTGTACGGGCTGGAGAAGTACTGGTGAGTTGGGATGGGTTGGGATGGATTGGGTTGGGGTGGGATGGGGTGGGGTGGGGTGCGGTGGTCCAAGATGGTTCGAGCAGTTCACTCTGGACATGTACCAGCGGGATGGGAACCTCTACAGGCTCAAGAAGTACTGGTGAGTTGATTTCCCTCTCGTGGGATTTAGGATATATCTTCTTGTGAGAAATTCTCACAATTCCTGAGTTATCTTCACAACTTCTGAGTTTTTTTTTTTTTTTTTTCACAATTCCTGAGTTATTTTCACATGAGTTTTCTTCACATCTCCTGAGTTCTCTTCAAACCCTTTCCCCCCACAGGGCGTACCACTTCTACCGCAAGGACAAGGAGATCCGAGACGTCAAGAAGCACCCCGAGCTGGAGAAGATTCTCACCGAGAAGTTCTCCGAGGATGCGCAAGATCATAGCCTGAAGTTTTTTTCACGTCGCTCCCTTCCCCCCTTACAGGGCGTACCACTTTTACCGCAAGGACAAGGACACAAGGGACGTGAAGAAGCACCCCGAGCTGGAGAAGATTCTCACTGAGAAGTTCCGATCCATGGCTGGCCCTCCCTCCCCCTTTCCCTTTCCCTTTCCCTTTCTCCCTTCACCACAGGGCGTACCATTTCTACCGCAAGGACAAGGACACACGGGAGGTCAAGAAGCACCCCGAGCTGGAGAAGATTCTCACTGAGAAGTTCCGAACCATGGCTGACTTCAGGGTCGCCAAGGACGCGCAGAGGCATATCTGACCCTTCCTTTTCCCTTTCTTCCTGCATGTCTGTTCCCCACAGGGCGTATCATTTCTATCGCAAGGACAAGGACACACGGGAGGTCAAGAAGCACCCCGAGCTGGAGAAGATTCTCACTGAGAAGTTCCGAACCATGGCTGACTTCAGGGCTGCTAAGGACGCACAGAAACATAGCCTGAGCCTCCCTTTCCCCTTTCTCACTGCACTTCCTGTTCCCTTTCTCTCTCTCACACATGTATCCCTTCTTCCCCTCCCCCTCTCCCCCTCCTCCCCCCCCACACCACAGGGCGTACCATTTCTATCGCAAGGACAAGGACACTCGAGACGTGAAGAAGCACCCCGAGCTGGAGAAGATTCTCACTGAGAAGTTCCGAACCATGGCTGACTTCAGGGCCGCTAAGGATGCGCAGAAACGTGCCCTGGCTGAAGCACAGGCCAAGGCAAAGGCAGGCGGGGAGAAGGTGGGAGGGGAGAAGGGGGGAGGGGAGACCGGGGGAGGGGAGAAGGGGAAGGAGGAGAAGGTGGAGGAAGGGAAGGAGGGGAAGAAGGGAGAGGGGGAAGGTCCTGCTGTTCCAGAGGCAGGGGGTGGGGCTGTGGGGGGAGAAGCAAAGGGGGAGGATGGAGGGAAGGAGGCAGCTGTAGCGGATAAGGCAGAGGACAGCGGAGCAGCAGCACCAGCTGCAGCAGCAGAGACAACATCGTAGAGACAGGGCTGATAGCTAGCTTCCTTGTTATGTACTTTGTGCTTGCAGCCACTGCACCTGGTAACTGTAACGCAATGGTTACAGTTACAACCGCAACAGCAGCAGACACTGCAATGCTCACAGTGAACCTCCACCAAGCCAAGCCTCCATCCCACTTCTTATTTACAAATCTTGATCTTCCGAACCTGCCCCACTGCCTTTGCCGAACCGGCCTTGCTTCTTTTCTGACAAGCCTGCCACCCTTGATCGGTCTGTCGTCCGTGGGTGGCTATGCACTTCTCCGTGCGCCTTGGCTTCTTTTTTTTTATACCCCTTCCCTTCATCCTAGACTTGTGGATCTTTTTGCTTTCATTCATTGTCTTGGTTGCTTGTCTTGGTGTGTTTCTTTTATGCTTCTTGTATATTGACCCCCTCTGGCTCAAAACTGTAGTTCCAATCTAATAGGTATCTTTATGATCGTTTGAGACACGCTTCTAGGCAGGAGAGTTTCTATTTTCGAAGTGCAGCACCTTTGGACCTGGGGCTTACCGAAACCTCAACTGCGGACAAAGCAGGGGCAAGCATGCAGTACTCGTGTACAGTAATCTCATAACATGAAAGCTACAAGCGTGGATGTACAGCTTTGGTTCAAGTACAATTGATACTCACCCCATGCACGCGAATTTGCCTTGCGCCGGATGGATACGCTGCACCCGAGGTTGTTTCCCCAGCCTTATGCACCTACATTACAAGCGCGTCAAGCAGAAGAGACCGAAGTCAAGCAGAAGAGACTGAAGTCAAACTAGGTAACTAGGTAGCAGAGTCTTGTTTATAAGCACATGCGAGTTATTTTTAGCTAGCTGCGAATTGACGAAACTTATGCGAACTGCTCGTGACAGCTTATACGCCCCCTTCATAAGGCAACCGGGAGGGGCTCAAACAGGCATCAATTGTAGAGAACTTGCCGAAGCCGCACGGCGTTCGTTTCCAGCCGCGGTACCTTCTGCCCACAAATCCCCTGCCCTGAGAAGGGGTCTTCCATTGCCGTCTCTCCCTGGCCTTTTGACCAGATTGTACAGTACAGTATTTCCCTAAGAGCGTGTTACACATGCCCTAATCTCAAGAATCACGTAGCTAGGATCATCAACACACCAACCGTAGGATTACGAGTAGTAAAACAACATTGTTTTGGGGCACATCACGATCCTTGTTGGTGTACCATCTGCAAATTTGCAATGGTGATCCTCTGCGACCAGGCGACGTCGCCTGAAACGACGCGACAGTCGCGATCGTCGGATATTTTTGTTGACCACGTTGACTGCGTTACTGATCCGAAATCAACAGCCTTATTGGTTCGAACTTCATCAAAAGAATGCTCTGATTAGTCGCGATGCTGTTACAGCAGTTTGCGACAACAAAATTTCCGTCTTCAAGGATCACCCTCCCTTTGGTACAAAGATGCAAGGATCACCGAGAGATTGGCAGTCACCACGATCTCCCAGAAAACACCAAGATCGTGTTGTCACAATCTTTCGTGTTTTCGATCCTTCCTCTGTTGGTACATCACCTGACACAGTGATTACTGTAGGGGGTTTGTATGACACTGTTCTGTAAGGATCGCCTACGTGATCCTCCAAATGCGCAATCTTTGCTTCGGTGTAACATGCTCTAATGCAGGCGTGTCGCGTGCGGTCTGGTTTGGGTGAGAAGCATTCTGGTTCGGTAAGATTCGTCGCTCAACGGCCACAGGCGTGGCGAGATCATGTGGTCCAGGCGTGCCCTTGACATGTGCCGAGCCTGCATCATCAGGCTTGACAAACAAGGAAACTTTACTCAACTTGGGGAGGGCGTGTCGATGGAGCCAGGTTTGAATCTCTGGTTGGAGGTTTGAACACGACGTGCAAACCTCGAGTTCCAGGCAGCTCAACCGTGACCAACCACTCCGTGTCACACACCTCAGCAGAAGGCTTCTGGAACACCCACATCATCTCCGCTTTCACCCAATCCGAGAGGGGCAGGGCTGCCCATGTACTCTCCCCTTATCGAACTTTCAATCTAGGCTCTGTTCCCCCACGAAAGGTCACATCAGCATTTTTTTAACCCAGTTGTGCTGCCCTATTTTAAAAAGTGAGCGAGATACCGGAAAAGTGATTTGTTCACCAATCACGAAACCTAATCGCCTACGATTTCATACACTTCGGTGCCTCTTCTGGATTTTTTATTTAGCCATCACCTATAAACTCCGCCACGTTCATCAGGTGCAGCAGTGTTCGAAAGTTTTGCGGAACATGCCATTTTCCACCGCACGCGCTCATGACTTACCTCCACTGTGCTGCTGCCAGCGAAGCACCATCTCCCACCAACAGTTACCCTCACACAAGCACGCGACGAGGAGAGGAGAGGTTTTTCATGGCGGACGCAGCAGCACCATTCAATTCAAGCTTGCGCTTCTCTGGCATGACTCTTTGGCATCTCTTCTTCGGTCTACAACTTCCTCCTCACCTCACGTCACCTCCTCATCCTCTCTTCCTCCCGCGCTGCGTACCTTAGCAGCACCTGCATTGATTATGCTCACCTGTGATCAACAAGTTGTCATCATCCCCTATCCACCATCCTCTATCGCAGCTCACTTTACATCATACTTTGAAGTCAGATAAATGTAGAGTAATGGCGAGACGCTCGCCTTTCCACCTTCACAAGTGCTCCTGACCTAGCTCCTGGTACCGTCTCTGTTTTGCTACGCTCATCGTCTCGTTTCTCCTACACAAACCATCCTCTCAGCGTTCTCACCTATGTGGTCACTGCTTTGATTACGAACTCTTTGAACGATCATGGCGTCCTTTCGACGACGAATTCGACGTCAATCGTCGCCATTCCTCGCCATGTTGTCGGAAATCGCTTTCACGTCGTAATTAGGTCTGAGCAGTTTGTGAAAGGACAAGGCAGCATAATTACCAGTCGTGAAGACAAGGACTAATAAGTCACATTTGCACGTTTTCTTCGAGACTATTAGAATGCGAGTTCTAGGTTTTTTGTCGTTGAGTTAGCAGCACCAGTTTAGCGTTTCCGACCTGGATCTCAGGATCGCCCTTCGGGCTTTTTAGGGTTACCACAAAGTCACCGTGGTCGTAAGACCCAGGCGCCTGAGTGGATCAATATTTCAATCAAGCTGAAACTTTAATCACACTACAGGTATTGTTTTCCCCCGAGTTTCCAGTTACATTAAGTGTGTTATTTGTTTGGTTGCTGACCGTGCTTTCACGTCGTTAAGGTCGTTTTTAGGTTCCCCGTCGTCTTTCTTGTCGCTTTCCATCTCCAGGCGTTATTATGGTTTCCCCGGTCTCATCGTTAGGTCGTCCTTCCGCCACCACTCAACCCCCCGTTTAAAGGCACTGAGATTGCCAAATGTGTAGCATTAAACTCTCCTATTCCCCCATAAACTAATTATTTTCGCAGCGACAACGCCAATGACCGGCGGCGTGTACGGCTCCGCAAGAGGAACCCGCAATCCACGGCGGCCCAGAAACGGCGAGGAGGAGAACAGCAAAGGCAGCCATGGCAGCCAGCACTCATCCGGCGCCGGTAGCGGGGGTCGCGGTAGCGGCGGTCCCGGCAATGAGGGATCGCCGAGTGGAGGAGACGCTTCCGGGTCAACAGCGTGGGCGATAGATTTCTCAGAGGTATACGTCGGTCAGTTTAAACAGTCGCGGGAATCGCAGAAATCGCAGGCGCGAGTCGCGTGGCTGCGGGAGTCGCACGAGTCGCGTGCTCGCAAAGGCGACGTGTTCGCGACATGATCCTTGAGTTGGTGCACCTGGGCACGTGCCAAGGCACCCGCGTGACATTCAGATCCGACTCTCCCAATAGATTTTGACGGGCCTCCTAATTCTCCCTCGATTCCCACCTCTCTCCCCGAATGCCACTCACCCTCCCACGCACCCCACACCCACCCACCGACCCACGCACGCACTTACCGTGCCCCTCATTTTCAGGTCGAATTGGGTGAGCTGATTGCGACAGGGTCGTTCGGCGTGGTGCATTCGGGCACGTATCGGGGCACGCGGAAGCTCCTGCTCTTCCAGTGCGTTTAAACCTTACTCCCCCCTTGCTCTTCTCTAACCCTTCCCCTCATCGCGTCAGGTCGAATTGGGCGAGCTGATCGCAACAGGGTCGTTCGGCGTGGTGCATTCGGGCACGTATCGGGGCACGCGCGTCGCGATTAAGTTTCTGCTCTTCCCTGAAGCTTCTAGCGAGGATGAGTTGAACCGCGCGAAGCGGGGGTTCCGGCAAGAGGTGTCCGTGTGGCATAAACTCAACCACCCCAACGTCGTCCAGGTAAGACCCCAGCGTCCCCCAAATACAAATTGATTTTTTTCAAGGTTTTAGGAGCGTGAGTATGGAGGGTTCAGAGCGTGCGCTACGGTACGAGTCGACTCGAAAGCCACCAGGCGCGTAGGTAGGGTTTCCAGACCAAAAAAGAGGTGTCCGTCTGGCGTAAATGAAACCACCCAAACGTCATCCAGGTACGGATTTGTCAGCTCCGAACCTGTCAGGGACGTCGAAAGGGACCGCGAGTTCACTGATTGGTTGGGTACCTGTGAGGGCATTCGGTTCGGTTCGGACACTTTCCGTTTCCAGCTGTCGCTTCCCCTTCGCTTCGCTCACAGGCGCAGCGCAGCTTCCTCGCAACGTAATCGCGCTCGCAGTGCAATTGAAAACACGCTGAAAATGCGATCAAGTGCTCAATTTGTACACAAAAGAAAGGAGAAATAACTGCGGTTGTAAAACGTACAAAACGCAAGTGAAAATTATTGTCACTAAGGCCAGGCTGGCACGGGACAGTCAACGTTGATTGGCCCTGAAGCGTCAACAGCTGCTTTTTGCCTTGTCCCACCTCCTTCACACGTCAATCCGCTGTTACATCACCCGCCCGTCTTTCTTACCCTCCCACTCCCTCCCTCTCATCCCTCTACTCCCTCCCCTCCTCCCCTCCCATCCCTCATCAACCCACCCAAGGGATTTCTATCCTGCCCTTTCTCATTGTCGCCTCACCTACCAGCACCCCTCCGTCTTCACTCTCCCCCCTTTTCTCACCTGCCCCCTCAACGCCCACTCAAACCCCCTCTTTCCTTCCCCCACCTTCCCCGCCCACCCCCTTCAGTTCCTAGGGGCGTACATATACCGGCCCAAGTGGGCCATTGTAACAGAGTTCTTAGACGGCGGCACAGTCAAGGGCTTCCTGTCGCGCCCGTACCCTTCACATCCCCTCCTCCCTCCTTCTTGCCTCTCGCCCCCCTCAACCCCCTCGTCTCTCCCCTCGACGGCAGTTCCTAGGCGCGTATATCAATCCGCCCAAGTGGGCAATAGTAACGGAATTTCTCAACGGAGGCACAGTCAAGGGCTTCCTGTCGCGCATTATCTCCTTCCCCTCTCCACCCCTCCCTCTCCCTCTCCCTACCAGTTCCTAGGGGCGTACATCAACCCCCCCAAGTGGGCCATAGTGACAGAATTTCTCGACGGCGGCACAGTCAAGGGCTTCCTGTCCCGCCTGGGCAAGCGCCGCCTGTCACTCAAGCAGATCGCAGCTATGGCTCTGGACGTGGCGCGGGGTATGCAGTACCTGCACTCCAACAACATCATTCACAGGTGTGCGGCGTTACCGTCATCCATAGGTGCGTGGGGAGGGTACAAAATGGGCGGGGGGAGGGTACAAAATGGGCGGGGGGAGGGTACAAAATGGGCAGGGGGAGGGTACAAAATGGGCAGGGGGAGGGTACAAAATGTGCGGGGGGAGGGTGGGAGGGCAAGCACCGCCTGTCACTGAAGCAGATCGCGGCCATGGCCCTGGACGTGGCGCGAGGCATGCAGTACCTGCACTCCAACAACATCATTCATAGGTGCGTTGCACGGGTGGTGCGGGATGAAAAAGGGAGGGAGAAGGTGGGAGGGCAAGCGCCGCCTGTCGCTGAAGCAGATCGCAGCCATGGCTCTGGACGTGGCACGGGGCATGCAGTTTCTACACTCCAACAACATCATCCACAGGTGTGTTGAGGGTCGGGGGAGGGGGACAAAAGGTGGGGGCGAGGGGGGCTGGACAAGCGCCGCCTGTCGCTCAAGCAGATGAGATAGCGGCCATGGCTCTGGGCATGGCTACGACATGCAGTACCTGCACTCCAACAACATCGATCACAGGTGCGTTGGGGGAAGGAGGGGAAAAAGGGGGAAAGGGAGGTTTGGGAAGGTCGGTGTGTCGACTCAAAGCTCCCTCAAGCAGATAGCAGCCATGGCTCTCGACGTGGCACGAGGCATGCAGTACCTACACTCCAACAACATCATCCACAGGTGCGTGAATTAGTGTACTTTTTATTCAACAGGTGCGTGTCTGTACCATCATAATGCACTCGGCCGAAATGGAGGGGGTGACCCAACAGGGGACTCAGAAAATGTTTGGACGTGGCGCGAGGCATGCAGAACCTGTACCCCAACAATATCATCCACAGGATGGGTGTGTGACGGAACAACACCAACATCATCATACATAGGTGGGTGGCTCTCACTCAGCAGAAGCCGTTGGACGTGTCTTTGAGACGTCTCAAAACAAGGCATGGAATATTGGACCCAAATAACTGAATCCGGCAGGATTAACAATAGCGTGCAGAGCTGGTGAAGGTAGCGGATTCTGGTAGTTAATTGACCACCCTCCCCTCCCCATCCTCTCATCTGCCATCCCTTCCCCCATACCCTCCCACAGGGATCTCAAGTCGGCGAATCTGCTGCTGAACTCGACTGGGGTTGTGAAGGTGGCGGATTTCAGTAGTTACGGCACCATGCCGAACCGCATCCAACCTGTACTCACCTGCCTCGCTCCACTCTCCCCTCATCCAACCACAGGGATCTCAAGTCGGCGAATCTGCTGCTGAACTCGACTGGGGTTGTGAAGGTGGCGGATTTTGGGCTGGCGAGGACAGAGGCACAGGAGCCGGGCAACATGACTGCCGAGACGGGCACGATTAGATGGATGGCGCCTGAGGTGCGTGGGTTGGTGTGTGTGGGTAAGAAGTGCCGGGTGTGCCAGCATCTGCTTAAACGAGGGCAGAGGCACAGGAGCCGGGCAACATGACTGCCGAGACGGGCACCATCAGATGGATGGCGCCTGAGGTGAGGCAGTGGTGGGGTGAAAAGGAGTTATGGGCTGAGGGAGTGAGCTGGGGCTCGTCTGGATGTTGCCTGGTGTGCCTGTATCTGCACTGGAGGGGCACAGAGGCACAGGAGTCGGGCAACATGACGGCTGAGACGGGCACCATTAGATGGATGGCGCCCAAGGTGAGGGAGGAAAATGATGTGTGTGGAGGGGGTGGGTGGGTGGGTGGGTGTGCCTTGCAAGTACGCAGTCCTCTGCTCTGTTTCAGTCAGCTCGGCTTCCCTGTGTCACCGTCTCCTTGTGGGCACAGAGGCACAGGAGCCGGGCAACATGACGGCTGAGACGGGCACCATTAGATGGATGGCGCCCAAGGTGCGTTTGGTTGTGGTGTGAGCAGTGAGTTTAAGGGATAAGAGCTGTGAGGGAGAGGGAGAGGGGGGCGCACCTCACTGCTGGGCTGGCGAGGACAGAGGCACAGGAGCCGGGCAACATGACTGCCGAGACAGGCACCATCAGATGAATGGCACCTGAGGTGCGCAGTGGGTGGGGACACACACCACACAACCCCCCCTCCCCTGCCACGAGTGGAACTAATCATCTTCTCCGATTCAATCCCCGTGCTACCTGAACTTCCTCCCTGCACCAGACCACAAGCCGTACACCAGGAAGGTCGACGCGTACAGCTACGGCATCGTGCTGTGGGAGAAAAGTGTGAGATCAACACACCTGGTCTCTGATTCCCTCTTCTCCCGTCTCCCCGCCTCCCTGCACCAGATGATCGACCACAAGCCGTACACCAGGAAGGTCGGCGTGTACAGCTACGGCATCGTGCTGTGGGAGATGAGACGAGTGCGCTGATTAGAGTGACACCTTGAATCCGCTACCCCCTTTGCACCCCCTCTCTCCTCCCTGCACCAGATGATCGACCACAAGCCGTACACGAGCAAAGTGGATGTCTACAGCTACGGCATCGTGCTGTGGGAGAGGAGATGAGATGAGAAGGCCCTTGACGTGCAGTAGAGACTCGCTCTGATCTCCCCTTTCCCTGTCTCCCCTTTTCCCTAATCAGATGATCGACCACAAGCCATACACACGCAAGGTGGACGTGTACAGCTACGGCATCGTGTTGTGAGAGATCTGCCCTCTTAAGTCCCCTTACCTTTTCCTGCAACCCGTTCACCTCCAGATGATCGACCACAAGCCGTACACGCGAAAGGTGGACGTCTACAGCTACGGCATCGTGCTGTGGGAGATCTGCACGGCTCAGTGGCCCTTCGAGGGGCTCTCCTTTGTGCAACTCGCGCACGCCATTGTTGCTGATGTAAGTACTTTCCACATCAGATTGGCCCTTTGAGTGATTCTTGAGAATTCTCCTTTGTGCAGCTGGCGCCCGCCATCGTTGCAGACGATGGCATGTTCAGTTAAGCTTTTGAGTCGACTCAAAAGCAGACGATGGCATGTTTGGTTGACATGTTCCTGCTTGTGCTTTCATAGCTTCTTGAAGGGCTTCTTCACTCAACTCACGAAGCTCATCACGTGCTGCTGGGACAGGGATCATGACTACTAGCGGCACTGAGACTCGTGCCTTTTGCGTTTCCCCTCTCCTTCCCTCTCCTCCTCTCTTCTTTTTCTCCCTCACCTACTTTTCTCCCCTCACCTCTCCCCAACTACAAAACCTCCGGCCCCCCACCAAGGACTGCCCGAGCCAGATCACGCGCTGCTGGGACAGGGACCCTAACAAGCTGAAGCTCCCCAACCCTCCCCTCCTCTTTATTTTCCTCCATCCCACAATTCTCCTCCCCCCTCCTGCAACAGAACCTCCGTCCCCCCACCAAGGACTGCCCCAGTCAGATCACGAAGCTCATCACGCGCTGCTGGGACAGGGACCCTGACAAGCGGCCTGACTTCGACGAGATTGTGGCTTACCTGGAGAGAATCGGCGACGGGAGGAGCCGCAACAAGTGAGTTGAGGGGGGTGTGGTGGTGGGAGAACTTGCTGCTGTGACAAGCAGCCTGACTTTGACGAGATTGTGGCTTACCTGGAAAGAATCGGAGATGGGCGGAGCCGCAACAAGTGAGTTTGAGGAAAGAGAGGAGCGGAGATTTAGGGGGTTTGGGCTGGTGAGTGTTGCCAGTGCTGCTGGGACAGGCACCCCGGGAGCAGGCCTGACTTTGACGAGATTGTGGCTTACCTGGAGAGAATCGGGGATGGGAGGAGCTCCAACAAGTGAGTTGGAAAGCAAGGGTGCGGGGGAAGTGGGGGGGGTTGGGTTAGGAGGAAACGGACAGGAGTGGGGGGCAGGGGAAGCCGTTTGAGTGTTTGGGGAGAAGGATGGGCAGAATGGCACGGGGCAGACGGGTGGGGGATTTTGTCACACGCTGCTGGGACAGCGAAGGCAACACGAGAAGCGGCCTTATTTTGACGAAATTGTGGCTTACCTGGAGAGAATTGGCGATGGGCGGAGCCGCAACAAGTGAGTTGGTCAGGGGGATGGGGTTGGGAGGGGGGAAGGGAAGGGAAGAGTGAGTGTGTGGGGAGGAGGATGGGAAAAACGACATGGGGTGAAAGTGGGGATGGCTATGGCACACTGTGCTGGGTCAGGGACCCTGACAAGCAGCCTGACTTTGACGAGATTGTGGCTTATTTGGAGAGAATCGGCGATGGGAGGAGCCGCAACAAGTGAGTTGGAAAAGGGGGAGAAGGGTGGGTTGGTGAGTGTTGGGGGAAAGGTTGATGGGGAAAAAGGGACTGTTCAGGAAGATGGGGGGGGAGTGTGGTTGGGGTGGGAACGGGGGGATAACATAATTGCACCTGTTCCCAGACTTTTCGAGGCACCTGCAACATACCCCACCACCCCCACACCCCAACACCCCTCCCTTTCTTCCTCCCGCTTCTCTGTTCCACGGTTCACGGTATGGTCGTGCCTGTTCCAGGAGCGTTGGAGTCATTTGTTTCAAATTCTACTAGATTTACTCCAGCATAGACGATATGACCGTGCCTGTTCCGGGAGCGTTGGAGTCCTTTGTTTCAAATTCTACTAGATTTACTCCAGCATAGACGATATGATTGTGCCTGTTCCGGGAGCACACGTCTGGAGCAAACCTCCTTCCTAGGCACTTTTCCCCACTAGCAATCCCCCAAATCCACCCCGTCCTCCCCCCCACCCCACCCACTTCCTCTCCTATTCAAATCCAGGGTTGATGACTCCATCGTGCCTGTTCCTGGACTGGACTCCAGCAGCAAGCCTCCTCTTGGTCCGGGAGGGAAGCCGACGCATGGCGTGCCGCCACCTGGCACTGCAACAGGGGGGGGCGGAGGGGGGAACGACGGGTCTCAGGACGGGATAGCGTCGCGGCATGGGCCGAGAGAAGAACCTCAGATGGACAGCGGGTGGAAGAAAATTCAGGTGGAGCCGAAGAAAGAGGCGGGCGGGTGTGGGTGTGCCATTTTGTAGCGGAGTAGAAGAAGCTTTGGTGTGGCAGTGGCTGTGGCTGTGGGTGGTGGTCATGGTTGCATGGGTCAAGGGGAGAGCCTCAAATGGACAGCGGGTGGAAGACAATTCAGGTGGAGCCGAAGAAAGAGGCGAGCGGGTGTGGGTGCGTCATCTTGTAGCTGTGGCTGTGGCTGTGGCTGGTTGCAGTTGGTGTGACTGGTTGCATTTGCTCGGACCCGGGGGGGGGGGGGGGGGGGGGGAACGATGGCTCTCAGGACGGGGTAGCGTCATGGCATGGTCCGAGAGAAGAGCCTCAAATGGACAGTGGATGGAAGAAGATTCAGGTGGAACCAAGAAAATTCAGCGGGTGCAAGAAGATTCAAGAGGCGAGCGGGTGTGGGTGTGCCATCTTGTAGTGGGTTGTGGATTGTATTAGTTAGAAGTGACCTGCTGCAGTGCGGCATGGGCTGAGGGAGGAGGCTCAGATGGACAGCGGGTGGAAGAAAAGTCAGGTGGAGCCGGAGGCGAGCGGGTGTGGGTGTGCCATCTTGTAGCGGAATGGAAGTGGCTAATGGTGGGCTTGTGCTGACTGACTTGTGATGCAAAGATTTGCATCTGTTGTACGGGCCGAGGGAGGAGGAGCCTCGGATGGGCAGCGGGTGGAAGCGGAGACAGGCAAAGCTGAAGGTCTCGAAGAGACGCTGCGCGCGTGGGTTGCCTGCAAGAGATCAGCTACGATGCAAAGTTTTATTACTTCATCTTAGGAAGAGGCAGATTTTACGGGTGTGATAGGGCAGTGAGGTGAAATCACCCAACGTGTTGGCTAACTCGAGCCAACCCTACAGCTGATCTAGTGCTGTGGGGGGTGAATCTGGGTGGAGCTGGAGATGAAACTGGGTGAAGCTGGAGATGAAACTGGGTGGAGCTGGAGATGAAACTGGGTGAAGCTGGAGATGAAACTGGGTGAAGCTGGAGACCGATAGTATAAGCCGGGGAAGCTGGATGAAGCTGTGGTGGAAATCTGGAAGCTGAAAGCAGGAAAGTGAGAGTTCCATCAAACTCGGAAGCTGGATGAACAGGAGTCCTGCCAACTCCGCAACTCGCGCAGACCGTTGGAGGACATCACTAGTGAATGGCTGTTGGCTTGAAAGATTTGGCCTCTATTCGCGACAATGGTACTACCAGTTCGGAAGTTGCGTGGACGATGCTGAGCGAGAAGCGATCTCTACTGGAATAGACGATATGGGTGAAGGGAATGGGGTACATTAATCTTGGGAAAGCCTGGGTTGTTGCTAAATGAAAGGCATATCCAAAATGCATGACCATGTGGAGTGTGCTGTGCTATTGCAGCTGTGAGGAGGAATTTGGTCCATGTGGCCTTCTGGTGTACTGAGGCTGAAGTGCCTTGTTACAAGCTTAGACATCCAGGCCGCAGCAGTTTGATTTGATGTCTTGTTATAATTACCCTGTTTAATTGATTCCGTTTGTAGTTTAGATTTGTGATATAGGTGTCTCAGATGAAACCAAAACAGACCGTGTAGGAGTGGTATGGAAAGAATATGGAGGACACAGGCCATAAGTTCAGCAGGAAACACAATGTTGGATTTTCCTGGAGTGCAGGTGCAGTGTATCTGACTGGCAGGAGCAGGACACACCAATGGAAGGAGAGCGGCAGGTAGAGGCGCATGTTCCTGTGCTTGTGTGATGGCTGTTGGATGCCATGGCTGGTTCCGTAGTCGCATGTGTGGTGGCTGGTCGGGTGGTGACTGACTGATGCATGTAACCTGTTATGCATGGTGATGATGGTCACATGCTGCGTCTTGTTTAACAGCTGCAGGTGGTGACTGCATGCACCTCTTGATCCTGGTGTGGCTGGTGCAATTCTGCATGCCTGCATGGCACCAAGAGCAATGCAAGCAAGTGTATTTCCAACCCCCTGTTTCCCATCCATCCATCCATTGGGCTTCCAACATACCGTACTTCCAGCCAGAGCCATTACCATGGACATCACACCCACACGCAACAACCAAACAGCACAGAAGCCATGCATGCTGACTGTCGAAGAAGCAAGAAAGCAACATACACGGTATGCTCTGACAAATAGTGCCAGAAAATAAGATCAACACAAAAAAGAATCCGGAGACTACGGTATGTTAGCCAACAAATTGTTTACAAGAAAGAAGCCCTAACACTATGCAACAAGATCCTTAAGCTAAAAGAAGGCAACACAAAATTTCCAATGCAAATGATTAGAGGACGGTTGCTTCCCACATGTTTCCAACTACCTATAGCCTAGAAGTGTACAACAGGCCAGGCCACAACAATGCTTTCCCACAAATCAACCTAGCAACTCCATACTGAGAGTTCACTTTCCACACCAGCTTGGCCTAAAATATAGACCAACCATTAATTAGCATTCTGGCCAGCAATTTAAAACCCTATTGTTGCCGCCTGCTAATGTACTCCGTTGTAAAACCTAGTTGCAAAACACGATTTTCGTTCAGCGGGCTTGTTGGTTTCTAAGCCTGCTCGAGTACATTCCCTGTCCTCTTACGTTGTTACAATACGATGTCCTGGTTCTCCTCCAGCTTGAATTTTACCATCTATTCTGAATTCTTGCAGAAGCTTTCTTGAGTGACGTCATTCATGGATTGCACGAAACTGCTGATTCATCCAGCACATTATTCGTCTGTTATTGTTCTGGATTGGATATTGTACGCCCTTGATCCGTCACTGCAAGTCACAAATTTGATGTGTTAAACGCATCGCCCAGTAATGTTAGCAGGCCCTTTGTGAGAAATGCTTTCTTCAAATGCATGTGAGAACTTGCAAAAATTACCTTCTTGCGTCACGTTGCCAGAATTGTGTATTCCCAAAACAAAGACACATGGCATCTCACTGATGGTTGTGAAATTAAAACAGTTTATCCGAAAACTTACCAGAAAAGATCTCACCTTTTTTAATCCCCTGGCGGAGCAGATCGAAGCTCATCAGGGTTATGAGCGAAGTGGCAGCGAGATCCGAAGGTGCAGGTCCCACTCTCGAGCTTCTCGCACATCCTTGTCTTGTAATTGTGTGGACCGAGGCTGGACGGTCCCCTCCCTCCACCACCCCCCCGCGGGGGGCCGGAGCCAAATCCACCCCCCCCTCCTCCCGGGCCTTGATTAGCTCTTTCTGCCAAATGCTGTCGAACCATTCTTGTCGCGTACTCAATCTGCTCTAGCGATCCTTCCATTTCGACATTCCTGAGATTGGTATCCGATTCATGATCCCGAACAGCTACCCTCGCTCCTGACTGCCTCTGGATCTGCTTGATCACAGAACCCGCTTTTCCTATAATAGCACCGACGAGAGATGCGTCGATAGGAATCTTCGCACTTGTTGTAGATCCGAAATCAGAGGCGGGTCCCAACGGACCTCCTCCGCCTCTCCCAGGAGATACAGGTTCCATGGGTAAACCACCCCCTCCTTTATATCCACCAGGTCCTTCCCATTGGCCACCACCGAATCTGGAATCCGATCCATATCCGTCGCCAGGCATAAAATCTCTCCCTCCTGGACCACCCATACCCGAGCCAGGAGGTCGGGATCTGGCCAACGCATCAGGCTCTACATGCGAGAAATGGCAACGGTCACCGAAACGGCATCCTCCTGGTGCCGTAAAACGTCTGCAGATCTTGGAAGCGTCTCCGTCTTGTCCTCCTCCGAACCTGCCTGAACCTGGTCCTCTTCCCATGGGACTTCCGGCAGGCGGCCAAGGGCCTCCGGATCCGGGCATTCCAGGAGGCATGGGTCTTGGTGAAATTCCGAGAGCTGATATACCGCCAGGGACGTAATGCTGGAAATGACATTCTTCGCCATAGGGACAGCCTGAAGTGCTGTGACAATGAAGCAGGAAAACAATGTTAGTTAGGTTATATAAGGAGGACACTAAGCCCGCGATTTTGTTTAAATACTGTGGTCAACTAGAAAGCACCTGAAGAATTTTGTGCAAGGCTTCGCCTTCGAATCGGGGAACAAATCCCGTGAATCTGTTACGATTTATTGTAGCCATGCGAGCGGAAGAGCACGATTTAGAAACCTAGTAGGTTAAGAACATCAATTTCAAGCAGGAAAAAAAAAGTAGATTAAACTCATACCCTCAGCTCCATGGCGATAACGGCATCTGTCGCCGAAAGGGCAACCTTCAGGCGTCAAATATCGGCGACACTCAAAATCATCAGCGGACGCTGGCGGTTGTGGGTCACCTGATTTGAACCGTTTGGCTGGTTCCGACTCCATAAATCACAAAAACAGGAACTGTCTCTGGTAAAACAGGTAATGCGTAGGAAGGGAGAAAGAATAAGCACTACTGCGTATGTGAAGGGAGAGTAAAGATTATTACGAGCATGGCTCACTGAAGCTTCAGGAGCTAAGTACCCTGAACCTTGTTTGTGGAACCCTGCCAAAGCTGTTGGTTCGACCCAGACGTTTCGCGAAGACGAAATGCTGATTTGTTTCGTCAGCCTGTTTTCGGTAGAGGAGGTGTTTGTGCTGGTGCGAGTCCTATCTTTCGCGAAGGGACCCCCTCCCCGAACGGTCATTGCTGGTTACGGTGATGACGAGTGGATGTGATCGCCAATTTATTCGTAACCAATGCATTAGCTTCGTTGCGGGGTACTTCCCGCGCCCACATCCCAGATTCTCAGGTTTGTTTCCACAGTAGAACCCTTACCAGGGCAGTAGAAGAAACCCAAGTTCTCAAATCAGTTACTCGAGGGCCTAGTTGTCGGCCGAATCCATGAAGTTTAATTTACCCAAAAGCTCAGGGGTCATTGGGAGAGTTTCCGGCGTCGTGATTGGAGAAGCTCTAGCTGAATTGGCGTTTCTGACTCTTCTTCCCGGATGGCAGAGAAGCGACGACTAGGAACTACCTTCCTTGACCAAGAAGCCCAGACAGGGCAGTCAATTGAAGCGGACGTTCTGGTCCCTGCAGCAAGCACCGAGTTTTCACACCGTCGACAACCGTACGAGTTAGAGCCTTCGCAGCCTACATTTGATCAAGACAGAATAACGACGGGGAACGAGCGTGAACCGTTCGTAGATAGACGACATCATCCACATCAGCAGCATCAGCAGCAGCAAGACCAATCGCAGCCGATTAGATCGCACGGTCACGAAAAGCTCATCAGTCGTCAAGGTCCGGGTAGAGTCAGGCGAGGAAGCCGGCACAGCAGACAGCGAGTAGGGTCTTCAGATCAGATGGAGTCTCCGCATCAATCTCCTAATTCAAGAGCTTTTATCCCAAAACTTCGTCTACTTATCGCCACGACATCGCCATTCTCCAAATGCGTGTTCGTGTTCGGTGCGATTTTCTACTGTTTCGCGGCCGTGGGGTTCTGGCAGCTGTTCACCGCTTATTGGTTCTCGTACACCTTCTTCGAAGACGCGGACAGCATGCTGATTCAGCGAGCCATGGAGACCGAGCGGCAATTCATACCGCCAGTCAATCAACTGGTTCCTATCACCGAGTTACCAGCATCTTTACGCCTTCGCCACCATCAGATAGAGGGTCTGGAGGGTGGAGAGGAGGAGGAGGATTACGAGGAGCATTCACATCTCAGCCAGCTGTCAATTCAAGCTTTGGAGAGAAACGGAGACGCCAATAATAAGACATTTGCAGCTGTGGTTGAGAAGACGAAGCATCCCCCTACATTTACACCGTCAATGCTCCTGCCTAACGGGACGTTACCTAAAATCGCCTTCTTGTTTCTCACTCGAGGGCCTCTACCCTTCCAACCTCTCTGGGAGGAGTTTTTCCGTGGGAACATGGACCGTGCCACAATCTATGTCCATGCGGCAACAGAGGGCTGGGACGTGAATGCACATGTTGGAAAAGGCAGTGTATTCTGGGGGACTCAGATTCCAGGATTGAGGATTGTAAGGGGGATGCCATCAATGATTCAAGCTACCAGGCGTCTTCTTGCAGCAGGACTTGAGAATCCAGCCAATCAGCGGTTCGTGCTGCTGTCAGAGGCCTGCATTTCCATTCGGAGTTTTGATTTCATTTACGAGTACCTCTTTACAGGGGATAGAAGCTTCCTGGCTGTCCTTCCAGCGCTTCGCTGGTGGAGGTTTCCACGATATTTCTGGATATTCATGCCGCGGCAGATTATCCATCCATGGCAGATCAGGAAGGGTTCTCAGTGGTTTGTGCTGACCCGGCCGCATGCTGCTTTGGTGGTGGAAGATATGAAGTACTACGTGACCTTCGGCAGGGGCAGAGGGGAATATCCTGATGAGGGTTACATTCAGACAGTGGTCTGGGGATACGATCGGAGAGGTATAGAGCCTCACTCTGTCATGCATGTGGATTGGCCACATTACAAGGCTGAGCATCCGTTGATGTACAATGGGAGCAGTGTGACGGCAGCTTTGATACAGAGGATGCAGAGGCGTCATTTTGCAGTTTCAGAGAACGTTGGTCTTCTGGATGTTGCCTTTCCTGGTCCATGCAGAGTTGCTGGAGAGCGGGCTCCATGCTTTTTGTTTGCACGCAAGTTCGCCCCCTCTTCAGTCGGTGCTCTAATGTCACTGCGGGATACTTTGGGGTACTAAATTAATTTCATCACTAGTCAAAGCCCATTGTTGATGTATATGCTCCTAAAATTGGTAAAGAAGTTCCTCCGAAAGAGTACAAGCACCTCCCACACTTGTCACGCGATGAAAGGTGGTTCACATCGGCATCCGGGAAACACCAATTACAGTGGAGGGCCTGATCCCAGGCGCGCTGCGACTTTCTGTGCCACTCCAGCAGATGCCCAGCAATCCAGAACTAGCGGCAGGCACACACTGCCCACTTTGGTTCTGCCACGTCGACACTTCCTGACCGTAAGGCTCCTCCCCTCCCTCCCTCGCGGAATGCCTCCCAGCAATCTCCCTCAGCCACTTCTCAGAAAATTTCCGGGGCTGATGACGAACCGACAAGACGGCCTCGACAGCCAATGATGAGCCTCGATAGGTGTGGATGTATCAGGTAAGATGAGTTAAAGCTCTTACCGAACCTGGCTGTGTCTAGCCATGTGTGTAGGTTGCGGTTTGGCTTGCCCGAACCTCAACAACCCTCTGAACTTCAGCATTCCGCCAGGAAGAGACAAGCTGCCTGAAGAAAAGATCCATTTCTTGATCACTCTTGCTGAAACACTATTACCAGGCGTAATTTTGGATCCTTGTCACTTGCCCTTGAGACTTGTTCTGATTGACTCTCTGATTATCTCTTAGCATTTTCAGAGATAATTCAGAACAAGCTCACAATGGCCTCTGCCGTCCTCCGCAGCTCCTTCCTCGCGGCTCCTGTCGCCGTGGGCCTTCCGAAGCTCGAGGCAGCTCCGGCTAAGAGAAACCTTACTGTCCGCGCTGGGACCAAGGTCTTGAGAAATGTACGACTCCTTCAATAAGCCTTTTCCCCTCCCGAATGATTGCCTCACGCGACTTACTGTTGAAAAGTATAAGCACTCTGTTCCCTAATTCCTTGTCGTTGCACTTTCTGCACTTACCAGTGCATTCGTTTCCTTACGTTTTAATCGCAGGCCTGTTTTTCCCTTGAACCCCCACTGTTCATTGTGCCATAACAAGCACCAGCATATACACCATTCGCTCCGTCCTCCCCTATTCACCGCATGTTCTTACTTTCTTCACTGTGGAAAGATTGCACTGAAGAACATGCACTGTTTTCACGAACCTGATTTTAGTTTTAGACTCGGACATCTTTAACTTCAAGCGCTGTTGTTACGTCGAGTCAAGGGGTGACGATTCACCCCATCAGTGGATAATTGCCGTACGCCCGGCTTCCTTTAACCACATTCAAGAGAGCCAGCAGCGTAACTCGATTGAATGCGCGTTTGCAGAGAATATCAATATAATTATAAACCTAGTTCAATCACCTCTTCGTAAATCTCTCCCTTGTTAACATCTCCCTCATGCCTGCAGGTCAAGGTCGTTGAGCTCTTCGGCGAGGACAAGAGCGGGGGCATCCGTGGCAAGGTCGTAGGCTCGGACCCAGAAATCCGCCTGCTTTCACGCGTGGAGGATCTCCGGTTGCTCTCCAAGGCCGAGCAAGCAGGCCTCCTCTCACTCGCAGAGTCCTTCGGCCTCTCATTGACAGCCATTGAGGAGCTCGGCCTTCTCTCCAAGGCTGAGGAGTTCGGTATCCTTTCTGCTGCCACTGACCGGTCCACACCTGGCACTCTTCAAGCCCTCGCCTTCGTCCTGCTCCTTGCTGGCCCTGCCTTCGTGTACCTCGTGCCTGATGACAGCACTGGGTTGATTGCCCTTCAGGTTGTCGTTTCGCTGTTGTGTGCGTTCGGCGGAGCTGCTGCTTTCGGTGCTGGCCAGCTGCTTGCCTCTCTGCAGAAGAAGTAAGGAGTATATCCTGTACTGTAGAATATACTTACTGTATTAAAAATAAGTCTGCCTGTCAGCCTGTCAGTCAGGATTGCGCCCGACCTCAGACAACCTTGTTGGTGTCAGTGACATGGGTACGATGGCCTGGGCAATGCCTACCTGCTCTTGTGTCAGTAACATGGGTACGGTGTGAACTGCAAAAGACGTCGTGAAACTTGTAGATGACTAAAGCCCATCACACATGTCAAAAATATTTCAACGGCCTTGAGACTACGTTCTCAAGCCTAAAACGCTACCCTTCACAGGATGCTGACTGCAGCTTGTGCAACAGAACATACAGATCGGTGTGTAGGGTACCCAGGCCAGAGAGCTGGGCTAGGAAGGTGCAACATACCCTTGCACCCAACAGCGTACCTTGTCCTAATAAACAGTATTTTTACTCAATATGCGGCCTCTCACCACCCGATGCAGCTACACCTGAATTGCGCCGTGCTGCAGACGCTGCACCAGCACCACGGGCGACCGAGCTTGAGCCTTGCTGTGTGTTTGTCCTCTTGGGAGAGCGCAGGAGCTCCAGCAGCAGGTGGAAGAGGCCAGAGAGCTGGGCTAGGAAGGTGTGAGCAAAGAACATGCGCACCAGAGCCTGTTGGAATGGCACTGCGTTGGGTGCGAGGGGGTACTGTGCATGTGGGGGGAGAGGGGGAAGAGGGGGAAGCGAGGGGCAAGGCGAAATGACGGGTCGGGAAATGACAGATGCTGAAACCCGCAGCATCAGAACGAGCACCAGCACCATGGACAGCCGGGCTTGGGTCGTGCTGTGTGCTTCTCCCCTTGGGAGAGCGCAGGAGCTCCAGCAGCAGGTGGAAGAGGCCTGAGAGCTGGGCTAGGAAGGTGTGGGCAAAGAACATGCGCACCAGAGCCTGCTGGAATGGCACTGCGTTGGGTGCCAGGGGGTACTGTGTGTGTTGGGAAGGACGGGAAGGGAGAGAGGGAGGGAGGTAAGAGGAACAACACAGTCAGACAGATCAGGATACTTCAGAAAGAACTGCCAGCAGGGTGTGAGCAAAGAACATGCGCACCAGAGCCTGCTGGAATGGCACTGCACTGGGTGCCAGGGGGTACTGTGCACATGAGGAAGTGGGGGAGGCGGGGGGGGGATGGGAGGGAGTGAGGGAATTTTTGGAGCCGAGGGGAATACGAGGGTGCACGCACAGCACACATCTGGAGAGGAGCATTAGACAGTTCCGAAACAGTACTGTAGTAGCCAAGATCAAGCTTGCACAGCACGCACCAAACACAAACACTGACTCATAAACACTCGAGCGGTTATTTCAGACGACACGAACATGAAAGTGGAAAGCATGTGAGATTTCATTAAGACTACTCTGAAGCAGGCACAAGAGGCAATGAGGCAGGGAAGCACAGAGATTAGAGCAAGAAGGGCATGTACCTGGAGAGGAGGAGGAATGCTGGTTTTGACCAAAGAGAAGAACCTGTCCTCCACAATAGCCTTCTCGTTACAGCACCCCCTCAGCCCCTCCACCCCTGCAAACCGGCCGAAACCGCTCTCCTTCACCCCACCAAACGGCAGCGACTGGCACATGTAGGTGCTGCCAAAATCGTTTATAGCCACCATACCGCACTGCACCGCTGCCCCGATAGCAACCGCCCGCCTCCTATCCCCCGAGAACACTGAACACCCGAGCCCAAACGGACAGTCATTCGCCGCCGCCACCACCTCTTGGTCATTTTCGAATTTCACGATGCACATTATAGGGCCGAACACCTCCTCGTGCAGTATGCGCATAGTGGAGCGCACATTAACGAGTACGGTGGGCGGGTAAAACTGGCCTCCTAGGGATGGGCGGCAGGAGGAAGAGGCGAAAGGGAGGGCCCCTTCAGAAGCTGTTCCTGCCCCTGCTGCTGGTGTTGCGGCTCCTGCTGCTGGAGCTGCCGTTCCCGCTGCTGCTGCTGTTCCTGCTGCCGTTCCTGCTGCTGCTACTGTTGCTGCATCTCCCAAACCTCCTCTTCCGGGCTCACTCCCTCTAGGGCTACAACTAAGATCTTCACAGCTTCCCAGAGGTATTTTCCCCCCCACCACCACCCGTGCGCCCTGCCCCACCGCCTCATCCACCAATCGCTGAAGCCGCTGCACGTGATGTGGCATGCAGATCGCGCCCATGTCAGCAACCCCCCCTGCTGACGTGGACCTGAACTCTCCCCGTCTCTCCCCCCCTTGCACCCCCCCTCCTCCACCACTACTTCCTCCTCTCTCTCCCTTTTCCTGAACTGTTTCCATCTCCTTTCCACCTATTCCCACTTCTCCACCTCCCGCCCCTTCATGCTGGCAAGCAGGAACAGCTGATTTTTCCCTTCCTCCATTCATCCCATCTCGCTCTCCTTCCCCCAATTCATCTGCCAAAGGGTAGCCCTGAAAGACATGGAAGGCAATGGGGAAACGAGATCAAAGGAAGGCAAAGCGGAGGACTGTTGAGACGCCTTAAACGTTGCTACACCTCCCCTCCTCGGTTCATCCCATCTCGCTCTCCGTCCCCCAATCCATCTGCCAAAGGGTAGCCCTGGAGCATGGAAGGCAAAGGGGAAAGAAAGTGAGGAGAGGGGAAAGAACGACACTCCTGAGCCGATGGAGAAGTGAGCTGACTAACTTTTGTAAGTTACACCTTAATCAGGATACCAACGTCCTTATCACAGGCGCCTTACCTGAAAGGGAAATTGGTGTCAGGTGCCTGTGCATTCTAAATCTCAAACAAGACACTATTTCTAAAACGCACCCAGACTCCCCGTTTCCCAGCAAGTCAAATACCACCTACCCGCTCGTCTCGACTCGTCTGCTGCACAACAGGTACCACCTCCCCCACAAGAACCCGCTTTCCGAGAACGCTCTAAGCCAGTTACCACCCAACATGGATCCCTCTCATCTAGAGCCTCGTCTGCTGCTCGTTTTCTGCTCCGCTCCACAGACACCACCTCCCCCACAACAACCTGCTGCTGCCAAGGTACCACAACCTACCAGTCTCATTTGCTGCGCCACAGATACCACCTCCCCCACAAACTGGTCGTAGATGCCGGCCTGTACAAAGAACCGCTCTGCCCCAATGCAGTTCTGCCCGCTGCACTGAAACACAGCCCTCAGAGCGATGGGGACAACCTGAGATGGAATGGCAGAGGGGGGCAGAAGAGGGAAGGGAGGGGGTGGGGGTGAGAAGGGACTACACCCAAGGCACACTGTCAGAAGAACCGCTCCGTCCCAATGCGGTTCTGCCCGCTGCTCTGAAAGACGGCTCTCAGGGCGACGGGGACCAGCAGCATTAGGCGTGCATGCAGAGAAGCGAACCGCTCCGCCCCAATGCTGTTCTGCTCGCTGCACTGGAAGACTGCCCTCAGAGCAATGGGGACGACCTGCGAGCGGGGATTATGGGGGAAATGAGAAGGAATTTTCCATTAGGCATGCAGTAAAGAGAACCGCTCTGGTGCCCCGATGCAGTTCTGCCCGCTGCACTGAAACACAGCCCTCAGAGCGATGGGAACGACCTGAGATGACAAGGTCGCAAGGGGAAAAAGACAGGAGCGGGGGAAGGTGGTACTTTGAGACGTCTCAAAATGCAGTTCTGCCCACTGCTCTGAAAGACAGCCCTCAGAGCGATGGGGACGACCTGAAAGGAGACAGCAGAGTGGCGCATCATCACAATGGAAGTGTCCTTGCCTCCCAGCTCCAGCACAGTGGGCGTGAGACTAGGTTGTTGTGGAGAATGTACCACATCACATCACTCACATCAACTCACCTGCTCGTGATTTTTGAGAATTCTCAAAAATCACGCGCGAGAATTCTCAAAAATCACGCGCAAGGACTAGGTTGTTGTGGAGAATGTACCACATCACATCACTCACATCAACTCACCTGCTCCAAGTCCGCATCATCACAATGATAGCGTCCTTGCCTCCCAGCTCCAGCACCATGGGCGTGAGGTGAGATTGCGAATAAAGTGTACCTCAAAAGCCCACTGCACAGTAATCCACCTCCTTACCTGCTTCAAGTCTGCGTCATCACACACTATAAACGCGTCCTTGCCTCCCAGCTCCCTAAGTAACGAGGGGGGCACGCTTCAAGTCCGCGTCATCACACACTATAAACGCGTCCTTCCCTCCCAGCTCCAGCACCGTGGGCATGAGGTTCACTGCAGAGGCCTCTAGCACCTGCGGATGAAAGGAAATCCGGGAGAGAAGAATATGTGCAAAGAAAGGAAGAAGAAGCCTGAGACGCCTGTGGGACGAGCAGCACTTGGCGTGAGGGTCACTGCAGAGGCCTCTAGCACCTGCGGATGAAAGGAAAGCCGGGAGAGAAGAATATGTGCAAAGAAAGGAAGAAGAAGCCTGAGACGCCTGTGGGACGAGCAGCACTGGGCGTGAGGGTCACTGCAGAGGCCTCTAGCACCTGCGGATGAAAGGAAAGCCGGGAGAGAAGAATATGTGCAAAGAAAGGAAGAAGAAGCCTGAGACGCCTGTGGGACGAGCAGCACTGGGCGTGAGGGTCACTGCAGAGGCCTCTAGCACCTGCGGATGAAAGGAAAGCCGGGAGAGAAGAATATGTGCAAAGAAAGGAAGAAGAAGCCTGAGACGCCTGTGGGACGAGCAGCACTGGGCGTGAGGGTCACTGCAGAGGCCTCTAGCACCTGCGGATGAAAGGAAAGCCAGGAGAGAAGAATATGTGCAAAGAAAGGAAGAAGAAGCCTGAGACGCCTGTGGGACGAGCAGCACTGGGCGTGAGGGTCACTGCAGAGGCCTCTAGCACCTGCGGAGAAGCAGAGTCAGAGGACAAGAGAGAAGCAGAGGAGGGTTGCACAACCTTCTCTCAAGAGCGAGTGTGCCAATGCAAGGAAGAACTCTTGACAGCTACTCGTGCCTTTCAAAAATGAAAAAAGAGGGATTAGCAACGCCCTTGCACTCTCACCTTTATACCCTCCTACTCACCTTCCTGCCCACAGCAGTTGGCCCAACAAAGATCAACCGATCCACACCTGACTGCACCAGAGCTGACCCCGTGGGGCAAACCCTCCTTGAGGGAAGTGCTTGTTTGCTCCTGTCGCCAGCATTCCGTTCCAACCCCCTTTGCTCCCTGCCTCTTACTCACCTTCCTGCCCACAGCAGTGGACCCGACAAAGATCAACCGATCCAAACCAGACTGCACCAGAGCTGACCCCGTGGGGCCAAACCTGCCAGCACAGAGCGACACATGAACAACACAACCCCCGGAACACACGGGGTTTAGGCATACACAAACGCACAGAGTCACAGGTGACTTTTCAGGCGCCTCAAAAATTGTCTCACAAACGCACAAAGCCACACAGGTAGGTAGGTGACTGGAAAACAGGCGGAGGGACGGAGGGGAACACATGTCTTGAGTATGAGATCCAAGTTTGAGACACATGTGTCTCAAAACAAAACACAGACAGGCAAGCATGGATCAACTCACCCCGTGATCACATGCACGAGCTCAGGCGGGCCCCCAACGGTCTTGAGCGCACACTTCAGTCCACTCAAAAGTCACTACTGTCAATGCCCCAACCCACACACACACCTACCCACATAGCCATGACAACCCACTTGCACTCACTCACCCCGTGGTCACATGCACGAGCTCAGGCGGACCCCCAACAGCCTTGAGGGCCGTGCAAAGCAAACGACGTTAAAGTTCTGAGACATTCCAGAACACAGACAGACACTCACGCACTCAAATCACTCACCCCGTGATCACATGCACAAGCTCGGGCGGGCCCCCAACAGCCTTGAGTGCCGTGCGGATGATGTCCAGGTAGTAGTGAGCACCCCAGCTCGCATACTCTGATACCTGCGAGGGGGGAAAGGGGGGAGAGGTAGGTACACCACCAAGCATGGATTATCCATCAGCCATTAGAGCCACTGAGCCGTGCGAATGATATCCAGGTAGTAATGAGCGCCCCAGCTGGCGTGCTCTGATACCTGCGAGGGAGAAGAGGAAGGAGAGAGAGGAGGTGAACTGAGGAATTAAGGCCGGTCTTCCCTCCCTGCACGGCACTACTGTGCCAACCAATCACTCCGGCACCATCCAATCCGGCCCCTCTCTCTATACATCTCTCTCGTCCCCTATTTCTTCATTCCTCTATCTCTCTTCCTCTGTCCCTGCCTATCTTGTCTCTCTGTCTTTTCCTCCATCTCACCATGATGACAGCAGCATTCCTAGTAGATATAGCAAACAGCACAGGGTAGAGCACGTGGTGGAAGGGGTAGTTCCATTCCATGACACTATCGCGCCCACTCTCCCAACAATTGTCTGTCTGTACCTCTGTCTCTCTACCACTGTCGTTGTCTCTCTCTTTCTCGTTGATCGATCGACCTCGAATTCTAGAATGACTTCAGCGTGCCGGATGGCACGTGGCTGTACACGTCGCAAACATCGTTGAGCAACGACCGTGAGTTCTGAAAGGAATTCAGCGATGAAGAATGCACGAGGCTATCTAACCTGCTATGCTTCCCCCCGGTTGAAGACTCGTACATCGAGCACGCATTTTAGAAGGACTACAGCGAGGAGGAGCAGACGTGGCTGTACGGCCTGGGGGTTTGTTTCTGTGGACCCGTTGTGACCCTCACGCGTGACGCTGCTGCTGGCAATTCTGGTGCAGCAGGGGCTTCAAGCGTGAGGGTCACAATGGGCTCACAGAAGCACAGAAGATCAGACAGACACGTGCATTCTTCCTCAGTAAAGTCCTTCCATAACTCTTGCTCGATGATCAACGATGTTTGCGGTGCATATAGCCACGTGTCATCCGTCACGCTGAAGTCGTTTCGAAATTCGTGGTCGATCCACCACTGGTGGACAGAACAGGGTTGAGAACGTTGCGAGACACGGCACTATGGCGCCCCTCTTTATCCCTCTGCCTCTCTATCCCTGTCTATCCCTCACTCTGTTTCACCTTGATAACAGCATCATTCCTAGCGAATGCGGCAGATAGCAGGGGGTTGAGCACGTTGTAGAAGGGGTAGTTCCAAGGCACTATGGCTCCAACCACCCTTGCACCTTAGGGCCCCCTCTCTCTCCCTCTATCCCTCTATCCCTCTGTGCCTTTGCCTGCGTCCCTGACTCACCTTGATGACAGCAGCATTGCCGGCAAACACGGCAGACAGCACGGGATTAAGCACGTTGTGAAAGGGGTAGTTCCACGGCACTATGGCGCCAATCACTCCTGCTGGCTCAAACTCCACTCTGGCCACCTTGTGCATCATGGTCCGACCCACAGACCTGATGGAAGCCAGAGGCAGGACGAACAGTGGGACAAAGGAAAGGAAGGGAGTAGAGGATGGAAGGAGGATAGTAAAGCTCCAATCACCCCTGCCGGCTCAAACTCCACCCGAGCCACCTTGTGCATCATCGTTTGACCACAGACCTGACAGATGCGAATGAGGGAAGGAGGAAGGAAATGACAAGATAGGGAGGGGGGAGGTGGTAGTTCCACGGCACTATGGCTCCGATTACCCCTGCCGGCTCAAACTCCACTCTTGCCACTTTGTGCATCATGGTCCGACCCACAGACCTGATATATGCACAGGAGCGGAGGAAAATATGGCAGTAGGGCAAAAGACAAAATGAAGAACAGGAAACCACAAAACAGAAAAGGGTGAGAGAGGAAGGAGGGCATCGGAATCTCACCTGAGCCAGCCACCAGTACCTGAGCCGACCCACATTCACTCATATTGACTGCATTGACTGCTGCAAAAACCCAGAGTAACTGCATTGACCGCATTGACTGCATTTGACTGGCATTGACTAACCTGTACTCGGGTTTGATCCACTTCTCCCCTTCACTGAACAGCCATGCTATCTTCTCACACGTCGTCAGGATCTCACCAAACCCAGCATCCACCAGCACCTTTCCCGACTCACATTGACTTGCGTTGACTCGCATTGACAGCATTGACTGCATTGACTGCATCGACTCACACTGATTCACGTCACTCGGACTCACCTGTACTCGGGCTTCAGCCACCTCTCCCCTTCACTCAGCAGCCACGCTATCTTCTCACACGTCGTGAGAATCTCAACAGCACCTTGCCTAACTCGCATTGACTGCATTGACTCGCATTGACTGGCATTGACTGACCTGTATTCAGGCTTCAGCCACCTCTCCCCTTCGTTTAGCAGCCACGCTATCTTCTCACACGTCGTCAGGATCTCACCAAACCCAGCATCTACCAGCACCTTGCCCGACTCACGGGCTGATACTCTGGAGAGAATGAGGTGGGCATGGCAGGGATGAGACACCAAGCAGTGGGAGATGAGAGAAGGGCAATGAGAGAGGACCGATTCGGCAGTAGCACCAGCATCCACCAGCACCTTGCCTGACTCTCGGGCTGATACCCTGGGGAGAATGAGGTGGGTAGGGAGAGAGAAGCAATTGGAGACGAGAGAAAGGCAATGAGAAAAAATTGGCAGTAGAGCCAGCATCCAACCGCACCTTGCCCAACTCTTGGGCTGAAACCTTGGAGGGGGGAAGGAGGTGGGCAATGGGCGGAGGGCAGTGCGAGCCAGAGCATAAGGGCAGTACGAGGTGGGAAGTGGGCAGTGGCGGTGCTGCAACCGCCAGTATTTTTTAGTCGACTCAAAAATAGGCAGTGGCGGTGCTGCAACCGCCAGTAACCTTGTCATGTAGAGCATCAACAGCACAGCAACCCCATACCTGCATATGAGGTCCTGATTCTCCACCACGTATCGCATTAGCACCCTCAGGAACTGCCTCCGCTTCTTGAAGCTGCTGCTACTGTTGCTGCTGCTGCTGGTAACCGCATTACATATAGCATCAACAGCTCTATACCTGCAAATAAGGTCCTTGTTCTCCACCACGTATCGCATGAGCACCCTCAGGAACTGAGGGTGGTAACCCTGGTACCTGGGCAAGGGCGTGCTTACACTCACCTGCAGATAAGGTCCTTGTTCTCCACCACGTATCGCATGAGCACCCTCAGGAACTGCCTCCTCTGCTCGGAGCTGCTATGAGCCCACTGCTGCTACTGCTGGTAACCGCGTTACGTAACGCATCAACAGCAAGTCAACTCCATACCTGCAGATGAGGTCCTGATTCTCCACCACGTATCGCATGAGGACCCTCACGAACTGCCTCCTCTGCTCGAAGCTGCTGTGCTGCCACTGCTGCTGCGCCTGCCGTGCCCTCGCCACATGCTCTTTCACCTGAACATGATGGAATGATGGGATGATTAAGATCATGGGGCAAATACAGATGTTTTGGGTAAAATGCAGCAGAAGTGAGTGGGGAAACGGGTTTCTCTGCTCTAAGCTGAGCCACATTGCGTGCCCTCGCCACATGCTCCTTCGCCTGAAGTGGATACAAGGGGTATTGTGGGTTGCATTGCGGTAGAGCTTGAATGCGAAACCTCTGCACTTTGCAGAGTCGCACGGTCGTAGCACTGCACTCTGTCTCCCATTTCTCATCCAGACCTCCCTTCTTCCCACTCACATCTGATGCCTTCAGAGCGGGCGAGAAGCCCAGGTACTGCAGCGTGGCAGGGTCGTAGCACTGCACTCTGTCGCCCACCCACCCACATACCTATCCACCCACACTCCCATCCACCCACCCAGGCGCTTTACCACCCTCCCGCCCAGCCCACAACTCACGTCAGATGCCTTGAGGGCAGGCGAAAAGCCCAGGTATTGCAGCGTGGCAGGGTCGTAGCACTGCACTCTGTCGCCTGCTGACCCCTCTCCGCGGGGAAACTGAGTGGGGGAACGGGGGAAGAGAGGACAGCAGAGTCGGAGTGATGAAAGAGGAGTCTATCTCTAATGCGCCTCAAAAATAGACTGCAACGTGGCAGGGTCGTAGCACTGCACTCTGTCGCCTGCTGACCCCTCCCCTGAGGAAACTGAGTGGGAGGATGGGGAGAAACAGAAAAAACTGCAACCACTAATGTGAATGTGAATGTGACGAGACTGTGAATGAGCATTTCCCTGTGAATGTGAAGGCGACGAGACTGTGTTTCTTCTTGAAAGGGTGAAGAAAGTGAGGAGTGAAATGTGTGGTTGAACAAACGAAGCTGGCAAAGCAACGGCTCACATAAATATATCGATTGGTTTTGCTCTCCTCCTGCTTCTCCGTAACTGCACAGGCACAAGTGTCAGGACAAACCCATGAACGAGATTCAATCCAAATCACATTAGCCCTTTTCTAATCCTAAAATGTCAAGAAATGCAGGAGATGGTTTCATTAATATTGCTCGCAACGGATGGAATAAAGAGGCCGGTGAGGAAACGGAGATAACGGCGACGCGATGCGAGTGGGTCAGAATAAATGGAGCGGACGGAACGCCGTTCATATATGCATGAAGACGAGGAAGCAAGCAACAGAGATCGAACGCTGAGAAGTACGACAGTGACCGAAGGCAGCTCCCTTATGTCTACAAACGAGGACAATGTAGATTACATTCTAGGATACGAGAGAATCAACTACTGCAATACTCGAGAGAGCGACGATCGCTTACTGTAGGAAGTGTCGACGTAAATTTGCGGGACTTTAGGCTGCAATAGGACCTTGACGACAATCCACGCGACGGTTGCGACGAGTGCTAAGATCAGAAGCGACTCGGGAGCCGCCAGCATCGACGATAAGGCCGCACCCATGCTGGCTGACGCCTCGGATTGCACGCAGCTTGATCAGCTAAGACAGGCGAATAACTAACTACGGCGACCAGGCTGACATTGCCTACAGACCATTCAAGAGAAGGTCTCGCTGGTTCCAGAGAATGAAGTTATTCAGCAGTAATCGGTGAGTTCAAGGTTGGTAAAAAGGTTGTGCTGCCGCCAGAGAACGTATGTGTTTTAAAGGTACACTTCTGTAGCTCAGAATCTGATATTCATTATTGAAATATTCTGAAGAATCTGGGGACTGATATGTGTGGCAGACGATCATCTGAGACTGACGAACACATGCGACGGAACTCGCAGTTATCGCAAATCTCTTATCACCCCAGACTCCTGGCGGCGCGTCAGTGCGCTTCACGAATTCTTTTCCCGCGCAACACCTTCCATCACACGAGGAAGCAGACAGAGCAGCAGCAGATCGCACAGGCACAGCACCCCATCCGCGCTTCGATCAATTCAAACCCAATGCAGCCAACCACCCACTGCTCCTATCTGCTCCTAACATTTCTTCACTGTCGCTTAAAACCCTGGCTAACCGCTCAATAACGATTTAGGCCGTTTATTAACCTTACTTCACCGTGAAGGCGTGCACTATAACAGCACCCCGTCACGACGACCTCAAACATCCTCCCATAAATCCCCCTCTTCCTCTCCCTACCTGCCAAAAAAACATCACCGCGATAGGACAAGTCCAGCCAGATAAAGGGGTCGAGAGGAAGGGGAAGGCACAGCAGAACCGCACTAACAGCTTTCATACTCGCGACTTACCTCGGTCTCCCACAAGCAAGAACCATACGTCATTATCTGACCAGTCCCAAAGGCTTATAAGAGACGGAGAGGTTAGGAGCTAACACGTGCCACGTCGAATGATATTTTGGGTCAATTTACTTGTCCTTCCATTGAAAACCATCATCGCAGCACTGGCACCATGCGTATCTCCGCCACAAGCAGCACCGTCGCAGAGAAAAACAATTATATTTTCTTCCGCAATGCAGCTTGCACAGCCACACCTAGTAACCCACGTTCGAAATATCGACACCGAGTCTTGCTACCGTCGATACCACTTCAACGTTGCGTTGTAACAGGGCCTTCAATACGCGCTTACCTTTATTGTACACTATTTCTGTTAGTAACTATTCTCGTTCATACTCATGCATCAGCAGCCGCAGCGTTCCACTCGAGAAGCTTCCCCCGCGTTTTCCCACATCGCCGTCGTCATCTAGCGGCTATAAACCGAGAATGGATATCGCGCGTGTACGTGAAGGGCGTGTCGATGCGCTTCATTGAAGAGCGCGCCAATTGGGAGTTCCTGGTGGGCGGGCGGACCAATCAGAACCACCGCGTGACGTGGCCCGACAGCCTAGTCAAGTCCACGTGGCGAAGCACGAGCGTCAGGCACCATAACATCAGTCTTCAGGTGTGGAGATCGCGGTAGCAGCCTTCGCGGCAAGGAGTGTATGTGTGGGGAGTCTGTAGTGGAGTCAGTACCAGCCTCTGTATCGGCTTGCTGGTCGCAACCTTTCCCATTACGCCCTCTGCTTTTCCGCTTCCATCAAAATTCCTCCTCCCTTCCCCTTCCCCCTTCCCCCTTCCGCAGGACACCCCCTCCTGCCACGCGCTCCTTCCGCCTCAAGCGTACACCTCGCGGGTTTCGCGCGGCCGGCCCGTTCTTTCCGACGAGCTGCTCCGCGTGCACCGCCGATGGCTGCGCGATCAGCAACAAGACGATCGCTCGGATCGAGAGCGAGAGGATAGCTCGGGTCAAGAAGGAGAGAATCGTGCGGACGAGCTGCTCCGTGTGCACCGCCGACGGCTGCGCGATCAGCAGCAAGAGGATCGTTCAGATCGAGAACGCGAAAATATGTCGGGTCAAGAAGGAGTGAATCGTCCGGAACCTCCCCCCTCACCTTCCGCCTCTCCCGCCTCCCCTTCGTACCCTCAATCCTTTGCCTCCTTCCCAGCAATTTTTTCCGAGAATTTCCCTAGAAATCTCACCAATCGCACCGACTCCGCCAATCGCACCGACTCCACCAATAGCACCGATTCCGCCGATTCCGCAGAAACCGTCGATCCCGCCCATTCCGCTGACCGCTGGCTGATCTGGGTGCCGCGAGCCGGTCTAGGAAACATGCTGCGCGCGCTCTCCTCCTCCTTCGTCTACGCGCTCCTCTCGGGCCGCCGCCTTTTGCGCTGGCACGGCGGGCCGTACGGCGACGCGATGAACAGCCTCTGCGCGGGATTCGCGTGCGGATTCGACGAGATTAGGTTTCCGAATAATAATCTACCGAATTACGCGGAGCCGTTGGATCGGCTGGTATCGAACGGCGAGCAGATGCGACGATCGCTGGCGGATCCGCATCCGCTCGTTATAGTCACGATGTCAAGCTCGTTTGATAGGTATTGGCAGGAGGATAAGGAGTTAACGCGGTGCGTGATGGGCGCGTTAGGGTGCGCTTCGGACTGGTGCGTTTGGTCTAGAACGATGGAGATTTTATTAGGAGGCGGACCGACAAAAGCGCTAGGTTACGAGATCGAGAAAGACGTGAGAATATTTCCGCACGTGAAGTCTGCTTCGGCAATTAGCGGAGAGATTCATAACGAAGCGGCAAGTGCGCGGGGAAAAGGATTGGAACGACTGGAAAGGGAGAGGTTGCGGAGTCGGGAAAACGGGGTGCGGGGAAGCGGAAAATTGCGGAGCAGAGTTCGAGCGGAAGATGCATGGGACGCGGGGGAAGCGGGGGATGCGGGGAGAGGGGGGGTTCAGGTTGCTCGGAGGCTAAGCGGAGAAACGCTACTAGCAGGGGAAAGCGGAGAGGGGCGGGAAGGGGGTACTGGTGGTAACCCATTGGCGAAAGGGACTGGGCTTCGCCTGCAGTTTGATGTTTCGCTGCACATCCGAACAGGGGATTGGTGAGTCAGCCACCCGATTCTTCCCTCAAACACCCTCCTTTCCCTCCACCATCCACCCTCCTTCCTCCATCAACTCCCCATTCCCCCGCCCAGCTAGTTCCCCTTCTCCTCCCTACCGTCCCCCCACCATCTTCCCCCGACCACCTTTCCCTGACTCCCATCCCCCAGCTCCCCTCCACCGGCCACCTCCCCCAACTCCTTAGCGGATCTCTGCATTGCCCCACCACCACCTTTCACCACCACATTTCTCTCACCCCTTTCCCCCAACTCTCTTTCCCCCACCATCTTTCCCCAACCGCTTGCAGGAGCTTTGGGTTGCCCCATTGTGGAGAGTCCGATGCTGCATGCCTGCTGCAGCGCAGCCACGTGGCACATGACGTGGCATCCCTCTTCCTGCAGGCGTCCCATTGGCTCTGCCTCTCCTCCCTACTCCAGCTGTTCCGCTTCCGGAAATGGGCAGCTCAGATGCGGGCGGCTGAGCGGGCGGTGGAGCCAGTGGACAAGCGGTGGGCTTTATTGGCAGCTAGTGAGGAGTGGGTGGCAAAGACTGAGGCTTCACTGTCACTGGGCACAAGGGCGGCGAAGCAGGTGTGATGGGAGGAGAGGAGAGGAGGGTAAGGACGGGAGAGGAGGGTAACGGGGCAGAGAGGAGATGAGAGGAGTGGACTGCAGTAGTGGCTTGGAAATGAGAGTGGGTGGCAAACACTGAGGTTTAACTGTCACTGTGCATATGAGTGGCGAAGCAGGTGAGAGGGGTGGACGGGATTGGAGAGGAGAGCAGAAAAGTTGAGGATGGGTGCACAGTACACATGAAAATGTTCAGTTGAGTTATGAGATATCTCAAAACTTGTACAGTGCATACATTCCACATGCACCTGGATGCGCTTTGTCCTCTTCTCCTGCACTCCTCCCGAGCAGATGATAAGACAGAACAGAACAGCTGCGGAGGAGAGCTGGAACACAGTTGCACTTTGGGCCTTTTTCCTGTGCTCCTCCCGAGCAGGTGCTAAGAAAGAATAGGACAGCCGCGGAGGAGAAATGGACTCTAGACGACTCGCTTGCCATGGCACATGGTATGAAAGTTTTAAGTTCTATATAGCTCGTAACCCAAATGGCACATAGTATGGTATGAGAGGATTGGCAGTCGATGAGAATGATCATGCCTGTTGACGTGGGCAATGATGATGATGTGGACGATGATATTTGTTCCACGGGCCAGGGTTGGATGAGTGGAAGTACCAGTAATGTCTAGTAGTCTATTTGTAATCCTTCAGCTACGATCCTTCGGCCCACAAGTCTTCCATCTATCCTCCCCTGTTTCTTTTCCCTGTCCTCGACCTCAAACCCATCCTTGTTTGTAGGTTTGGTGCCAGTCCCCGGACATTCACCCAGACCAACGCCAATGTTCCGCATTCCCCAACTCTCCCCTCTCAACATCTTCTTATCCACCGATAATGAATATCTAAGGCCACATTTTGTGGAGCTGCTACAGCCATTCGGAAACGTTTTCGTTTCTACAGGCCAAACTGCGCATCTGTCTACTTCTAAGCAACCAGGTCCGAAGTTGGCTACTGTAGCGGATTTCTTCTTGTTGAGCCGGGGAGCTGTGCTTGTAGGGGGTACGCACACTCTCAGCACCTTTGCGAAATTCGCTGGGATCTACTCCAATTGCTCCGTGGTGTTTGACCATTCCCCCCTGCATAGATGCCACTACGCAGCAGTACACTTGTAACACATTTTGTATACGTGGTTTATGTGTACGCTTGAGAGCCTTCTTGATGCTGACAGCCTCAAGCAGTTTTCAACACCACCAGCAATGATGTGCCCCTGCCTTCCTGCTTATCGTATTGCCGCTTCTCCTTACAATGGAGCTTGTCTGCCCTGCCCGGCATGTACGGTAGCTGTCTGTCAGCTGGTGGGAAGTACAACAAACGGTAGTTGGAAGTATAACAAACGGTAGTGGGAAGTACAACAAACAGAATGCTGAACTGATGTCACCCCGCGTCAGCACGGGCGCCTCTGCTTTGAGTTTCTTCAAATACGTTGCAGGCAGAACAGATATCTACCCACCACCAGCAGGGGAAGTGGCTTGCAGCACGTTGTTAATCTCCCCAATGATGTGAACCAGGCGGTTGGAATACATTGCAGAGAGCGCCACCTCTGCTCCAAGTCACTTATATACTACCTATGCGCAGAGGCTCGATTCAAATGCCTATGGTTTTCCTTCTTTTACCTACCCGCCACCTGCTGGGGCACTAGCTTACAGCACATTGTTGAACTCCCCAATTATGTGATCGGGGCGGCTGGAATACATTGCAGAGAGCGCCGCCTCTGCTATGAGTCACTTGATTTTCTACGCACACAGATCCTCAATTCAAGTGCCTAAGGTCTGTCTCTACCTACCCACCACCAGCAGGGGCAATGGCCTGCAGTACGTTGGATCTCCCCTAATGCAAACTGGACGATTGGAGTACATTGCAGAAAGCGCCGCCTCCGCTATGAGTCGCTGCAAATACATGGCTTGTGGAACAATTATCTACCCATCCCCAGCAGGGGCAGTGGCTTGCAGCACGTTGTTGATCTCCCCTATGATGTGAACTGGGCGGTTGGAATACATTGCAGAGAGAGCCGCCTCTGCTGCTGCCTTGTAGGCTCGTGTTCGCTGCACCACAGCCTCCTGTGAGAGGTGAAGAGAGGGAAAGGGAGTGGTGAAGGGAGGGAATGAGAGGGAATGGAAGTGGTGAATGGAGGGAATAAGAGGGAATGGGAGTGGTGAATGGAGGGAATGAGAGGGAATAAGAGAGAATGGGAGTGTGTGTATGTATGCTCACTGCGGAAGCACCTGCTTCCTTGTAGGCCCCGTGTTCATTGCACCACCGAGGGGGTGTGAGTGCACAATTTTGTGTGAAGGGTTGTGACACACATGCCACACCATGCCACTGCATGTCACACCATCCCATGCCACACACCAGCAGCACCAAGCCGCACCAAGCCACACCATGGCACATCATCCCATGCCATGCCATGATATGCCATGCCATGCCATGCCATGCCATGATATGCCATGCCATGCCATGCCATGCCATGCCATGCCATGCCATGCCATGCCATGATATGCCATACCACGCCATGCCATGCGACTCACCAGTTTAGGCCAAGCATCAGCCAGTGCTGCCCGAATCTCTCTCCGCCGCCTCTCCAATGCCATCCATACCACACCATACCGCACCATACCGCACCATACCACACCATACCGCACCATACCGCACCATACCACACCATACCACACCATACCATACCATGCCATGCCATGCGACTCACCAGTTTAGGCCACGCATCAGCCAGTGCTGCCCGAATCTCTCTCCGCCGCCTCTCCAGCTCGCCTATGCTATCCAGCAGCCTCGCCTCGTTTGTCTTCTTCTGCAGCAATGATTGCTCCAGCCGATCCAAAAAGCTGGAAGGCCAACGGAGAAACGGAGACGGACAAAAGAGGAGAAGCGGAAGCAGAAAAAAAGGCTGTTCTTGTGGCTGGTGAGTCGAGAAATGGCCGAACACATGTAGGAGGGAAGGGGTTGTCGATTGAGAGCAGGGGTGTAGAGGAAGGGTGGTTTTGAGACGTCTTAAAAAGAATTGTTTTGAGACATCACAAAAAGAATTGTTTTGAGGCGCCTTAAAAAAACTCTTTTACACGTGGCCGAATACATGTAAGAGGGAAGGGGTTGTCGAGGGAGAGCAGGGCCATAGCGGAAGGGTGGTCGCTACTGTACACAGAGAAGAGTTGAGAAAACGTACCGTGGGGAGGAGAGGATGAGGAGCAGGTCTCGCGTGCGACGGCTGGTGAGTCGACCAATGGCCGTGCAGATATGGGAGTTGAGGGAGGTGAGGAGGAGAAGGTATCTGAAGGAGAGGCAGAATGTTGTGAGCACTCACCGAGGGGAGGAGAGGATGAGGAGCAGGTCTCGTGTGCGACGGCTGGTGAGTCTACCAATGGCCGTGCAGATGTGCGAATCAAGGGATGCGAGGAAAAGGGTTTTAAGGGAGAGGCAGAATGGTGTGAGCACTCACCGGCGCAGTGTGGATATGTGACATCACAGTCACGGACCCCGTCTCCCACCAGGATGAGTACGCTCGCAAGGCACCCGGGTGAGTGGCCAGGATGCAAGCAGACAAGAAGGAGACCAAGTATGCCGGGCGGAGCCCGTGGGTGGGCTTCTACGCTATGGCCGTGGAGACCTACGGGTACCCTTCAGCTGGAGTCCTCGATTTCCTTCGCAGCTGCGCGGAGCTGGCGGCAAAGCGGCGGTTCAACGCCTCACCGAAGTCGAGGGAGGTGGGGAAACTACTCACTGAGTATCGCCAGCGCTGGAGCGTGACCCTGCAGAGAGCCCAAGCCAACGCCCTCAGGGACAAGACCCATGAGGCACTTACCGCGGATGTGCTTGGCCTGCAGGGTCCGTTCACTCCACTGAGCGAGGACCAGCTATACCAGTTGGTAGAAGACCCCTCCGGCCACTAGGGCCGGAAGGGGAGGGGGGGCGGCAGTAGAGGTGACGGGATAGGGGTTTGATATAGTAGCTTTGCTGCATGTGTTTGCTGACTTACCTTGTTTGTACCTTGATGATATTAATACGAAGGACCGTTCGAGGATGAGAAGGAGGTCCCGCGTGCGACGGCTGGTGAGCCGGCCGATTGCCGTGCAGACGTGCGAGTCAAGGGACGAGAGGTCCACCAGCCGCCGCACGCAGCTTCAGGTCAAGCGACAGATGCTTCAGGTACAGGCAAAAGGGTGCAAGCACTCACCGGGGGGAGGAGAGGATGAGGAGGAGGTCCCGTGTACGACGACTGGTGAGCCTACCAATGGCCGTGCAGATGTGGGAGTCAAGGGAGGCAAGAGACGTGGTGCCATGGTTCTGGATGATGGGAGGCGCTGTGGCCTGGGGAATGCAGGGAGCAGGAGGAATGGAAGCAAGAAGAAATGAATGAGGGGGATGGCCAGATGTGGGAGACAAGAGATGCAAGAGACGCCGTGGTTCTGGATTCTGGACGATGGGAACCGCTGTGGCCTGGGGGATGCAGGCGGGAGAGCAGGGGAGAGACGGGGTGAGGGAAGCCGTGCAGATGTGAGAGTCAAGTCAAGGGAGGCAAGAGACGCAGTGCCGTGGTTCTGGATTCTGGACGATGGGAACCGCTGTGGCCTGGGGGATGCAGGCGGGAGAGAAAGGGGGAAGGGGAAGGGTGAGTGGCCAGAGGAACGGGGAATTGAGGGGATGTAAGAAGAAATGGTTGTGCACACAAGAAAGTAGACGAAGAATCCTCAAATGTAACACTCACCAGCAGTAGAGGGAAACGGCATAGTGAATGATGGGGATGCACTTTTGAGAAATCCCAAATGTAATACTCACCAGCAGATGTGCCTATAACACCGACAGCAGACTCAAGGTCCTCCCATCCTTCCTCACTCGCCAGAGTCTCCCTGCTCATGACCCCTCATCCAGTCACCAGCAGCTGTGCTTGCAAAACTCACAGCATACTCACCGTTCCCCCATCCTCCCCCACCGGCCAAACTAAAAAATCACACCAGATTCAAGGCCCTACCATGATCCCATGCGCTCCCACTGGACAGCCTCACACGCCCCCCCTCACGACACGATCCTTCTTCACTCACCATCAATTGTGCCTGCAACACAGATCCCTGGTGTCGGTTCATCTCAGCTATCCGTGTGACAAGGAATATGTGCAGCTGGGGGGAGCGGGAGAAGACATGTAAGGGAGAAGGCAAAGGGAAGAGAGGAGGCAAAGAAAGGAGAGGGAGAAGCATTTTTGCTCACCTCCCGCACCCTTATCTGTTCTCATCCGATATGCTACATACCATTCAATGTATAAACCTCCAAGCAGCTGAGTGTATCACAAGCGCTAACACCCTGCTCGCCTCCAGAAACAAGTTTCGGTATGCTGCACACAGAAGCCAATTTTGAAGCTGCTCTCAACCAACCACACCTCTCACCTCAAACAGGTCGTCAAGCAGCTTGCTGCGATACACTGAATCAGCCAGCAGCCACCGCTGCACCTTGTGCCTCCCTTCTCCCCCGAGTGTGACAGCATGACCAAACGGGTCCCAACACAAGACGTCCAGACTCAACGCTCCTTTTTCCCACCCATCTCACCTCAAACAGGTCATCAAGCAGCTAGCTGCGATACACTAAATCCGCCAACAGCCACTGCTGGACCGTGTGCCTCTCACTCTCTCCCAAGTGAGAGACTGCATGATGAGACTTGTTGCAACACGAGTCATTCAGTCTCACCTCAAACAGGTCGTCAAGCAGCTTGCTGCGATACGCTGAATCAGCCAACAGCCACCGCTGCACCTTGTGCCTCTCGCTCTCCCCTTCCCTCCCACTCCTCCCTCCTCCTCCCCCACCGCCACCAGCACTATCACCATCACCAGCGCTTCCAGGTGGCGCCTCCTCATTGGTCCCTGCAGCTCCTGTGTCAATATCCCAGTCTATCCCCCCTCCTCCCTCCTCGCCACCAGCAGCACCTGTATCAGCAGAGATCTCGATGCCCCAGTCAATGCCTCCCCCAGATGCGCCCTCCCCCCCACCCAGGGCGCTCCAATCTATCTCCACCGCTGCACCATCTGCAGTCGTAGTGGCACCATCAGCACCATCAGCAGTAGAAGCAGCACCATCGGTATCCGCAGCACCATTAGCAGCAGCAGCAGCATCAGCACCATCAGCAGTGGCAGAAACATCAAGGTCCCAAACTATGCCACCACTCTCTCCTTCTCCTCCTAGTCCTCCCTCTCCCCCTCCACCTTCTCCCCCTGTACTCACATCCAAATCCCACACAATCCCCCCTACAGCATCACCATCCCCACCACTACCACCGGCATCACCCCCAACACCACCAGCAGCATCACCAACCCACTCGTCCTCCGCAGGAGGCTCGGCCTGATCCTGCCGCTCAGGGTTTGCCCGAAGCTCCAAGAGCGTGGGGAGGAGGAGGGAGGAAGAACCAGCATCCTCCCCCCCATGCGCAAAGGCTATAGCAGCTCGATAGTAGTCCACTGCCTGCCCTACAGGCTCCCCTGATAGAATTGTTACCACGCTCTGAAAGATTCCAGGAAGCAGGGAGACCAGCCCCTTGAGCTCTGTCCGTACATCGTTACCCTGTAAGAAGCAGATGGGAAAAGAAAGGAGGAGGGGAAGTGGTAGGGGGGTTTAGGGTCGGACAGAGATGGGTGAAGAGCGTAGGGAGGAGAGGGGAAACCTGTGTCATCCCCATGGGCAAAGGCTATAGCAGCTCGGTAGTAGTCCACTGCCTGCCCTACAGGCCCCCCGCATAGCACTGTTACCACCCCCTGGAAGGCTCCAGGAAGCTGCAAAACCAGCGACTTCAGCTCCTTTCTCACGTCTTCACCCTTTAGGGAGGCGCGGGGTGAGAAAAGGGAGGGGAGGGGGAAGGGGAGAGGAGGGATGCGGGTGGGTGAAGAGTTGTGAGAGCGCGGGGAGGAGGGGGGAAGAACCCACATCCTTCCCCCCATGGGCAAAGGCTATAGCAGCTCGGTAGTAGTCCACTGCCTGCCCCACAGACTCGTTGCACAAAACGCCCACCACTGACTGGAAGATCCGGGAAGTTGCGACACCAGTCCCTTGAGCTCGGTTCGTACATCGTTACCCTATCAGAAGCAGACGGGAGAAGAGAGGAAGGGGGGAGTGGTGGGGAGGAGGGTGTGGATTGGACAGTGATGGGTTAAGAGGTGTGAGAGCGTAGGGAGGAGGAGTGAACCCGCATCCTCCCCCCTATGGGCAAAGGCTATAGCAGCTCGGTAGTAGTCCACTGCCTGCCCTACAGACTCCCCTGATAGAATGGTTACCACTGACTGGAAGATTCCAGGAAGCTGCGAGACCAGCCCCTTGAGCTCTGTCCGTACATCGTTACCCTGTTGAAAGCAGATGGGAGAAGAGAGGAGGGGGGGAAGTGGTAGGGGGGGTTGGGTCGGACAGAGATGGGTGAAGAGGTGTGAGAGCGTAGGGAGGAGGGGGGGAACCTGTGTCACTCCCGTGTGCAAAGGCTATAGCAGCTCGGTAGTAGTCCACTGCCTGCCCCACAGGCTCCCCGCATAGGACGCCCACCACTGACTGGAAGATTGATGGGAGCTGCGAAACCAACCCCTTCAACTCCTTGCGCACGTCTTGACCCTTCAAGAAGAAGCAGAGAGCGGGGTTACCACCACATGGGAGAAACGGAAAGGGGGCACGGGTGGGAGAGGGAGGTGTTGCGTTGATGAAACAGTAATGGGCACAACACAAGGCTATAGCAGCTCGGTAGTAGTCCACTGCCTGCCCCACAGACTCGTTGCACAAAACGCCGACCACTGACTGGAAGATACTGGGAAGCTGCGACACCAGTCCCTTGAGCTCGGTGCGTACATCGTTACCCTGTTGGAAGCAGATGAGCAAGGAGAGGAAGGGAGCGAGTGGTGACGGGGTTGGCTCAGACAATGATGAGTGAGGAGCAGTGGAGACGAGTGCCTTGAGCTCTGTGCGTACATCGTGACCCTGTTAGAAGCAGATGGGAGAACAGAGGAAGGGGAGAGTGGCTTGATTTGTAGGTCAGAGCACACCCGTTAGAAACCGCTCGGCAACAGCAGGGACACGACTTTTGACTTGAATCAAAACTACCATTTGTGTCGACCACTCAAAAGGAATGCACCTCACCTTGATCCCCAGGTCGGAGCACGCCTGCTGAAACCGCTCGACAACGGCGACGTGACATTCGAGTTGTCTTTAGAGCAACCTTTAGTCGACCACTCAAACGGAATGCACCTCACCTTCATTCCCAGGTCCGAGCACGCCTGCTGAAACCCCTTGGCAGCAGCAGCAGCAACGGCAGCAGGAGTGTTTTCAGCATCAGTGTTTTCAGCATCAGTGTTTTCAGCATCAGTGTTTTCAGCATTCCCGGAATCCGCAGCTCACCTTGATTCCCAGGTCAGAGCACGCTTGTTGGAACCCCTTGGCAGCAACAAGCAACGGATTGCACCCCCGTATGAGTGTTTTCAGCATTCCCGGAATCCGCAGCTCACCTTGATTCCCAGGTCAGAGCATGCCTGTTGAAACCCCTTGGCAGCAGCAGCAGCCAGTCTACGGCAGTCCAGCTCCTTCCTGTTGCTCTCCTCCAGCTGCTGCTGGGCCCGCGCCCTGTGCTTCTGCCAGTAGGGGCTGATGAGAGGGGAGTGAAAGCAATGTGGGAGTAGGGAACGGGGGGAATTGGTGCAGAAGTAGGGGAAGGGGAAAATTAATGAAGGACTGGATGAAGAAGGGAAATGAACAGGAGAGTACAGGAAAATGGGGAAAGAGTGGGGGGGGAGGAGAGGGGGGGGGGTGGTAGAAAGAGGTCAATCAACAAGTGAAGCATGAGCGATAGTCGGAGAAAGGGGGAAGGGAAAAGGAGCAGGAATGAAGGGATGGAGGCAGCATGCATGTAGAGTGAGGTATAACCTGTTCTCTTCTCGCCCCTCAATAACCCCCTCCGTCCCCCCCCACCCCCCCTCGAAATGACCCTCTGCTCTCCTCTCCTCCTTATGCAGTGACCTCCTTTCTCACATGTCATAGTTGGTATTGTGTACGAGAATCTGAGCCGCTTCCCCCAGAAACACAGAGTCACGCTCGTATGTTCGAACCACTGCATCCCACTCGCCCTGCCAAGTAAGGGAGGAGGGACAAGAAAACATGAGGCAAGGAAACAAGGAGGCTTCATGGGGACCTGTAGGTTCGAACCCTAAACACTCATAACAACACCCACCACTTGACCCACCACAGGAGACATTCTCATCGCATCCTTAGACACATTCTCCTCTGTTTCAAAGCACTCAACACAGGCCCCACTAGGCCACCGAAAAGTGGTGTGTGTTGATCCATACAAATCACTGCAGCACCACACACCAGGCTTTTTCTCATTCTCACATTCTCGAAACAACCCTAACTTCTGCCACACATCCTTGGCACATCTCTCGGTTTTGGAGCACTCACCACCAGCCCAGCAAGGCCGCCGAAAATTGTTCTCTCACTGGGGCGAGCAGCAGCAAGAATGTCCCTCACTCGCTTCGCCTCCACATACCCCACCTCTGCAAAACGATAAGAAAAGAATGAACAACATAAACGGTTTCTTCACTTATGAATGGAAGGAACCAGCATTCGGTGTTGCTGTTAATCTTAACAGACAGCAGCTAGAGTAGAGAGCTTCTCAGTTTGCTATCATATGATTCTAAATTAGCATTAGCAGGCCCGCCCGTGCACCCATGCACGCATGGACTCACCCTGCGCCCATGGACGGAACCATTTATTATCCAATGAACTCATGCATGCATGCATGCACCCATGCCCGCATGCACCCATGCCCGCATGCACCCATGCATGCATGCATGCACCCATGGACGGACCCATTAATGCTCCCATGCACCCACCATCCACCGAGAGCGACTGCAGCCAGGGATCATGATGACGTGGCAGTGTGGTAACCAGCTTGGCGATTCGCTGCTGAATAGCGGCTACTCGTTGCCTCCAATTGGCCGGTACCCGCTTCCGATCCACCAGCCAGTCTGGTGTCGGACATGGAAGAAAAAATATTCAGTCAAGGGACTAACTGATTACTCAACGAGAAATTGCGCTTAAAAGTATTCCATACTGTGGAACTGTGCGATGTTTATTTAGCTAATGTCACTTAATGTCAGGTGTCAGTCATCGTTATGTAGCCATACGAGAAACGCGGTACCTGCGAATTTGTTGTACGCAATGTCAATGGGAAGCTGATGCTCTTCGAATTTCACTCCCTCTCCCGTTTTCTCCACCACCACCGGCGCAGAGCCACCTTCTTCTACCTGGATCCCTGCTCCATCGTCCGAATTCGTAGAATCCTGAGCCATGTGTCGAATATCCCTACACAAATCGTGTCAAGTTATGAAGGAATCACCAGGTTCGACAAATGTGATTGCCTTTCCGGAAGAGGACTCGCTACGACGGGACGAACGAACCTAAGATGCTAGAGGATTTTCGGAAACGAACGATGAAGCCGGTAGGTAGGCACCTCTTATGACTCGACCGACGCCATGCAGCTAATTCGGAAGATACGGGCATGCGAAACACTCTGATCTAATCGCATTTTTCAATAGCGCTGACAAAAACCAGGATTGGCGAAAAGAATAGACAAAATATAGGTGGTGATTAGCTTGAATCACGCACTGAACCTTGGGATCACCTTCGCTGAGGTTCTCCTCCTGCAAAAGTGACGCCAGACCGCATTCACTTTGAAACAGCCCCTCCTGTATGTCACCCGAGAATGTCAGATTCGGTGTACTTTGCGGGCATCGTTTCTTTCTTCACAAGCTCGTGTCACATTACCAGGACTCGGACTTTCGCTTATGTAAGACCAACTTGAAAACGTCAAATCTGATGACCTGAGGCGGATTTTCACCCCGCACTCGGGTCCGCTTCAACATCCGGGTCACAGTATACCACCCTCAGTGAAACACGAAAACGGGTCTTGGTAGTATCCACGATTCCATATGCTTATAATTGTGGACTTTTTTTCTCCGCAGTCGCACAAGTCTTGCGACGCGTCTGCGACGAGTTTTTCCCCGTATTGGACACGTTTGACGATGGCGTGCGACTGCCGTCTAAACTAGTAATCTCAGACTCCATTCATTCAGAGTGAATTAACATTTACTACGAGATTATTGTCGACCCTTTAGGCTGACAGACGGGACTTCCAGAAGTGATGGTCCACTTGTAAATTAACGCAAATAACGCAGGTCGTGACATCGCTTACTCCTGACATAGCTAACCTCACCGCAAAAGTTGTTAGCTCGATGATACCGTCGATTGGCAATTACGACGTACTGACACCGTCCACTACGATTAACGTCATATTGACAACGTCCACTCTGATTGACGATTAACGTCGTACCGATTCCGTCCGTTATTGGTTGGCGACTAACGTCTTTCTGACATCGTCCACTACTAATTGACAAATATCGTCTCTAATAGTACCTTCCGACCGCCCGCAACAGCGTCTGTCATTCATCTGCTGCGTAATACTATTCATTCTCAGTTACCTTTAAACCGACATGCGATCGGGAGAAGGCTCAACCACCACTGAGTCGACTCCAGGGGATGTGCTATCTGGGGGAGGCGCAACTGCCGTCGACTCGACTGAAAACGAGGTGTTATCGGGGGAAGGCGCAGCCAGCGTTGAGCCTCAAAAGGAGGTGCAATCAGGGGAAGGCGCAACCGGTACCGAGTCGACTCAAAAGGAGGTGCTATCCGGGGGAGGCGTGACAGCAGAAGCCGAGGAGGGAACGCCGGAGCTCCAGATTCCCCTGCAACCGCGGGCCGTCGTGTTCACATCGTCACCTTCCTCAGTGTTTATGTACAGAAAGCCGGATAGAATCGACGAAGGATTATACCTGGGAAGCCTCAACTCCGCCTCAAACAGGTAACCATGTAACCCTTTATTCTTTAGGTGTATCAAGGAAGCGACCATGGGACAATATATTGTCCTCTTCACATCGTCACCTTCCTCCGTGTTTATGTACAGAAAGCCGGATAGAATCGACGAAGGGCTGTACCTGGGAAGCCTCAACTCTGCCTCCAACAGGTAATTATTATGGTAACTCTGCACACCTGTTATTGCGCTGAATTTGGAACATACAGGAGCTCCACCAAGGGATAAAAGGATTGTGATTGTAGCGAATGACAAGGGTTACCGTTTTTTTTCACCCATACCCACATGGGTTTCTCAATCCGGTTGGTCCAATCACACAGAAAAGCGCTGCTGGAGCTGGGTGATAAAGAGCGTTGTGACTGTAGCGAATGCCATGTGATTGCTGTTTTTGTCACCCATATCTGCATGTTTCTCTGGTCTTTTCTGACCCAATCACACACAGAGAAGCGCTGCTGGAGCTGTGGATAAAGAGCGTTGTGACTGTAGCGAACGACACGGAGTACCAGTTTCCCACCCATACCCTCGTTTTCTTTTCTCGTTCTGTCCTACTACGCACAGAGAGGCACTGCTAGAGCTGGGCATTAAGAGCATTGTGACTGTAGCGAATGACACGGGCGCGCCGCCGTTCCCCGACACCTTCTCATACACGCTGGTGCACGTGGCTGATGCCATGCACGTGGACCTAACTTCCCACTTTGAAGGATGCTTCGTTGCTATTGAGGAGGGCAGGAAGGCAGGAGGCGTGCTGGTGCATTGTCTAGCAGGTAAGGCGTCAGAAGAGGTATGCCTTATCTCATCTGCTCGCACACCTTCACCCACACGCTTGTGCACGTGGCTGATGCCATGCATGTGGACTTAACGACCCACTTTGAAGGGTGCTTCGCTGCCATTGAGGAGGGGAGAAAATCAGGAGGCGTGTTGGTGCACTGCCTAGCAGGTGAGGGGCCAGAAGAGGCATACCCTTCCTCACCTTCTCATACACGCTCGTGCATGTGGCCGATGCCATGCACGTGGATCTTGCTTCTCACTCAGGGGGTTGCTTTGAAGCCATTGAGGAGGGCAGGAAGGCTGGAGGCGTGCTGGTGCACTGCCTGGCAGGTGAGGGGTGGGTTAATGGATATCCGGGTGTGTCGTGTAGTCAAAATAGGCATACCCTTTCTCACCTTCTCATACACGCTGGTGCACGTGCTGATGCCATGCACTTCCTGGCAGGTAAGGAAGGGTTGATCCCCTGATGCGTGGTGCAGAGTGAGACTCGTACTCGCTCATACACACAGGTGCACGTGGCTGATGCCATGCACGTGGATGATGCCATGCACGTGGCTGATGCCATGCACGTGGCTGATGCCATGCACGTGGATCTCGCCGCTCCATTTGTACCTCTTGTTATTGTCATGCTCGGGCATGTCACGCAGTGCAACGATAGTGATTGCATATAGGCATGATGAAGACCAAGGGGTGGGACTTTAGAGCAGCTCTATCCCATGTGTGGCTATGCCAACAAGTATTCTACGTTTTTACTTGGTGTGGTCACGCTCAGGCATGTCACAGAGTGCAATGATAGTGATTGCATATAGATATGATAAAGAACAAGAGGTGGGACTTTAGAGCAGCTATATCCCATGTGTGGCTATGCCAACAAGTATTATTCGTTTCCTTTTTCCCATTTTTACTTGGTGTGGTCACGCTCAGGCATGTCACGCAGTGCAACGATAGTGATTGCATATATGATGAAGACCAAGGGGCGAGATTTGAGAGCAGCCCTATCCCATGTGCGGCAGTGCCGACCAATAGTGCAGCCCAACATTCACCCTTCTCGTCTTCCCCATCTTCCCTTGTTCCCATTTGTACCTGTTGTTATGTTCAGGCATGTCACGCAGTGCAACGATAGTGATTGCATATATGATGAAGTCCAAGGGGTGGGACCTTAGAACAGCCCTATCCCATGTGCGGCAGTGCCGCCCAATAGTGCAGCCCAATATTGGGTTTTTGCGGCAATTACAGGATTATGAAGCGACGTTGAAACATAGTGGGAAGCATAAAGGCATGTTTGCAAGATGGTTTTCATAATAGAGGGCATGTGGATTTGGCTAATCGCTAATATGACCAGGGTTGTACTTGTACTGTAGTAGCGCCTTCCAAGCATGGTTTCTATTGTCAAATTGAGCTCTTTATCCATATCCGTATCTGTTCCTTCCTCTTCGCACATATTTATCAATGTATCAGAAGATGCACAGAATATACAGACGATGCTCAGCCTATCACAAAAATTTGCCCTTCACAATTAGAAAATCAGTCACTCGCGAACGTTTTGCCTGTGAGTGGTGATTGTGCTGATTTCGGGGTACAGTCACCAAGTCGAGGAAGAAAAACATCTACAGTTCATAAACAACAACGGCTGCCTGTCATCAGAATTGTTTACCTGGTTACGAACTTAAACCCCTAGACTCGTTTCACATTCCAATTTCGTTTTACAATCACATTTTTGCCCGTGGCGACAAGGGCGAATGTGGCGAAATGACCAAAACTCGGTTCACTCACATGCCGCCCGCCTACCTGGTGTTCTTGAAATGAGCACCGACTGTACAAGCTTGCCTGCTTCGAGCGTCGTATTTCAGGCTCGGTCTAGGCGAATACGGATTCTGACCGTCGATTCCAAAGTGGGACGGTTTGGTTCGAATCCACCGCGTTGGCTTGGTGGGGTTGCTCACTCACCTCACCTCCCGCCCCGCAGTTCACACTTTGGCTCCCGTCCCGTCGAATCGCATACGCTTGGGCACAGCGGGAGTCGCACGTCGTGCCCCAATGCTTTGTTTCCTGTTTCTCGGGTCACCTCACCACAATTCTGCGAAAAGCAAAGCAAGAAACACAGGACCAAGAACCCAGCGATGCTATGACGCGCCACACATATTGAAGCTGTTTCACGTTTCCTTTGCGTAGTCGAGTCACTTTCACCCTTGTCACCTTTCTCCAACTCGGAAGTAGCTCTGCATATACTTGCGTGCTTTGAGCGTACAGCCAAACGGGTTTCCAGCCTGAGGCTGGACAGCCGTGAGAAAAGAGAAAGAAAATGGCGACGACACCGCGGGACATGGAGCTGAGGCTGGTGAACGGCATGGTGCTGAAGGTACAGCTAGAGGAGATGGCGGGCGGCGTGGGGGAGCGCGTGGCGGCGTTCGAGGCGAAACTGAGGGAGCAGAGCGAAGCCATGGCTGCATTGAAGCGCGACATGGCCGAAATGCGAAGCGCCATGGCCCATCTCAAGGGGATGGCAGCGACGGGCGCTTTAGCGGAGAAGAACGAGAGGGGGGAGGCGGGAAACGGGAGTGCGTCGGGGGAGGCAGCGGAGGGTATTGGCGCGCAGCCGCTGAAGGGAGCACGGGGAAATAGTTTTTCTGCGCTTGAAGTGGAGGAAGTGAAGGCGCAGGTGGAAGCGGCGAGGGGGGAGGCGAGTGAGATGCGCGGGGAGATGGGCGCGCTGAAGGCGGGACTTGCGCGGATGAGGGCTGCGGCGGAGCGGCAGGCGGCGGAGGTGGCGTACGTGAAGGGACGGCGGCGCACACGGAGGCGCGCATCAATGACGTCGAGCTGGCGCTCGTGGCGCTGAAGGAGCGCGACGGCCGCGCGGAGAAGAACCGCGACGAGCGCAAGGAGGGCACCGCTGGGGAGCACGCGGTGGCGGAGAGGCGCGGGGAAAAGAGGCGGAAGAGGGACGACGCGGATGCGGGGAAGGAGGAGGAGATGGCGGATGCTCCTTCCGTTGTGCGCCCTCTTATTGCCCTAGGCGGTGCGCCTGAAGGAAAGGGGGATGCGGCGGAAACGGAGGGTGACGAGCAGGAGGAGGAAAATTATGAGGAGGATGAGGTGCAGGGACTGAGGACGCGAGTGGAAGCGCTGGAAGAAAAATGTGCTGGAGGAAACAAGATATGGGAGGTGAGTGAAATTTTTAGGATGGTCTATTCTTGTTGTTTACCAACCCGGAAAACCAGCAGCGCTTTGTTTGACTGTACATTTCGGAGCCAAAATGCATGCCAAACGTATGCGACCTGAGCCTCGTATGTGTGGTGTCCTACTCGTTGTCCGAACCCCGTTCTCCGAACCTTGTTGTCCGAACCTCGTACAATCCGGTCTCTCTGGCGTTGCGTATGTTGAAAAGCTAGAAGAGATACATTGAATAATGAGCCAAGAGGCCCTTTAGTACAAACAATGAGCAAGAGAGAGATGAAAGGGAAGCTTACCCTATTGGCCAATAAGTTGGCCAATGGGTGAGCTTGCTTGTGACCCAAGCAACCACAAATGTGTGTTGGTTGGGATTGGTTGAGCTAGGGACCAATCCCAACCAACCACAAAATGTGGTTGGAGGGTACACTAAACAACCCCCCAATTTATAAGTGTACTACAGATCTAATTCTAGCCTATGTATGTTGTACAAATTATGAAATTACAACAGCGTATGCCATTCCCTCTCCATACCTGACCTTGCTGCTGCACTTGGTTGCAGGCTCTGATGACAATGTGGAGCAAAGTTTCTCCAGGCACGACTCACTTGGACCTCGACGGTGTCTACCTCTCCGATGATGCTCTCACACAGGTGGCCTCCTTACGATCTCTCACTTGTCTCAGCCTCCAAGACGCCTCTGGCTTCACTGCAGTGGGGGTGACACGGCTGTTCTCTCTCACAGGACTCACACGTTTGGAGTTTCATGGTACATCCATACCAGATGCAGCCCTTGAAGGCATTGCCGGCCTGACGAATCTCCGTTTGCTTGATCTAGTAAACGCCAAGATAACCGATGCAGGAGTAGCGAAGCTGCAGGGACTTTCTGCACTCACGACACTGCTGCTCGGCGAGTGTGCCTCGATCACCTCTGCCAGCATGGTGCATGTGGGCCGATTGACATCACTGGAACGTCTCATACTGTACCGATGTGGGGTGAGGGAGGATGGGCTGCAGCACTTGACTGCTCTCTCCTCACTGAAGGCCTTCACTCTCCCTCCAGGGGTGACTGATTCCGGCATGAAGCATCTGAGAAATCTGAAACGACTGGATAGGTTGGGTCTGTGGGATGCGAAAATTTCTGCCGAGGGTATTAAATGGCTCAAGGGCCTCAAGTTCCTCCAAAAAATTGCAACAGATTCTGAAGATGTGGCAGTGTTGATCAGGGACATCTTTCCTGGGATGATTGTTACATCAGGCCCTATCTAGTTGCTGATGGATGGACCCTGCCGAGTAGTAGTACATGCCATGTGGTGATTTCTGTAAACCTGTTCTGGTTGAGGTGTGGGTGGATTCTTCACCAATACTCATTGCTGGAGGCTTTACTGGGTAATCTCCCTGGTCTGTTTTTCTGTATCAATAGCCCTCTGAAGTATATGTCAAATGTTAATGTTATGATAGGCTGCAGTGAGGCACTCCCTAAAGGGTACAACATTTGTAGGACTCCTATTTGTATGCTTGCAAACCCTAATTCCAATCATTCCGTTGCATGTAGACTTTGAGATGGTATCACGAGTAGGTATCGATCCTCCGTCACGCCTAGCGCCCTCCGCGCCCTCCGTAGCGCCTAGCGCCCTCCGTAGCGCCTAGCGCCCTCCGCGCCCTCCGTCACGCCTAGCGCCCTCCGCGCTCTCCGCGCTCCTAGCGCCCTCTCGCGCCTTAGCGCGGCCCTCAGCCCGCCCCACGTCGCGCCCCTTAGTAACCCCCCCTCCGTGCCCTCCCCTTCCCCTCCCCGTCGCGTTACCTCCCGTCCCCCTGCCCGTCGCGTCGCCTCCCTTCCCCCTGCCCGTCGCGTCAACCGTCGCCCAGGCCCGCGCGTAGCCCGTCGCCCAGGCCCGCGCCTAGCCCGTCGCCCAGGCCCGCGCCTAGCCCGTCGCCCAGGCCCGCGCGTAGCCCGTCGCCCAGGCCCGCGCCTAGCCCGTCGCCCAGGCCCGCGCCTAGCCCGTCGCCCAGGCCCGCGCGTAGCCCGTCGCCCAGGCCCGCGCCTAGCCCGTACGCCCTGGCCCCCGCCCATCCCCACCGTCAAAACCGCCCACCCGCCCTTTCCCACCGTCCAAACCGCCCTCCCGCCCATTCCCACCGTCGAAACCGCCCTCCCCGCCCATTCCCACCGTCAAAACCGCCCTCCCGCCCATTCCCACCGTCAAAACCGCCCTCCCCTCCCCTCTCTCACTGTTCATCACCTTAGCCCCACCGCCGCCTTGTGCGCGAGGCCCTCCCCAAATCTGATGACACTGGACTATCCCTCAGCGGCTGGCATCGCTCTCCCTCGCCGGTCACCTAGGTTAGAGCCGTTTTAGCCACTCATACCTCGCTCCTCGCACCTGTAGCTGGCGATCCACGATTTCACGCCTAGTCTATGTCCTCCTCCTCCTCGTTCTTAGCTCCGCCTCCGCCGTGCTCCAGCCGCCTCTAGCATGGGCTCCGCTATGGAGGCCCGTCGCCTCCGTTTCGATGCGGAGGGACGCCCAATCGAGTTCGGTACCTGGCAGCGCCAGACCACACGCTTCCTCACCAGCCAGCGACAGGACGGCGCCACTCTGTGGGCTCACGCGTCTGGTGCCCTACAGGCCCCCCCGTCCCCCGCCGCCCTGCCGACCACCCCGGAGCCGACCCCTACGGCCCAGGCGGAGTACGACCGTCGGGTCCTGGCCAGGGACGTGTGGCTCTCGCGTGACGCTGCCGCCGCTCTCACACTGTCGGAGCTTCTCCCCCCGACTGAGGCCGCCCACTTTGACCAGGTGGAGACAGCCAAGGGGGTGTGGGATGCTATTGTTGCCCGCTACTCCACCCCCTCCTCCGCCTCCCTCAGTCGCCTCCTCATGCCGTTTGTGTTTCCCGACCTAGGCTCGTTTGCCACTGTTTCCGACCTAGTGACTCACCTCCGCTCGCTTGACGCCGGTTTTCGTGCTGCCTGTACCGACGCACAGCTCCTTGTTGCTCCCCCCCCCATGTGGCTCACTGTACACTGATTAGTCACCCGCCTCCCTGACCGCCTTGCCACTGCCCGCGACGCGCTTCTTCAGAAGCACCCCACTGAGCTCACTATAGACCTCCTTCAGACTGCTCTCGGGACCATCGAGAGCAGCCTCCTCACCGTTGCCTCCGCCACTGATGCGGTGGCCCCCCGTCTCTTTGCGGGGTGTGCCGCCCCTCAGCTTCCCACTTTCACTGCTACCCGCGCTTCTGCTGCTGTGTCGGTTTCTGAGGACACCGCTGCCGTTTCTGCCGCAGACTGGCAGAAACGGGGCAAGAGTGGCAAGAAGGGCGGAAAGGGGGGAGGTGGGGGCGGTGGAGGCGGCGGTGGAGGTGGCGGTGGAGGTGGGAGCGGCGGTGGTGGCGGAGGCGGCGGAGGCGGCGGCGGTGGTGCACCAGGGGGAGGGGGCCCTGGAGGAGGTGCTGGACAGACAGGCCCACCCACAGGTGGAGGCCCGACCGGTGGGGGCGTTCCCCCACAGCAGCAGCAGCCACAGCAGCACCACCCGCAGCAGGGACAGCAGCAGCAGCAGGGACAGCAGCAGCAGCAGGCACCGCAGCAGTTCCAGCAGTGGGGGCCCCCGCTGCAGTGGGGTCCGCAGCAGCACTGGGGTCCCCCGCCGCAGTGGGGTCCGGGAGGCCCTGGGAGCACCAGCCGCAGCAGCAGTACTTCCAGCTGGGCCCCTCGCCCCCCTCGCCGTGACGCTGGCCCGTGCACTCACTGGTGCGTCACCGGGCCGGGTAGCCCCTGTCTCTGTGGTCGCGACGACCACTCTGCCGCGCGGTGCTTCCGCCGCCTCGACGACCTCTACCGGGCTCGTTGGGGCCCTTTGGCGAGCACGCCTCGCTGGTCTCGTCTGTTAGCCCGTAAGATTGATGTATTTGCTTTGTCCATGGACGATGCGCGTCAATATGCTTTGTATGTTGATGCTGACTCTAGTGCTGATGGATCTGTGTGCTCGCGTGTTCGTAGGTTAGACTGCTTGCCTCCTGCTAGTGTAGCCTTGTGCCTGTCTAGATTAGGTGCTTGTGTTGCTGCTCTAGGTGCTTGTGTAGCGACTGGGTCGAGTGACCCACCGGCTGAGGCCTCTCTTTCGTTCACGCTGGACTCGGGCGCGTCTCAGTGTTTCTTCCGCGACCGCACGACCCTTACGCCTCTCCTCACACCTGTGTCGGTGGCTCTGGCTGATCCTACCTCTGGACCAGCCGTTGCGCGTAGCTCCACCACCCTCCCGTGCCCTGTGGTCCCCTCTGGTGTCCTGCGTGGCCTCCACATCCCCTCGTTCACTCGGAACTTGGTGGGTGTTGGATACCTTCAGGACAGGGGGATCACGGTTACCTTCTTGGGGGGTGGGCGGACTGCAGTCTGTACTGACGCTACCACAGGTGCTGTTCTGGCCACGTTCACCAGGGAGCCCCGCTCCGGTCTCTACGTTCTCCACACCGAGCGCTCCCCGGTCGCGTCCTCCCCTCCGGTTGTTGCGTCCCCTCCGACCCAGGTCCCCAGTCCAGTGGCTGTGTCTAGCCAGGTAGTCGTGTCCAGTCCGGTCGCTGTGTCCAGTCCAGTCGCTGCGTCTTGCTCCTGTCGCTCTCTCGCCCACCGCACCGTTCTGTGGCACCACCGTCTTGGCCACCCGTCGATCCCTCGCCTTCGTGGCATGCTCAGTCACGGACTAGTCACAGGTCTCCCACGCACCTTCCCGTCGCTCCCTCTCTCGCTTGCCCCTCCTTGCTCTCCGTGCGTCGCCGGTCGCTTACGCGCCACTCCCCACTCCTCCTCCCTTCGTCCGGCCACCGCTCCCTTCGAGACTCTCCACTTGGACGTCTGGGGCCCTGCCCCGACGCAGGGGTCTGGGAGGGAGCGTTACTTTCTGGTGGTCGTCGACGACTTCTCCAGGTACACCACAGTGTTCCCTCTTGCGAAGAAGTCCGAGGTGACTGCTACGCTGATCAGGTGGCTTCTAGCCACTGAGGGCACTCGTGGTCGTCGAGTCAGTTGTCTCCACTCCGACCGTGGGGGCGAGTTTCGCTCCGGCATTCTCGGCGGATTCTGCGGCGAACAGGGCATCACCCAGTCCTGGACTCTGCCAGAGTCCCCACAGCAGAATGGGGTTGCTGAGCGCCGCATAGGCTTGGTCATGGACATCGCCCGCACGTCCATGATCCATGCCCGTGCGCCCCATTTTCTGTGGCCCCACGCGGTTCGCTACGCCGCACACCAGCTGAACCTCCAGCCGCGTGTCTCGCGGCCCGAGGCTTCACCGACCAGTCTTTGGACTGGTTCCCCTGGTGTCGGGTCGGCCTTTCGAGTCTGGGGCTGCCTTGCGCAGGTCCGCGACACCTCTGCGGACAAGCTCTCGGCACGCGCCATTCCCTGTGTCTTCCTTGGTTTCCCGGTAGACTCGGCCGACTGGTCCTTCTACCACCCGCCCCTCCACCAGTTCCTAGACTCCCGTGACGTCCGGTTTGACGAGTCCGTGTCCTACTACACCCGGTACCCTTGTCGAGGTCTCCCGGTACCCCCTCCCCCTCTTTTCCTCGCACCCTCTCCTCCTCCTGCTCCCGCTCCTCCGGTACCCCTGCCCCCCCCTGGTCCTGCCCCGTCTGGTGTGTCTCACGCTACCCCTCTACCCTCGGTCGCGCGTCAGGTAGCGTCTCCCTCCCCGCAGTCCTCCTCACAGCCCCCTCAGCAGCCTTCGGCGCTTCCGCGACAGGTTCCTGTGGACTCGGTTGGTGTTGGAGCTGGAGGTGCAGCTTCTAGCGGTGCTCGGTCTGGGGGCGCTAGCTCTGGGGGTGCTGGAGCTGGAGGTGCTGGCGCAGGCGGCGCTAGCTCTGGGGGTGCTGGAGCTGGAGGTGCTGGCGCTGGAGGTGCTGGAGCTGGAGGTACTGGCACTAGAGGTGCTAGTTCTGGGGGTGCTGGAGTTGGAGGTGCTGGCGCTGGCGGTGCTAGTTCTGGGGGAGCTGAGTCTGAGGAGACTGACGCTGGAGGCCCTGGTTCTGCGGAGTCCACTCCGCCTCCCCACCGCCACGACACGCGTCTCCAGGCTGCCCGTCGGCGTGAGCGTGAGGAGCAGGAGCGGCTGGAGAGGGAGCGGCAGGAGCTGCGGGTGCTGGACCTTCTGGAGCAGCAGCGCCAGCAGCAGCAGCAGCAGCAGCAGCAGCAGCCGCAGCAGCAGCAGCCGCAGCCGCAGCCGCAGCCGCAGCCGCAGCAGCAGCAGCAGCAGCCGCCTCCG